TTCCCTCTCTTCTTTTGCAGTAAGCGAAGGTACCGCTTTTCATAGACATAGAAATAGTTATGCACTACTTCAAGCTGGCTTCCCCGTTTACTTTGCTTCGATTTACTGTCATAGCATCTTACGAGTTCCACCTTAGATGGCCAACTGGCTTCTGTTAGCGTCAGGATGTCAGGGTGTCTACATGAAGTGGCTGGTCATACTTCGTTGTATCCGTGTGCAAGTCAAGTCGACTCCTTGCTTGAAGTCGGGATGTAGTCGCACTCGCCTGCGGTGCTCTTTAGCGAGGGTCTCCTACAGGGCTCAGGCGCCACATGGCAAGTTCAAATGCTGCATTTTGGTGACGTGTTGTGGCCTTTCGCGATACGTATATGGTATATCAGTCAACCTAAGACAACGTTATCGTCCTGCTAACAGCTCATTTAATACATCATAAGTTCAGACATCATAAATGCTATGCAGAATAGCTTGGTTCAGACGTGGGTTAGTGGTTGTCGAAAGTTGCTTTGGCATCGCAGTATGCTCGGGTCCGTTTTGCCTTTCAATCGTCTGTACTTAAGCCCTGGCAGATATATGAGTGCGTACCGTTTTGTTTTCGCGGCAACCCGACACTGTCGCTGGAGTAAAAAGGCAAGTAATGACAATTGTCGTACTTAAAACGGACGTAGGATGTCCTTTTTTCGGAGGGCCTTGTTTGCCAACTTTAGATTATCGCGCCTTACTATTACCAGCTTTGCTAGTCCTTCTTTATCTATCTGCAAATCGGGCTGAACTGCATTCGTTAGTGGGCCTCCTTTGACAGGTGAAGGGCTGTGGAAATGTCAGGCCCACATCGTATCGCCCAGCATGCCACCCGTGTTGCTTGCTGCACACGTGCATGGCACATGGCGGCCCTACCAGTAAAGCGGGGTGGCTTGCATGCGTGTGTGGGTTGCATGGGGCAAAGAGCGGGGCAAGTAAAGCAGGGGTGCGGGCATGCGTGTGTGGGTTGCATAGGCCGAGGGGGTGTGTACAGCGGGGTTGCTTGCATGCGTGTGTGCATGGGTTGCATGAGATAAGGGGGTGAGTAAAGCGGAGTTGCTTACATGCGTGGGTTGCACGGTGCTAGGGGGCGAGTAAAGTGGGGGTGCATGCATGCGTGCGTGGGTTGCATGGGCCAAGGGCGCGAGTAAAGCGGGAATGCATGCATGTCTGCGGGCGTGGGTTGCATGGGGCGAGGGAGCGCGTAAAGCTACGGGTGCTTGCATGCGTGCGAGTGTGGGTTGCATGGGGTGAGGGGGCAAGTAAAGCAGAGGTGTTTAAATGCGTGCCTGTGTGGGTTGCATGGGGCGAGGGGGTGAGTATTAGAGGGGGTGCATGCGTGCGTGCACGGGTTGCATGAGGCAAGGGGGCGAGTAAAGCGGGGGTGCGTGTATGAGTTGCATGGGGCGAGTGAGCGGGAATGCATGCATGTCTGCGGGCGTGGGTTGCGTGGAGTGAGGGGGCGCGTAAAGCTATGCTGCTTCCATGCGTTCGAGTGTGGATTACGTTGGGCAGGAGGGCGCGTAGTGTGGGGGTGCTTGCATGCGTGCGTGGGTTGCATGGGCCAAGGGCGCGAGTAGAGCGGGAATGCATGCATGTCTGCTGGCGTGGGTTGCATGGGGGAGAGGGCGCGTAAAGCTACGGGTGCTTGCATGCGTGCGAGTGTGGGTTGCATGTAGCGAGGGGGCGGAGATGCTTGCATGCGTTCATATGTGGGTTGCATTGGGCGAGGGGGCGAGTAAAGCGGGGGTGTGTGCATGCGTGCTGCGCGGGTTGCACGGGGCAAGGGGGCGAGTAAAGCAGGAATGCGTGCATGCGTGCATGCATGCTTACATTGCGCTAGGGGGCGAGTAAAGCGGTGGTGCGTGTATGGGTTGCATGGGGCGAGGGGGCGAGTGAGCGGGAATGCATGCATGTCTGCGGGCGTGGGTTGCGTGGAGTGAGGGGGCGCGTAAAGCTATGGTGCTTCCATGCGTTCGAGTGTGGATTGCGTTGGGCAGGAGGGCGCGTAATGTGGGGGTGCGTGCATGCGTGCGTGGGTTGCATGGGCCAAGGGTGCGAGTAATCCGGGAATGCATACATGTCTGCTGGCGTGGGTTGCATGGGGGAGAGGGCGCGTAAAACTACGGGTGCTTGCATGCGTGCGAGTGTGGGTTGCATGGGGTGAGGGGGCGGAGATGCTTGCATGCGTTCATATGTGGGTTGCATTGGGCGAGGGGGCGAGTAAAGCGGGGGTGTGTGCATGGTGCTGTGCGGGTTGCACGGGGCAAGGGGGCGAGTAAAGCAGGGGTGCGTGCATGCGTGCACGCGTGGGTTTCATTGCGCTAGGGGGCGAGTAAAGCGGGGGTGCGTGTGTGGGTTGCATGGGGCAAGGGGGCGAGTGAGCGGGAATGCATGCATGTCTGCGGGCGTGGGTTGCGTGGAGTGAGGGGGCGCGTAAAGCTATGGTGCTTGCATGCGTGTGAGTGTGGATTGCATTGGGCGGGCGGGCACATAAAGTGGGGGTGCGTGCATGCGTGAGTGGGTTGCATGGGCCAAGGGTGCGAGTAAAGCGGGGTGCGTGCATGTGTGTATGGATTGCATGGGCCGAGTGGGTGAGTAAAAGCGGAAGTGCTTGCATACGCGCGTGTATGGGTTGCATGGGGCGAGGGAGCGAGTAAAGCGGAGATGCTTGCATGCGTGCATATGTGTGTTGCACGGGGTGACGGGGCGTGTAAAGCGGGAGTGCTTGCATGCATGCGTGTGTGGGTTGCATGGGGCGAGAGGGCTTGTAAAGCATGGTTGCTTGCGTGTGTCGAGATAACTGGCCGCGAGGCGGAGCGTACTGCGATTGCCCGTGCGTGTGTTGCATGGGGCGAGGGGGCGAGTCAAGCGAGGGTGCGTGCATGCGTGAGTGTGTTGGTTGCATGGGGTAAGGCGGCGCGTAAAGCGGAAGTGCTTGCATGTGTGCGTTGGTTGCATGGGGCGAGGGGCGGGGCAAGTAAAGTGGGGGTGCGGGCATGCGTGTGTGGGTTGCATGGGGCGAGGGGGCTTGGGAAGCATGGTTGCTTGCATGTGTTAAGAAAACTGGCCGCGAGTAGGAGCGCACTGTGATTGTCGGAAGATGAAGTCCCCACAGAACCACCGCAGGAGCCTCGGAATATGGTAGCGTATGTAGATATATAAGTCCAGTACTGGTGCTGAGTAGGACGTAAGAAGCACTCTCGGAAAACGACCGGACCTAGGGCTTGCATGTGTTTGTGTGATGCACGGGGCGAGGGGACGAGTAAAGCGGGAGTGCTTGCATGCATGCGTGTGTGGGTTGCTTGGGTTGAGGAGGCCAGTTAAGTGGGGGTGCTGTCCCGCATGCAGCCCTTCTTCCACTGCCCCTCTTTTACTTGGGGCTCCTTGCGGCCCTCCTGCTTGCGGCTGTCTTCGTAATGGCCCTCCAGCACACAGCGCCCCTCCCACACGCCTATACACACGGCGTTCCTCCCACTCGCTTGTATGCGCACATTGCCCCACCCTATCGCCCTCCCGCACACAGTCTTTGTCCCACTCATCCATCATGCTACGCCCCTCCATCATGCTACGCTCCTCCCACTTACTGTCATGCACGTGACACGCCGTGGCCCTTCCACTCGCTCTCGCTCTTGCTACCACATGACGCACCTCTTACTCGGCTTCCCTCCCTTCTTTTGCAGTAAGAGGTGGTACCGCTATTCCTTCTCCTGACATAGCAATACTCGTGCACGGTTTCAAACTGGCTTCCCCGTTTATATCGCTTCGATTTACTATCGTAACGAGCCACTTCCACCTAAGACGGACAACCGGCTTCTGACACCGTCGTAATGTTAGGGTATGTGTGCTTGGATTGGTTGGACACATTTGTATCCGTGTGCAAGTCGGTTCCTTGCCTGAAGTCGGGCTAAAGCGCACTCGCCTGCGGTGCTCTCCAGCGTGGGCTTCCTACATTGCTCCGTCCTGCATTGCTCCGGCCAGATGTCGCTTTGAAATGTGGCGAAATGTGGTCGTTAACGGGGCCGTCTTTCCAAAGCCGCCTCTTTGGTGCTTTGAGTACCGTGTTTTGCGTTGTACATTGGTTGCCATTGGCGAGCCGTTTCGGCGACTTTTTCGCGCTAGAGACACACATCTTAGGGCTCCAACTTCGCGGTGCCTTTGCCTTGAAGCAGCATTTTCGGTGCGCTAGGTAACTTGTTAAGCACTGTACTTTTAGTTGCCTTGGCAAGACGAATGGGCGACTTTTTTGCGTTACGGACACGCATCTTAGGGCTCCAACTTCGCGGTGCCTTTGCCTCGAAGCCGCCTTTTCGGTGCGTTGAGTAACGTGTTAAGCACTGTACTTATGGTGGCTTTGGCGGGCCGTTTGTGCTACTTTTATGCGTTACGGACACACCCCTTAGGGCTCCAGGGTGGGCGCCCTGACCGGCCCCTCCTCACCCAGCGCTCAAAACGCCGCCCGTGATGCATGTGGCGCTTGCGACCTTCAAATGGGTTCGGAAAACGCCACTTGGCGACGCGTTGCGCGGCCGAGTGGAGAGAAAACAGCCAAAAACAACCGGCAAAACTCACGTTTTGGGTGGGATTCGAACCCGGACCGCGACTTTTAGCGCTCAAAACGCCGCGTCCCTGTTAAGGCGCTTGCCAAAAAAATGTTACACGAAACCCCCCCTCCCTATTGATGCCTTTCCTTCGCTGCTTCGCTAGCTCCGGACTCCGTCTACGACGTCGGCCTCCGACGTCGCTACATTGCTCCGGCGACAGGGGCAATCCTGGGGGGCGAAGCCCCCCCGAAGCCGCTTCGCGGCGGGGGCTCCGCCCAAAAAGAATGTACTGCTCTTTAGGGGGGGCTATCTTTGGCGAATATGAGAAATCTGGGTATAAAGTTTCGTAGGGTAAATGGATACAAAAGGCGTAGCGACCAAAGAAACTCATCATAGGCTTTCCGGATAAAACTGTTACCCCCCCCTGGCACTGCTCACTTCTGACAGCAGGCCCATCAGGACCTCTTGTGCTTCCGGCTCTCGAAAAGCATCCTCCGCATGGTCTATTATAAGCAGCGCAGCCATCGGCGGGACGTCTCCACCCTTGTTGCCGGCGAGCTTCTGAATTGCTTTAAGGATGCGCTCTTGAACACCAGGCCTGGCCTGCAGATGTCACCCGCCCAAGAAACGTTTTTATTACCAAAGAAGAAGTAAAAATTCATAGTCTCAATGTCATGGCTGTAGAGACTAGGATGCACCTTTAAAAGGTGAATCTATAACCAGCTGTGGAAGGAAATGCACTTCCAGGGCGTATGAGGTATGAACACATATTAGGCTGGATAGGTGTAGTAGTGCCCATGCCACGGAAGTATTCCTCAGCCCATTCACATACCAATGGGATGCCCAGGGCTATGCAGAAGAGATTCTTCACATCCATAGCGCTACGCGCCCTCGCCAGGGGCACCCAGCGCACCCCACCGGGTAAGCATCCTTCCCGCATAAGGCGCCTGCCCACGTCAGCTGCGAGACAGGATTTGCCCACACCCTCAGGCCCAACCAGGACCAGCGACCCACTGGTCAGCAGGCGCCCTTTAATCTCAGCTGCCTCAACTTCACGGCTGGTGAATTGTGGCGGTACTGGTGGCAGCTGGCGGTTCCACTCAAACTGCGGGGCTGTCATTCCATCTTGAAAGGGTTGGCCAGTCGTGGTGGCTTGATGACCAGCTGGTGCAGCTGTAGCCGATGCGCCCCCAATGGGTGTGAGGCGTGCATTCTCCACAATTGATGCCACTTGCGGCAGCAGGTCCTCCGAATCGAAGGCCTCCTCCAGCTCATACACGCAGAGACTATGATTAGGGTCATAACGTTCTACTGCGTGAAGGAATGCATCCTGGCCTGCCTTCTCGCTGAGCAGCTTCTCAAGCTCTGTAATAACTGTGGCACCACCCATCAGGTTGCTCAGCTCGCCCTTTAGGCGGGTTGGGAAGTCCTTGAAGAATACAGGCCAAGGAACCTGGGACTCATTGCCGTACACCTGCCCCCAAAAGATGCGTAAGATGGGCTGCTTGATACGCTGATATACTGGTAAGCCGGTGCTGCTGGGTTGAGATATCTTGAGCCGCAGCTCAATTTCAGCTAGCTTGCTTTTCACCTCTAAGAGCTACAAATCACAAAGGGGAAAAGCGGATTAGGTATTTGAGCCAAATGCTTCGCCATGTAGACACTTGCAGTACCCTTCAGGATTGGGCAGCAGTATCGACACGAACAGCTGCCATGCATGTGGCTAGGTGTATGCATGGCGCTATGTAATTGCTGGGTAACACAGGGCACATTTACAGGCAGTCCAGGGCCAAATCAATACGAACAGCTCTATCTCTTTTGTGCTTACCATAGCAATTTCAAGCTGGTCAGAAATTCCGAGTTCGCGGCAGACCTGCTCCATCTTCACCCCGTCCTTTTGCACTGCGTCGATGCCACCCAGCTCTTTAACCAGCTTCTTGGCTTCTGCTGCAGGGTCCTGAACCAGCGCGCATGCACAAAACGAAGCTTTGGTTATTCTGGTGTAAGCTGTATGGCAACGAGTGATACGAATGCTGCAGCATTGGAGTGCTGTGCTTTTCCCAACTAAGCATTTCGAATGAGTTTACAGCTCGAACCTTTGCATGTGTGCCGTTTCTCAAGCAACACTGAGTGAGAGAGATGTCCCGAAGGGAACTGAAAGCCCAAGGGCCCCCAAAGGACGCCAAACCAAGGTGAACATCCCAAACGAGATGCTCACATTACTAAGCATGCTAGCGACAAGAAGTCCTTGCGAAATTACGAGTGGCTGTTTAGCGCTTGTAATCCCTTCATTAAATTTACCGTGTACTGTGGGGACTCGATAAAGCGTCGAACAGCCTCCCGAAACATATCGTTGTCTTTGTGGACCATAATGTTGGTGTCCATCTGCACCAGCATCATTAATTCGCCTTTAAGGGTTTCCAACCTAGCAACATAGTCCTGATATTCCTCCCTGTAGGAGCTCTCCCGTAGTGTCCGCCAAATAAACCACGATTTTTCGTGTTTGATTGCGTACTCCTTGACGTCCTGCAGGATTTTTGTAGTGCATGTAGATCCAGGGTTAGGGCCAAGTGGACAGGAATCAGGACTCAGTGGGTCAGGGTTAGGGCTCCAGTATATTGGTTGACAGTAATATTGCAAGTACGCAGTTACAGCACTATCAATGACTGAATGACCGTCACAATGTTCCCGAAAAGGAGTAACGGGTGCAAGTAAAAACACCAACACACACGAAAGGCCGGACCAGAACAACAACGCCCGAAATAACAGAACCACAACAGAGGCACCAGCGTGTGTGAACGCCAGAGGAGCCCAGCAGGACACCCTACCTCGCAGACTCAACCGTGGCAGACTCAAAATAGAACACTCAAAGCCGCCCACAAACAACACGCAAGAACGGATGGGAAGGGCCCACCTCAGCCCATCCACCCCCGACGGGGAACACCCAAAAAAGCAAAACCCCGGAGCTCACCCCCAAACCAGGAAACCGCAGACAGGGTAGGCCCCGGGTCCACCCACCCGTCCCTGTTCTATGAAAGTTGCTTCAAATATGTTTGGGATTCATGCGGTTCCAGTTGGCTTACTGTAGTTCAGACATTTAGCGTCTTCGGACCCATGAGAGCTAAAAAGTGTACCTTTGTTTGCTGTAATTTGTTTTATGCATATGATGGACTACAATAAAGCTTCCAGAACTCTAACCTGGGGCCTGCGAAAAATGTTCCCACGTTCTTCTGAGCAACCTGGAAGCGGCTTTCGGACGACTTCCGAAAAAAAACCTTTTTTAAAAAAGCGCTCTAACACTTGTCATAGATTTAAACCTCTGCTGAGGAAGCTAAGCTTAAATGTTATGTAACTGAGCATCTACTTTAAGCCTCGTATCCATCAGACAGGCATTGCAGGTGTAGATCTAATAGTGTCGAAGTCTGAATGGCTAAAGTGCAGTAACATCAATACGTATCATATATATATATACATATATTATGGTGTGTATACCTATTTCTATGATAACTCGTTTGACGCGAATAACTTGTCTGTGCCCTATGACGTGTATGTGACATACTATGTGACATTCCGTAACTTTGCGTCCTTCTAAATACACCGTCCTGTTAAACACCGGTATTCCAAGAGTAAGTGTGTAAAATGTTGATTTAATCTGAAAAACGAAATAAAAGGCGACAGACAATGTTTACTCAAAACAGAGTGGAGCTCTTTTATTTTGTTTTTCACTGTACCATGAAAGTTTCATCAAAGGTATAAAGATTTTGTTGACACTACCTATAGTGTCAACAAACAAACAAGCAAACAAACAAGGACAAACATGTCCAACCAACTCATCATTAAGATGCGAACGAACCAACGAGTGTGTGCCCGAGTCATCAAGTTCCTCAAGGGCAAAGGAGCCGGAGGCTGGGCCGTGGAGGAGTGGACGAGTCCATCAGCATTGGTGTGTGTTCACGGACGCGTGGGCTGATCTGGATGCGTTCAGGATGGCTCTCAAGCGTGCGGTGCCGGCTCTGAACAAGTCGAACTATAAGCCGACTGTGGTGAAAGATTTGTCTAAGTATGAGCGGTATATGGTGAAAGGGCCTGCATGTGGGGAGCCTGCGAAGGTGGTGTGGTGCCATGGCCTCCGTTACACAAAGGAGTATATCGCGCAGTTGCATATGGCGTATTGGGAGGAGAACTCGGCTCTGAAGAAGCATAAGTTGTATGATGACGGTAAGGAGCCGTGCTCAAAGTGTGTAAGGCGGAGGGTATTGAATGGCCGCAGCGGGAGCGCATTGCGAGGGTGTATATCCGTGAGATTCACAAGCGTAGGAAGATGCTGAATACGTTTTCCGCAAAGTCGGTGGTGAATTCGCTACAAAAAGAGTTGTGTCCAAATGATGACGCAATTAAGGAGTTTGCATGCATGATTTAAATTATTTCAATGTTTGCTAATGTATATAAAGTAATAGTAAACATATAGTTGTAATAAACAAGTATATGCCATGCCTATCCGAAAGCGTAACAATCCTCCTACATGCTCGCCCAAAGCGTGATCGAGGCGCTAAATACATGCGCCGGAAGGTGCCAAGAGGTATCACCCCTCGCCAGCCCCTCATCAGCATTCGTCGAAAGTTCTACGCCCAGTCGTTCACCCCTAGCACAGTCACCAGTGCCAGCTTCTGTCCTTACTGGAAGTTCTGGCTGGGTCAGCTGCCAGATCAGAGTAAGTACACCTCCATGTTGATGAGTTTAAGCTCAACGGTATCCGGTTAGAGTTCCTGGCGCAGGGTGTTCCGTTGGCTAGTAATGGTAGTGTTTGCTATGATCAGCAGTATGTCACGTATATCTTGGATTTAGCGGGTAATGAGGCGACGGGCGGGCGCCTATGGGTCGGGGTCTCTGAATACGTTTCTTCAGAATGGGAAAGTGAAGGTGAAGAAGGCCACCCGTCCCCTGTCCATCTACTTAAAGCCTCGTATCCGTCAGACAGGCATTGCAGGTGTAGATTCTAATAGTGTCGAAGTTAAGAAGTCTGAGAGGCTAAAGTGCAGTAACAACAATACGTATCATTATGGTGTGTATACCTATTTCTATGTATGATAACTCGTTTGATGCGAATAACTTGTCTGTGCCCTATGACGTGTATGTGACATACTATGTTAACTTTGCATCCTTCTAAATACACCGTCCTGTTAAACACCGGTATTCCAATAATAGTAAGTGTGTAAAATGTTAAACTGAAAAACGCAATAAAAGGCGACGCAACTGCGATATTAGGAGAAAGCGGTAAAACGTTCATCAGCACTAACGTCATTGAAGCGCGCCATTGCTAACACCTTGAAGATGCACGGACTGCATGGCTTTGTACCCTTGGGTCAACCATAGGCTGAAGCTAGTCGACTAATATAAGCAATTTTTGCAGCAGCTGAGGCCATTACTGCACACAAACACGCTGGCAGTGCAAAGCTTTTATAGGAAACAAATTGAAGCATTTAGTATATATGTGCAGCATTTGCACGTTCATTATGGAACACATATGTTAACATTCGTTCAGCCCAAAGGCCCAAGCAATTGTGACTGTTAAGCTCCAAGTCCACACTGAATCCATTGCGCCCACATCACGCCCGCCGTCCATGATAGATGGCCTAATGCGAGAATGACAGCTACCTTACGCTTACCTCCAGCAGCTTCACGAAATCGCCCACAACGCGTTTCATTTGCCTCTTGTCGACAGGTTTGAACTTGTACACGTCTAAAATGTCCAATATTACGGTTGCATGTTTGGCAAGCTCCATGATGTTTTTCTTGTTAGTTACACACCCATCTAACATCAGGAAGATTTGTCTCAGCACCTTTGCAGCCTTGTCGCCTGCGTGCGCAAAACCATGGAAATGTGGAGGATCACAGTAATTATTGGCATTGCTTGTGACCGGAACAGCAGGTGCATGAGTTTAGGCCGCCATAAGCTTCACACTGCTGGTGACTGCACCATACACATGTACGTCGGTCCGACCGCTAGCGCACAAGCTAAGTAAGGTAACTGGCATAATTTGCCAAAAGTGCCTATTTGCAGCGAGCCGTTCCCCTTATGTAACAAGCTCACCGGGGTGTGGAATCATGGGCGCTATGGCCTGTAAAAGGCCAGACGCTGCGTGCACTCCCTTCTCCAGCGCGTCCTGTTTTGTGATAAATGGATTGAATCACAAAGAAAATTGTCTTACGAGAGGTTCGACGGCGGGTAATCCACGTATACCTCTATGTAAACAAGCCATGCAATTAGCGCTGTGCAGCGGCAGCGTCATGAGACAACAGGGAATGTTTGCATACATACGAAACAAAAAGAAGCAACGGTTCGGAGCGGTCTATACGGGGCGCCGGACTTGATCCTGCTTCAGTACAGGGTCGTACGATGACCATTGGAAAATCGGTTGATGTGATTCCAGGGCACCTGTTGACCTAGCACAGCGGACGCTGAACCCCTTGGCTGCCTTGTTCACCCATGGCATACATAGCGTTCGTGCCATTGCACACATTTCAGGCGAAAGATTGTTAACAAACTACTAGTGGTTCATCACGCTTTATATCACCCACGCAGCGGGCTATCATACTCAAATCAACGAATTGTCTCCCGGAAGCGCTGTCGGGGTCACGCAAGTCATTTAGGGTTCACTATAGCAGGATGAAGAGAAAGCTCGGCATCGTTTCCACAGTAACAATCACATCTTGGCTGAACGGTACGGCCAGGAGCCCGTCTGCGCTGCAGTTAATGGGCATCATACTCCTCAAGGTAATAGCAAGCTGGGGCATAACTTCACAGACGCGGCTCGGGTCTCAGTAAGTGCAGGCATGATGCCGCCGAAATTCACAGGTCGTCGACATTCAACCTGTCGCTGCTAACAGTCCACTCTATAGAAGTTACGGTACCGATGAAACATACTACATACAGGAGCGGTAATCAATATGGCCGCGATGTTCCTTCTTGATGGCTGGTCATGATAGAAACGAATTGTTTTGGGCTACAGTTAAATTTTCCTCGTTACAGATACGAAACACGTATCCGTTATGCGAAATAGATTTGTCTAGTCACGGACAGCAGGGGCAATCCGGTGGGGGGCATCGCACCCCCTGAAGCCGCTTTGTGGCGGGGGTTCTGCCCAAAACATCAAGAACGGGCCTTACGAACATCTTTTTGGCCGTACAACGGCATTCTCTGCAGCTCTCCTTAACCGTGGCATGTCGCGTTTCGATGGTACTGCTCGCCATGCCCACAACCAGTGGTCGTATGCCCGTCCCAGCCATCACCAAGGCCATAAGGTAGAGTAAAGGGGCAAAAGATCATCCTTGACACAAACACAGTGTGCGTACCAGCAGGCCCCTCCAGTGGCTTCCTTACCGGTAGTCGTTTCATGTTAGAAAATAACCTTTCACACTTCTAAACTTTTATGCATGGTAGGTTTGAATGACTATCATCTGGTTGTATGCTAAACAGTGCAATAAAGACTAAGCTCCAAGCAAAGGGTGTGTGCAATCCGATTTTGCCTCACAAGCTGCGGTCACCGCTGTGCTTGCTTGAGATGAGGGTTTACAGAATATGCACACATACGCACCCAAATCCAATGCTTGGTTGAGGTATCAGGTGATGTTTGCTGCTCGCCAGATGGCTCCTGAAGTGGAGGGACAACACCAGGCGCCGAAACTGTTGTCGTCAATTGGAGCGCCGTGTCCTCAGTTCCGCTGTTATCCCCTTCTGTCCATGGTAGAGGACTGTGGCTGTCAGGGTCGTTCGTTGGGGGTTGCCTCATCTCAGGCTGAGGCCCAGATTGAGGCTCAGGCCACACGAGGTTGCTGTTGCCCCCTCCACAACAGGCAGGAATGCAGGATCCAGTCGGGGATGGGGCAAGGTTCTTCAACTTCTCTTCCTTACCACCCCGTGCTGGTGGCAGCTGAAGTGGACTCTCCCGAGCGCGGTCTGCTTCTGGCAGCTGTTGAAAAGCACTGCGCCTGCTGGCATATCCAGCAGCTGAGGAGGCTCCAGGTGGGAAGGTCGATAGCTGCTTAGGTGTAGGGAATACACGTGCACTGCATTTTCCCTGGCAGCAGGTGAGGTTGCAACACAAAGTCCGTGACAGGCAGGCGGCGCCTAGTGATTGTGGTGGTGGCACCCGGGCCCTGGCGACCATGTCGTCACGAGCCGCCAGCAGTTGGGCCACATGCTCCGGTTCGGCACCCATGCTGATGAGGTACTGCAGGGGGGTGCGTGGGCAGGATTTGATGGCAGCAAGGGTATCAACGGGCTAGTCAGAGGCATGGATTGTAGATAGGTCAACACTGTGCAGAGACACCCTATGGCGTCGAGCCGCTACCTAGCATGAACGTTTAGCACAGCAAGAACGGCTAAGCCAAACTGCAAATACTAGGGCTTATGGGACCTCGGTTACTAGGTAGTTCGGCCCCGCCCATAGCATTCTCTTGCGACTCCGTCAACATGCCAAAGCGTGTCATGACAACTTGTCCTGCCTCTATGTAGAACTGAAGCACGCCGTTGCCAAAATTTGGAATGCATCTATCACTGCCACTCTGTGGCCGTAAGGTAGTGGTTTTAATTCCCCTCTTAGTCTGAGAAAGGGGTGGAAAGGTAGGAGGGGGGTCCACTGTGCCTGGGCAGCTAGGAAGCAGTTCATTGAGATACTCGCACGCTACATTGATGCCCATGATAGAGACCTCAGTGAGGGGGCGGGGTGGTCAAGAGTGGGAGCTGACGAAGAGTTTAAGCCCCACCCTGAATGGTGAGAGCCTCACTGATATGCTCTTCGTTGACGATGCATCCCTACTAGCCACTTGACACGAGAGGGCACACGTGTTTTTTGGTATTATCGGTAGGTTTTGTCGGGCTACGGGGATGGCCCTTAATGCTTCTAAATGTGAAGTCCTCGCAGTTGGAGAGACCGCGGAAGACCGTGCGAGCATCAGGGACCGCGGATTCACGCTGGGCGGCACACACCTTGATGTGCTTCCGGAGCAAGAAACCGCGGCCTACCTTGGAGTACGGTACGGTACGGGGCGGCACTTCGCCGCTTGCACCAGTGCCTGGTCCCCTTTGACTAAGGGGCCCTTTTTCTTGCATGTACGACTGGGTGTTGTCCGCTTTCCCTTGCCTTCCGGTTCGGGATCACTGTAACGGTCATTCATTCAGTGAGTGCCTTGTGGCCGGCCGCAAGGATACTTCTGGTTCACAGACGCGGATCGGCTCCTAGTAGATGCAAGCATGGTCCCGGCGACTTTTACACGTCATCGATACGTCGCTGTTTAAGATCGTCAAATGTTTCAGGTAGGAAGGGTTCCCAGGGGCTCAGTAGGACATACCCCTGGAAACCCTTGGCAACAACACGCATGAAAGTCTACCCTGAATGAAGGGGAAGAAAGCTGTAACAACAGAGTTAGGTCCGCGCCCGGATTGTGGGCTCTGAGCATGCTCGCAATAAAGCCCAGGATTATGGGCTCTGAGCATGCTCGGAAATAAAGTGGGGAGATTTCGGCTTTTAATAGTATGCACAAATAGGCTTAATATATGGCTATATATTATGGCCCAGATTTAACGCGTTGCTGCACTCCCGGTTAAAGTCGCGGGACACACCCTGAACCTGGGCTCTGAGCATGCTCGGAAATAAATAACAAGATTTCCGCTTTTAAAAGCATGGACAAATAGGCTTAATATATAGCTCTCTATGACGGCCCAGATTTAACGCGTTGCTGCACTCCCGGTCAAACGACTACGTTAACCTATCCAGTGCGGTGGTTATATGCCTGGAAATGCGTGCCTTGAGCATGGAGCCCTGATCATGGGCTCTGAGCATGCTCCGAGCATGCTCAGAGCCCATATACTGGGCTCGTTGTTCCTAGGTGGGGCCCGGGTTGCCTAATGCCCCTCGCGATTGCTGCATAGCTAAACGACTACGTTAACCTATCCAGTGCGGTGGTTATATGCCTGGAAATGCGTGCCTTGCGCATGGAGCCCTGATCATGGGCTCTGAGCATGCTCAGAGCCCAGAATCTGGGCCGAAATCGCGAGCATGCTCAGAGCCCATAATCCTGGGCTTTAATGCGAGCATGCTCAGAGCCCACAATCCGGGCGAGGACCTTACTGACAAAACAAACACACCAGACCGGATGGGGAGAAGGATGGGGTTCCCTATAGCAGTCGAACCAGGTCTTACCCCCCTGCCAGCCCGGTTACCCCCTCGTCAGGTCGGCAGGTAACCTGAGCACCAGTCTGTTACCCCTCGGTCAGGAACATGGTTCTGCCGGAGTCGGCTATATGCAAGGCTTACCACTGCAAACGTTAACTTAAGGCTTACTGTCACCATCTTTGGAGGTTTGCGGCTGGCCTGCCCAGGAATCGGTTGTACAGTTCAACTGGCAAGCTGCTGCTTTGTGCCAGAGCTGTGCCCAACTGCCTTCAATTCTATCGATAACAGTTTGATCCTAAGTTATTAGCAACCACACTTGATCTACTCGTGACTTACTTATGCGGACCACCTCCTGTCATGCGACGGTCCCCCTGGTTTCACTTTTACCCTAGCTGTCAAGTATCTATGATATAGGATGCTTTAAACTACCACAATGCCAGTACTGCGTGTGGAAGACTTAACACAGCGCTGATGTTTGACGGAGCCATTGTGCGCGCATTGTTTGCAAAAATCTCTGAGGGAGCTATGCCTGATGGGGCAGAATCGCCATAATTATGGCAAAGGTGGCTATGCTAGCCAGTGGGTAACAAGGCTGGGTTATGTATCTCGGTTACCGTGGTTCGTCATACCCCTGTAACGGACCTTGAGATAACGGACCCTTGACGAGGACTTGACGAGGGGGTAACGAGGGTAGGTCGGTTACCCCTCGGTAGTGAAATGGGTAATGTAGGGGGGGCGGTAACCCCGGGGTAAGACCTGGTTCGACTGCTATAGGGGTTACAGTACAGAGGGACAGTACTCGGTGTGGCCGCGGTGGAAACCATCTGTTGCGCACAGGGTGCATGCTGCTGAAGGGCTGCTTCCTATGCGCATTATGCGGTTGCTATGCGGGCGGACATGCCAATGCCTGTCCATGAGAGGCTCACGTGTTTCTGCGAGATTCATGCTGGCCACATCTGCTGGTCCTTCCGCAGGTCATCGGGCCATGTCGTCCCCAAACGCTCGCTCGCTGAAGCGGCTGCCATTATGTGCTAATGTAACACGTGTTGCCACGCGTCCTATATTACGGCAACGCTGTCGCAAATATGCAATGCCATCTTTTACTTCCACCTCGAGCGCGGAACAATACCATGTCTCCTACATTCTTGCATGTGTTACGTGTGCGCAGTGCAGCCAGACATCGGTCAAACGCTTTATAGAGTTTGGATCGTACCGACATTCCCGAATCAGAAGTTCAGTATCCAAAGCTACCAGTGCGACAGATACAGGCCCTCGTGCTCAGGTGGGCAGCCCTTACACGTCCCAGAGACCCTTTGGACCCCCACATATGTTCTATCCTTTTCTCCGGACCACCGTTGAAGGAAAATAGGATTAGTACAGGGGTTGGTCAGGCAAGGAAATAAGCTTGGATCGCTTAAGCGTTTTCCAGAGCGCTAAGAGGGCATGCAGAAATAGGGCCGTCCCGAAGTAATTCCGTGTTTGCCGATGTCTGAGCGCAGCGCCTTTACCGGACCGGCTGTACGGCACATATGCGAGATACACCAATTCCCACTGATGCAGATATGGCTAATATGATGTGGAGTTTCTACATGCTATTTATGCGTGTAGGTCCAGTCGCGCTTAATAGGTGACCACCTACCCAAACAATCTGTCTCCCCGCGAACTGTTCTGTTTGTTATTGCACCTCTTGACCGGAATGGTTCGTAAGGTTGTGCGGTAGGGCGGGAGGGCCCTACACCGTACCATGTAATCGTAATCGATATACCATACCCTAAGGCCACTGGCGTCCAAAGCCAAAGGAGCAGCAACTGCAACACTTGCCATACCTGCAACCATTTAAACCTATCAGTGCAAGCGTTGAACCCAGCCGTCGCTATCCCAAACCATCGTGCATGGCCTAAGGACGCCGTCCTGCCCACGAATACACGATTCATCAACGAGGGTAATAGCCGTACCGATACGATTGGTGGTTCCCCGCGTCTGTGCCAAGTCCCCAATGGAGCACGTGACTTCCACGTTGCATACCGGTAGTTAATGGTATGGCTTTGTTAACCGGCTCACCGATCACCGTGAACACAGGTGAACGGTGAACTTTACATGCTGGCCTTCCAGTTAACTGTACCAGCCAGCTTAACGCACTTAAATAGGCCTTCTAACAAAAAGCGACCATATCTATGGCTTAATTATAATATAATGAGGTTACAAATATGAGCAGGCAAGTCGGAAACAAGCGGAATCGAACTCTGCCGCCACCTTCCACGAGATGCAATTTGTTCGGCATACAACAACTAAGGCGCTGTTTGGCAAGCGCTTAGAACATAGGTGTGCATATGATACAAAAGGTCTATGAAGGGCTCTGGCCAGGCCTTTCATGTCTTCTGCTCAAGGTGGTTGGGCGGCCAAGCTAGCATGCATATGCTTCCAGGGCTAATGTCAGTGGCGCACACCACTATTGACGATGACACTGAGACGTATGTGTTATGTAAGATCTGAGCTTTATAACGGCGAGGCGCGATACGGCTCTATTTTTCTGAGCTGGCTCAATTCAGGGAATCCCGCTGTTTCCGGCCCAAAATGTTATCCCGTCGCCCGCGCAGAAGACCGCAACTTTGGCAGCTCAATATATATGTATAGAAGGTTCCAGTGTGCTATCTGCGACTGTCGAATTTGCAGTCACGCCTAAGTGCGGAGCGATTTAAGCAATCTGGCTCAAGATAGGTACATACAGGGCTAGCCCATGCACGTAGCTCACCCTATCGTCCCAGGCTGTCACGCAGTGCCCATCCGTAGACAGCGCCTCTCGGTACCGTTGCGTGAAATCATAATTTTCGAGCCACTGCCGCTTCTCCTGCGATGATGAGGACGCGAGTGACGGCGCAGACGAACGCGGGAAAACTAATTCGCAAGGACTCTGCTTTCGCTTGCCTTTGATGTCCACTCATTGCATATTGTGCCCTGAGCCGGGAGCGATGGCGCAGGCCCTTTCGCCGAGTAAGAATTACCCATGTTCCGCAAATGCCGCAGCTATGATGGGCCGAGAGCGAGCTCAACACGTGCACAAATATAGATTACACCCATACATGGCTATTGGTATGTAGAGCGGTCACGCACTGTTACTTCTTAGTGTCGGAATCTCAAAGGAAGCAACCATACTTGCGTGCCACTCTCAATTTCATTAGAAAAGCCAATTCAATGGTGCAGTATAATACAAAGAGGATAGCGTTGGGACACCGAGGCTTGACTTGGCTCTGCGTACGACCATGACAGGCCGAAGACCCCCTACCGCGCACTGGCGGCACAGGAGCTGCGGCACAGGAAAGAGTGACCAACTCCAAATCGCTAAACTAGCTGGTAATTTGCTGTCTATACTTCAAGTCGTTTGATATCGTGTAAAGCTGGCAAATGCTCGTGGACAATCCGCAAAGATTGCATAGTACGCCGTACTTATCGGCCCAATAGCCAGTTAAACAGCATTTTTGCGTATCCGAAAACGCTCTGAAGCAATTTTGCTAACAATTAATACCAAGTGTCATTCACCGGCAGGGCATACGCGCGCCAAGCCAGAACCCTACAGCGCATCCCTTGCTGAGAACGCGACTAGCCCGCTGTCCAGTCCAATTGCTATCTGGCAATTGAGAAGGTCTTCTTTAACTCACGAGACTGTATGAAAAATACACCCAAAAGGGACCCACTGGGGTTGGGCGTTGGTGAGGGCGGGGGATTGGGGCCAGGTGTTGGGAATAATTAAAGATAAGTGCAGCAACGGAATCCCAGTCTCAAATACCGCCGGGGAAGGGAGGGGCTGTGTTATGGGTGAGGAAGGAGGGGTAGGAGGGGCCGGGGTAGGAAAGGGGGGCAAGGGGCGGAGTGGGGAATGGGTGGTGGCCGCTTGGCAGGGAGCGGAGGGCAAAAAAATATATATGATGAGCGGAGGGCAGGGGAAGGGAGAGAGGTGTGCGGGGTAGGGGCCATAGAAGACCCTAGCCACTTGTAGCAGTGAAGGAGCTGAGAAGGGATGGGTAAGGCGAGGGAGGGAGAGAGGAGCTGGAGGGGGGAGTTATGATAGGAACCTAGGGTTACAGGGAGTCTGAAGTGGAGGTCGGGGTTCGCTCTTTCGTGTGTCTTCGTAACCGCGTGTGTGTGACCCTCCTGCCTTACCGGGCCATGCGCATGGGTTTGCACCGGTTGTTTGTACGGGTACCGAACTACCGATGTTGAGCGCCCTACGATAGGAGAAGGGCCGTCAGGGCTGCTAGTCGGAAGGAAAGAAAGTAACGTGAGGGTATACCTTGTCGTCTGACCTGTGCCAAGTGGTTAGTATGGTTTGCATTGCTCGACGCACAGGGCACGTTGCTGTCCGCGCTTCCCTCCTACCTGCCCGGCAACCCCGCGCTGCACCCCATTAACTACTTGTAGCAGCTGCTGGGCGACCCGGGGGGCGACAGCCAGGTGGATACCAACCAGCTGCTTGACTACTTTGGGGCTTGGCGCTGGTCGGTGGTGAGGGCGGGGGCTTGGGGCTAGGTGGTGGAGGAGACAGCTTGGGAGGTTTGGTGCTGGGCTGCGGTGATGGTGGGGGCTAGGAGGCTTGGGGCCTGGCAGCGGGGGGCGGGGAGGCGGGCTGGGGGTAGGCGGCTTGGGACTAGGGGGTGGAGGCGGCGAGCTGGGGGGCTTGGGGCTGGGTGGCGGTGGTAGGGAAGGCGGACTGGGCAACGTGGGTAGGGAAGGTGTGCTGGGCGGAAGCGGCGGGCAGGCTGGAGGCGCTGAACAAGACGCCGCGCGGGCTGTTTTACGGTACCAAGCCGGACGTTTCCATGTTACCGAATCTCGGCATGACAGGACCGGGTAGACGCCCCGTAAGCAACAGCTGTGCAAGGCATCGGCGCACCCCTTCCATTTTACTGAAGTCCGCCCATACCGGCCACGAACCGTGTGTCATCCGGACTAGTCGCCACTAGATCACCGAAGCCCTCTAGGCGCTCAGCTACACTGGCTGCTGCTGCTCTATCTCTGTCTAAAGGCCCAGCTGTGGCGCCGTGGTCCGTGCTGGCAGAAGGAGGATTGGCTAGCTTTGGCTGTGCCACAACGCTACAACCTAAATAATTATGTAAGATGCATGTTGCAATGCCAAAGAACCGTGTCCAGTTGTTCATTGTGGGCCTGGGCCTGGGCTTTCGCGCGCAACGTGGTAAGGATGCGCAATAGGGTTGTGGCTTGGCGCGTCTAGGCCCTGCCGGTGAATGGTAACTTGTATCAAATGTTATCAGGATTAACTTAGGAAGGTTTTCGGGTATGGGAATGCTGCAGTTGGGCTATGAGGCTATAAAGTACGGCAAGCTGTGGAATCTTTGCGAAATGTCCACAAGCATTTGCCGAATTTACACCATATCAAAACGCGTGAAGTATCGACAGCAAATTACCAGCTAGTTTAGCGATTTGGAGTTGGTCACTCTTTCCTGTGCCGCAGCTCCTGTGCCGCCAGTGCGCGGTAGGCGAAGACCCTAAACGCGTAATCGACCTCACCACCATGCTTTGCCCTACAAACTACTGGTATCAATGCAAATCCGCCCATACGCATGGGCAAAGCACTCACATGGCACCACCGGACGTGCAAGACACCCAAGTCCGCTGACTTTCACACCATTCTGTGCTATTATGGCTAATGAACAATGTTGGTTTGCAGTAGGAAAGCTCTGTTACATGGCTTGTGTTACATAGCCGAACTGTGAAGGACATGCTAACTGATGGCTTAGTCTGCATACTTAAGGTGTTTGCGCTGCTTTAAGCTTAAATCTAGAGCCCATATCAAGGTTAAAGCAGTTAAGTTTGGATTAGGGCTATATGCCGTCTAGGGTGGATTTGCCGTCAGTTCGGTAACGGTTAGGATTCGTCTGTAGGGCTTCGTCGGGTCTCTAGCTATCGTTATGGCTTGGTTATGTTGCGTTTAGCTGCGGCAGGGGGTGGGGGGCGAGCCCCACGGTCTGCGAAGCTGACGGTTTGTACATCTGCTAGCCATGCCTGTTTAACATGTATGCTTCTCCATCATGCTTATCGCCATCCTCCTCTTTCCCCGCTGCCAGCACTTCAGGTGCCTTCGCCCTGGCTGTCGCAGGGTGCGAGCTGGCCGCACAGCTGCAGCACTGCGTAGTGAAGGCGCGGCCGCCCTTGTGCACCGGGTGTGGTGCGGAGCGCTGGCAGCGGCGGTTGAGCTGGCTGGGCGGTGCAGCGGCCTCGCGCTGCTGCTCATAGTGCTGGACTGGCTGGGGAGGGGCAGACCTGGTCGGAGGAGGTTGGGGAGTGCGGCCATTGCTGCACGGGAACTGATCCTTGTGATTCGGTACCATGGCACTACTGTTTGCCCAAGCGTTGTGTTTTACAACCGGATCCTGCCTTGCTTCTCCACCGTTTCCGCTCAAGCAGTCTCTTGGCCCCTGATCCACGCAACCCCTAAAATTCTGTGTCGCTGCCCTGGTTAGTTGTTGTGCAGGGTGGGGGTCATCGGGCGCATGTGGGCTGGTGATTGGACAGGGCAAAGACAGCCATGGGAGGACGCTGGTGGACGGCTTATCAGGATTACTAGGGTATGTACTTGTTACTTGTTGGTACTGCTTCATCATATGAGTGTGCAGGCAATACCGGTACTGGGGCTTCATCTTGTACTGCGCCGCCTGCCAGCAGTGCAGCAATACCACTGATATATGGCGACTAAACGGTTAACCGAGAAGACGCTTTCCACAGACAATCGCCTGCGTTGCCTATGTCATACTCTCCCGATTCCATTTAAGCATTCACCTCTACCTCCACACTGTCCAATACGGGGGGCGTAAAAGTCGTACATATCACGTGGCACACGAGCATGACCCAGACAGTTGCACACATTGCGTCAGTGTACCAATACACCGAAGCATACAATACCCTAACCGGCGGGCGCGCGGCAGCAGCCGGTAATTACTTAAATAAGTTAAGTCATCACTTAGTGTGATGTGCAACTTATGGAAATGGACTGACAGGTTGCAGTAAGAACTCAAGAACACCGTTACAGTGAAGGTATGCCCCCCAAAACATGGACTGGGTTTACGGCCCCCACCCTTCCTTGCACGCATGCACGGGTGGCCACATATGTGCGATAATAGTCAGGTCACACAACGTTAATTTCTGTAGCAGCGCGAAAAGGCTTACTCGAGATGGCAAGGAACCCAACTTGGGGCTTATATCTGGTTCCGGATGCAACTGCCGTACGGATCTTGTACTGCACCATTGCAATTTCCATGTTACGTTTGTGAAGAATTAACGTAAACGTAGACCGGTCACATGACAAACGTTGGGTTACGATTTAGCTCTACGTTGACGTAGGTCATGAACGTGAACGGAGGGGGTAGGGGGGTGGGTTCACGTTAAAATGTAGCGAACCGAGGTGGACCCCTAGTCGTAAAATTAGTACTACAGCTTCTTGGGTGCGTGTTTTACCATGGTTCCTTCAGCAAAGCCTTTCGAACTCTTTAAGGTGATCAATTATTGCGCGCGACCATGTGTTTTTATTGGCGCCTCAGCGCGCGACCACTCATGCCATTCTTAGTGAGATTAGCCATTAACTCCTCCTAAAACGTCCCTAACTCAAGCAAATATGGCTAGGTCGGCTGCCAGGGCACTCATGGACATTAGCAACATTGCAACATAGGCAGACCCACGGGTCAGGTGCTTAGCTCTACGGACTTCACCGGGTATTGGGTTACGGACAATGGCACGACGCAGCTCGGGGACAGCCCGAGCAAAGTGGAATCCATAATCCTGGTATAGTTTTCTGGTCGCTGCCTTGTCGAGGCAGAAGTGGCCAATATACTAGCGTCCTCACGGTCAGGGAAGCGCATGCTTATCTCAACCCTATCGCCCATAACGCCTAAGCCACGAAGACCAGAACCAACGTGGCATGGGGCCGCTCGCGGTTGGGAACAGAGCCAGGGCAACCCAACTGGTAGCCCATCGGCAATGAATAACAATGAAGCTCTTAAAAGTCCCTATTAACGTGGCACTGAATTTGGTGTACGGACGTAGCATGTGACCGCGACCTACACTTGGGCCGCTACGTCCAACGTGGGTTCTATGTGACGGAAGGTAGGAAGTAGCCATTTGTGACCAGGCTGTAAGGGGCATGCATACCCCTTCTAGTTCGCCTTACAACGATCCTCGTCGTAGACGCCTCTTATAGCCAACGAATACAAAACATTTCCAACGCACTTCCCTTCCCAAGGCGTACGTCCGTCTCTTTTTCGCGCTCTTACGCGTTCTTCTTGCCCAAGTGCGGCAGCCCCTGCTGCCCCTTCTTGGGAACCTTGGGACCCCTGCCACCCGGCAGCTGACGTGCGACCTGCGGGCGGCGTTGGAAGTGAGACGGCTGGGAAGGATGGATGTCTGACTAGCATAGCAGCAGGCCGGAATAAGGGAACAGACCTGACTCACGATGCAGCGCCCTGGCTACCTGGGATTATCCGGTCCAAATAGGGCTAAGACATGTTGGGGACCCACTGACTGTTGTACGGGCATGGGTGTACGGTTGCACGTCATAGCAGTAGGGATGTCGTGGAGACACGCCAGTGTGTACCCTGCCCAATGTCAACTCCTCACATCGTACAACCCTTGTCCTGCACAACACTACACCCGAATCCCAGGCCGCCCTCCCCCTCTCCTTCCCACCTCCTCATCGTAGCGGTACACCGCCTGGCGGTCCCTCTTCCGGCCGGTGTTAATAATCTCTGGGATGCTGCATGAGGGAAGGCCCTCAGTTAAATGCCTTGCGAGGCTGTGGTCGGGAGGTAGGCGTGCATGCGTTGTCCTTGCTAGCTCTTTTCGTAACCCTAACACCCCCAACCCACTATCCTGAAGCCCATCCCCATGCATAAACCCCACAAACCTTGGCCAGGCAGGAAAGCACGCTATGACATTTGTTGCGTGTATCCTGCTAGCCTCCGCCCCTCCCGGGATGCTGCCCACCGTACCTGTGGAGGCCCTTCCGCATGGCCTCCCGCCAGCGGGGCACTGCCATGTGCATGGGGTCAGGCCTGCATGTGCGGCACCACATAAGACGCTCAGGTCAGCCTAGCTAGCACCACAGCAAAAAGGGGTCGTTGTGGCTTTCCATGGCACAGCAAGTCCAACCGCACAGAACCGTACGTCCGTATCGCACCTCCTGTCCAGATTGGCGCTGATGGCGGGGTTCCCTTCCATAATGGCTGCCAAATCCTCCAGCGTACCCTGCGGGGAGTAAGGGCGCGGGTGTGGATGCAGTGCTCTGGGGCCGAAGCATCCACCGCCCAAGTTGCAGCCCGGCAGATAAGGGCTTTCCCACCGTTTCACTGCTATTGTTCGTCTTGGTATATGGGGTCTTACCAAAGGCGCATTACCAAAATACCCCAATGTTTACCAGCGCGCTTGGGGTGGTCTGCAAACAGCCGCACGTTGCTCACCTCGCGGTCAGGGAGCAGCTGGAACGCTGCCTCCAGCCATGCCTGGGACAGCACCAGGCTGCGTTAAATAAGTGCTTGAAGGGCAGCCCTGTGCACTCTCACCATGGCTTTGGTTTCGTATGCTAGGTAGGTAAGGGTGACTCACCCGCCAACGGTACGTGTTTTTGTGAGCCCGCATTGCCTTGCCCTGACCTATGGGAAGGCGGAGGGTATCGGTAACAACGCCAACGTTAGGTGAACGGCCTGGATTCCTAGCTGCTGTAGTTTCGCGCCGCAAGAACTTTTGGATCAGAACAGGAGGGTGTGCGGTGACGTAGCTCACCACTCAGCGGGTCACAGCCGTGAAGGATCTGGCGCCGCATGGTGACCAGCTTGTTCCGCACGCGGTCAAATATCGCGTTGTCCGGGTCTGGAAGTTCCGCCCAACCTGTATGCATGCGCAGCGTCCCGTTAAGGTCACACGGTAGCTTGCACATTGCGGCCTCATATCCACAGTACGCTGGCAATTAATTGATGCGCTTCCCGGGGAAGTGATCCGGGGTTAAGCTAGCTTACCTAGGTCTATGAGAACTTGGCGAGTGTAAAGCTGTTTCCCAGGTGGCAGGGATGTGATGTAGCGCACCAGCACCTGCATTAGTTCGCTCCTCTTTTCGAGTATTGCGGAAAATACATAGTAAAGATGCCCCCTACGCCTATGATTACGACGCTTCTCCCGCACCTCCATATGTTGCGCTTGCCATCTTTCCCCCGGCCGTGTCCCTGGAAGCGCCCCCTCGCAAGGGGCATTTGTTGCTTCTCCAACGGGCTTTCCATCCTGATCCAACCGGCGCCTCTTACGTCTGGCAGGTACTTGGCCCCTCGCGCTTCCGAGCATACCGGTAACCGCCTCTCCATCGCCGTTGGCTCCCAGTTGCGCTACATGGCCTCTGACGTCGGCTTTTGGCAGGAAGCGCGTTAGTGCCCCGTGCAAATGTGTAACATTTTCTAACAGTACAGCGCTTACGGCTGCCACGTAAACTTTCTCCATGTTATACACTGCCGAAGACCAGAACTGTACTTCGAAATGGCGTTTACGGGAACATACAGAGGTAACATGTATAATTATTAACTTTGGTTATCTTTGAGGCCTGAAGCAACGATTCAAGGGCTAGTCAGCCGACAGTTAATGGTCGTGAAGGCCCTCCACCCCTCATATAATCCTATTGAGCTACACGTACCACTAACACGAAATCTGTCTTTCTTACATTGCCCATTACATAAGAAGGCCCGGCTGCCCTGCGGTAACCGGAACTGCTGCCTTCGGAGCTACTGGCAAGCTCCCAAGCTGAAGCTGAGTACTTGTTGCAAGCGGCGCAAGGGAAGCTTGAGCCCTTGTTACCGCGAAGTTTACTGAATATCCCGATTGTGCAACCTGAAAAACTTGGCGACTACGCGTGCGTTGACTCTTGCGTCCGCCTATCCAGTGTTATACATTTTACCTCATGGACAATAAAGCGCTCTCACCAGCTTGTGCAGTACTGCTGAGCAACGTTGCTTTCTTCGCTTGCCAAAACACGATTGTCAAGCCACTGCCCGGCAATAACAGCGCCCCCGCGACCTCCTTGCCTGGTGACGGCGAGGAAGCACTTGGTTTCGCCGAACTACCCCCTCCTAAGGCCCCCCGCTTTGACATCAGACATGATACCGTTCCCGGCAGTGGCCACAGCGCTCTTTCAGGCCGCAAGGACACAGCAGACGTGGGGGCCGAAGACACCAATGTCCAGTCTCGCGGCTGGCGGCCTGGGGAAATGTGGGAGCGGGAGCAGTTGCAGGTGTGTAGGGGAAGGGCTGGGTTCGCTCAAACTGCATGCAGGCAAGTGTGTAACTGGAAGCATTATGCATTCATGACATGCTTGTTACTAACACAGCTTGCGTTGTACCACAGTTGATGGTTCGATACGTGGCCTCCTTATCACCCAGCGACCCAATTAATACCCGTGGGGTGATCGCGTTGTTGGGTAAGCATGCCGCCCGAGTTTAGGGGTCAAGTATACCGGTTTGGCTTTAGGTTGATGAACGTAAGATTCATGCAAGCCGTCTACTATGTGATTATGCGCGCATTTGCAGGCTTGGCGGAGCTCCCTGACCCTAACAGGGCAATATTCAACAAAGTTAAGAGGAAGCTCTTTTCAGTCCGGCACCAACTCTCTAACGGTGCGGATCCGCTGGCAGGTGCGCACCGCTGCGGTGAAGCGCTGGTGTAGTGCTTCTTGAGCCACCTTGAGTGATGAGTGGCCGTTATGGTGACTCCAAGCCCGAAGGCAAAAAAGACGTGATATTTTACCGCAGGCCGGGCCCAGCTTGCTGGCCGCATGGCCCATAGGACATACCGCTGGCGGGTAGGAAATGGAAAAAACCCGGCTATCTTTCTTAACGGAGGTCATGGCGAGTGTTTCCTTGATGTCTGCAGGACTGGTTGCGTGGAGCCTTCCTGCAACTCCCAAACCGCGAGGTTGGTTGGTGAGATAGAAGTATGCACGTTGATGTGAAATAGTACCGGCCATAACCTATGGTTCAACGGGTCCGGGGGAGCCCAGCGGACGAGCCTGAAGTAGTCGCCAGCTGGCTACACTATTCCCGGGCTGCCTGCAGGGTACCCTGCACGATGTTGCTGCCATCCTGGAGTCTGACCCCGACATCTCCCCTAAGCTGGACAGGAGGTAAGTGTGGGCACGGGTGTCGGCACTAGACTGCCGATCGCAACATGAGCTGGCCCAAACGTGCACGTCACGTGACCCCCGGATGTCGTACACTGCAGGCCGGACTCCGTCGCGGTGACAGTGCCCAGGTGGAGGGCTAACATGTGGCGCTTCATCTCAAAGTGAGCTAGTTCGTTGCGGAAATACCAGAACCTTCTTCAGCGCATGCGTCATGTGTCCGCCTGTGTTGCTTTTATGGCAGGGTGCCCGAGGTCGTCAATACCGGTCGGAAACCGGGTCGTTTGGTCGTCTACCGTTACGATGAGGAGGTGAGTGGGCGCCTCCGATGTGTGATGGCCCCAGCACCCAGCAGGCATGCGTATTCACTTTCGGAGCGGGCGCTGTACTTTGGGAAGATCTCACCTTTCCTAAGATCCTAGCGCTTCATTGTACAGACGACCCCCTTGTTTCAGCCTGGCTGCCATGCCAGTCAGACATCTCCCTTCCCAACAGCACTACCTCCAACGCCGTCCCCAGGTCGCACGTCAGTTGCCGGGTGGCAGGGGTCCAAGGGTGCCCAAGAAGGGGCAGCAGGGGCTGCCGCACTTGGGCAAGGAGAGCAACTGAGGAGGATGGGGTTGGAGGGCGGTCGGCGGCGCTGGGAGGCGACAGCTTCCATCAAGGCTTGTACGTCCACAGCCGAACTCAAGGCAGGAATCGGACAAGTTACAGAAAAATTTAAAACCGAAGTGTTGCGTTTTGCTTGCCTTCCCACATCTTGCCTAATCCGCAGTCGTCCCTTCCGACCGACCAGTCCTTCCCGCTCCATTGCACTCATAGGTGTCGCGTGCATCCCCCGCTCCATTGCGACCATGTTGCTGTCTGTACCGAAGGCAGCTGCATGGGACGGCCCCCTCAGTCCTTGAACTCCGCTTAATCGGATGGAACGGCGTCACTCTTCCGCTTGCGCTAAGAAGCAGTGCTGGGGAGGGGCTGGGGGACAATGTCGCCTGTAAGGTGGGGAATAATGGAGGTGTGGGAGGGCGTGCGAATTGGGGATTGGCCCATGGGATGCGTTGGTGTGCAAGGGCTGTGGAGCCCAGGGGACGGATGATGGGCGTCGGGTAAGAAGGGCAACGTGATGCAGGTCAGGTACCTGGTTGCGCGGGTGCTGCACGGGTGAACTCTTCATGGTCGGAGAAGCATGGCTTGTGGACGGCTGGGGTAGGGGGCGAGGGCTCGCAAGGGGGCATGTCCAGCCGGGAGCGAGCGGGCCTCATTAGCGGTATACGGTAAGCGGTGCTTGTATTAGGGTGAGGTTTCCTGTCATAGAGTTTATCGCTTATAAAGCACTTGGTATGTAGGGCGTGCCATGCATTATGACGTCTCGTCATACCACGATGAAGGGTGAAGCAGATTAGTCTTGCTGCGTACGGGACTGAGCGGTTGACCTCCAGTTTACGAGTGCGCTATTGACGCTGGAAAGCAGGCGTATAAGGGAGGGGGTACGGTGTTTTGTGCGGGTTTGCAGCAGGGCTAGCACTAACTCCATGGGTGAACATGGAGGAACGGCAGCACTGATGGTGGTTGGGCGCCTGGAGCTCCTCTTCACCGAGCCAGCCTCGTGTGCTCCTGCAGTGTCATGTGAGCTACACGACATATAGCTACACAACATGGCCTCTAGCGGTGCATGCAATGGAGATAATAGTTCAGCATGGTTATGCGGTACGTGCAGTGACGGCTCTTAATGGAACGATGTCCAGCGTGAGGTTTCTCGTTCCATAAAACAGCGAGGATGGACCCATGGGTCACTAACCTAATGCAATCGGTATACTTAACACATATCATAGGTGTACATCGCCGCAGCTACCGCAGCATGCGGGCAAATAATCACTTCCCGTCTCAATGCGCCCAAACAGCTTTTAACCGTAGTAAAGCAGCAGGCAGGAGGGCGACAACGCGATCCACACTACTGCTGCCCCTGCCTCCGCCCCCTCCCCCTTCCACCTTCGGTAAATGTGTGTCCTTGCAGACTGGCCCACTCCAAGCAAGGAAGAGGGTAATGCCGCAAAGCCGGCCGTCCCTGTACATCCGAGTTTGGAACCGCACCCCATAACAACGCATACTGGTCTTAGCACGCACGCACGTAGCACGCATGCTCCGCACTCCTCCTACCCCGTTTTCACACCCCCTCGTTCCCAATCACGTAACCAACCCCATCCCATCCCCCGCAAGCCCCTCTTCCTCTCCATACCGGCTTCAGCCCTTATACACTCATCCAGGCAGCTGCGGCTCGCTAGCGTCACACCCTGGGGCCCCACTCCACGACCGGTATCCCCACTCGCTTTTCCAAACAGCAGGGGCATCACCAGTGGGTTACCTAGGACGTCGTTCTCTCGTGTTATATTGTATAGCAATTCACATCTCCCTTCCTTCTCACTCGGGAAGTTCTGGGCCAAATGGCCTGTGGCACATAGGGCCCCGCTGGGGCCTGATATCGCCTGTTCAATTGCGTTCAGCTCCGTTGCCCTGCCAAGCTAGGGTACCGCACTGTGTGCACCACACTGCATGAACGCTGCCCAACAACCAGCTCGCCACTTGTATGGCCGTTGTATGTGTCGTCTCCACCGCCGCCGTTCGGCCAGTCCACAGCTCCTCAGTTGCTCTCCTTGCCCAAGTGCGGCAGCCCCTGCTGCCCCTTCTTGGGCACCTTGGGACCCCTGCCACCCGGCAGCTGACGTGCGACCTGCAAACATGGCAGCGAGGCGGTGAATGAAACGTCAGCTGAGTAGGAAAGGAGCCGCCCGGGAAAGGGTGCTGTGAATGTAGCGGGTAACGCATGAATGAATGAATGACCGTGCATGCATTGACCTGTCCAGCAGCCTACTAAAGCGTTGCACGGGATACCAAGCACGTTCCCCACAAGAGTCAGCTCCTACCTCCTCATCATAGCGGTACACCGTCAACTGGTTTCTCTTCTTGCCGGTGTTGAAGATTTCTGGGATCCTGCGCATACAATGCACATAATGACATGCCTCGGCACTCCATGAGGCTTTGTGTCACCTCCACGCACCGCGGGATACTTTGAGACACGCTGCATCTCCATCTTGGAACTCTTAGCTTTACTGGCTCCATTCTGCGGTACGTAACACCAAAATCTGTACAGCATGAACCAATCGGTGACGTTACGGCAGGATTTCCATTGGCACCTTCTGTCCAGCTTGGGCGAAATGTCTGGATCCGCTTCAAGAACGGCCGCAATATCGTCCAGCGTGCCCTGTAACACCCGGCCAATAAGGGACGACGGTAACACTTCTATAACACCGGTACATCACGCATCCGAATTGCAACGGGTGTTAAAGAAGCAAGGCGTTCAGGGGGTTTCTTCTCTAGTTCACTACCAGGACCATATGTCCTACGCCCGTAGAAGGGGCGAAGCCACCAACCCTCAACCAGAAGACCCTGGAAATCTCCTTGCCCCAGCCCAAGGGAGATCAGGTATTGCTATGGTGGCAACAACAGGACATAACTCGCCATATCTGACATGTATTCACCGCGCGTTTCCCCCGGGCCACTGTCACTGCCCCCGTTTCACCTCGTGGTTTGGCAGCTGTAGTAAGGCTCGGCGCAGCCACTCCTGCATGAAGCAGGGGTTCATGCATATATCAATACCGGTACGCCTAGCCCAGCCGCACGGGGAAAGTCCTGCACCTTACCCGCCAGTTATACGTTCCAGGGGCCATAACCATGCACTGCGACCGGCCTGCAAAAAAACAACAGGTCAACTTCCCGGACACAACACTGGTGCCTGAAACGCAGACTTCCATGAATTGCTTTGAGCTTGGTGTTGCGGTGGAGTCGCACCTGCCAGCGGATCTACTCCGTTGGACAGTTGATGCCGGATGTTGCTTAGCTTGTACAGAAGTCTCCTAGAAATCGCGCCGTCCGGGTCAGGGAGCTTTGCCCAGCCTGCATGATAGGAGCCAGCACATGCATGTGCGTCTGCTACTAAAGCGCTCATGCATGCGCCAGCCAGCCACACAAGGGATAAGCAGGCGCCGTTGCCCGCAGGGCCCTGCATGCAAACCCCTCCCCATTATGCTAGGGCAACCGGCCCAGCACCTACCCAACAGTGCCAATGCCTCGCGGGTGTTGTTGCGGCGTCCGGGTGGCAGGGAGGCCACATACTCCACCAGTAACTGCATTTAAAGGAGCACAGCTTCACAATGCGTTGCCAACGGGCTGCCCTTAGGTGCTAACCCTGGACAGGAAACCCCATGACTCACCTGCAACTGCTCCCGCTGCCATCTAGCCCCATGCCGCGAGCTGTCAGCCTTAGCGTTTCCGTGTTTAGGTCCCACGTCCGCAGTATCCACGGCTCTTGTGGGAGCGACGTTTGGGATGCAGCTGTGCACCGCCGCACCTTGGCAGCTGCCCAAACAAGAGCGCTGACAAGGAGCAAGTACGGCGGTGCCAGCGTTGTGCAGTTCCTCGCTTTCACCATGCATGAAGGTCGCGTGCGGTCTGTGCGCAGCCGGGCAGTTGTTGCTGCCGGGCCGTGACAACACATCCGTAACTGGGCCCGCAAAGCAAGCGACATTGCTCAGCAAAACCGCACAAGCGGTTGAGAACTCTCTTTCCATAGAGTAGGGATTATGAGTTGCTTGTACTTATTCACGCCAGTTACCGTAGTAACAGGAAGTTTTCGTGACAGCAAGTAAAGGGCAAAAATAGGGCCAATTATTGTTACCCACCCTCCCTACAGTTGCGGTACCGTACCACACAAAGCGACAATTGTTGTGACAACTGCATGCGAAGGCTTTGACATGAGTTGTGGAAGCATTGACTGCCTGTACTACACTGGGTAGCGGGCTACTGTTCCGGAGCCACAATTGTTCCCGATGCCGGTTTGGTAAAAGTGCCAATAAATGTTACGTGACACAATGTCAAGGTGCCATTACGAAATCCGTGTCACGAAAACATTCTGTCGCTACGGTAGCCTGAGTATCTGCAAACTCGTTAAGCTAGGTTGTCTCCAACCTCTTACAGCCTTTTACGAAAAAAGAAGTTAACGGCAAATGGTTGGCGCTATCTTAGTGCCGTTTGCTGCACTCTGACTATCTGAGTAAGTTTAAGTGTTTCGGAGCGACCCGCCGACGGTTCCTGCTGCGGTTCCTAGCTTCCCACTTCTCAAAATGAGATGGTCACCGCCTTCAAGTCCGCAACAGTTTATGCATCAGATAAGTGTCAGTAGACCTTTTCCAATTAATGACGGCTCACATCGCTTGTAGCTCCTAATTGACTTGGACAATAAGCCTACGCAATCCATCATACGGTTTCGGCTTGCATTTGCCTACGCCTGTACTATACAATCCTTATAGGATTGACTCCTTTCTATGACGCCAACAAAGTTTTCGGCCGTTTGTGCTGTAGCTCTGAGAAATGTTTTTTATTACGCGGAGACAATTTCAGGCCCCCTATCTCGACGAGACAACGTCATTCTGGAGAGGGAGGGGAGTAGCGCAGACTTGGAACCTGACCACGTCGAGGAAGTGCGCAACGTCGGCATTACCAAAGCGTCATCATGCAAGCGCCCTCACTTTGACGAGGCATCCGGTAGCAGCCACAGCTCTGAGCCGAGAGGGCACGAGGTCAATGCAGAAACGGTGGCGCAACATCGCCCTTTGTATGTGTACGGGTCATTGCCTGGAGAGGAATGGCCACTAGATTTGTTGAAGGTGTGTTGGTGGCGGGGTCGGGTGGCTAAGATTTCCATTGGGGCTTGTAAACTAATTACGACGAAACCACGTCGCCCCTTGTCACCCTTCCTGCACTGCAGTTGCTTGTGGAGCACGTGGCGTCCCTGCCTCCTGGCTGCCGCGTCCGTCCCCATGAGGCAATAGCGTTGTTGGGTGGGTGCGCGTACGTGATTCCTTGATTTGCGTCATTGGGAATGCGCATATGTTAAGGTGGGGCATGCATGGAGGATACAGACGTCCACCAGCATTCCACAGCTACGGTCTGTACACGTGTACTGTGTGTTTGTACGAGCCAGGGGGGCCAAGGACACAGTACGAAACGAAATTAGTCCGTGTCAGGTCCTCTCACGGGTAGCCGCTTGGTGTAAGCTCTGCGTAGGTGTTTCCTGTTGGACGTGCGGGTCTCCCACGGCTCAGATACCCAAGGCCCCAAAGGAGGGAGGCAGTGGTCACAACTTCCTCTACTGAACCTACTTCTGAGATTGGGGGAACCTTCGTACTCACGACGTAGCTCGTTGTAGCGCGGACATTACATGAATACCTGCAACTCGTTCTCAATGGCGTTGTCATCATTAGAACACCTGCAATTCTGATTTGGGGCGACCCATATATGAGTTCCCTTCAAAACCCCAAACCGCTTGAAGTTCTAGCTGTTGCGGGGGAGGACGACACTGGCGCGAGCGAGCCAGGCCGTTGGTTAACCCCCTTAAGGCTAGGGCCATGGGCGTATGCGGCACGCCCTCACAGGTCTGGGTGCCCCATACTTCCGAGGCCATCTTCACCTCTGGGGGCATCCATCTAGAATCTAGGCGCTCTCTGTACTACTGCTGTGTTATGAACCACTTCTCGGTTTGTGCGTATCATCATTGCACAGGGGCCATTTTCGGTAACTCGTGCGAAAGCACTACCTAGCCTGACCTGCTTGTGGAGTCCCATGGCTCGCTTGCGCTCGTGTTGCAGGCTGGGCGGAGCTGCCGGACCCAGATGGAGCGATAGGCAGGCGAGTTAGGTACAAGCTGCACTCCATCCGGAACCAGCTGGCTAAGGGTGTAGACCCGTTGGCAGGTATGGCGTGATTGATGGCGGAAGGGGAGCGGGGTGGGGTTGGCCGATAAGGGAGGGAGAGTTGTCCATGACGAGCTGTGACTTGGCTTGTGTGCTTACGCAATGCCTTCCGAACAGGTCGGATGCGACCTGGACGCATGGCTAAGAAGACATATAACTGGCGGGTAAGCGAAGAGATTCCCCGCTTCCTTAACAATCGGAGGACATAATAAAACTCCTTTACCTCCGCAGGTTTGGCTCCAAAAGGCGTTCCTACAGCTACCAAATCAGGAGGTGGGGGGCCTGGAAGCCTGGGGGGAAGGCTAGGACCACGAAGAAACATCCGGCCCTGGTTAGGTGCTCTCGGTTGTTGCTACCATTGAGGCCCCAGGCCTCCCTCTACCTGCAGGGCACGCTGAATGATCTCGCCGCCGTGCTGGAAGCGGATCCCGACATCGCCCCTAAGCTGGACAAGAGGTGCGTGTGGGTATTATCCGTACCTGACCTGCCCGGGTTGCTGTCACACCATGCGCCCCCGTGCGCTTCAGGTCGGACTCAACGAAGGTGGCGGCTCCAAGGTGGAAGAGGAACGTGTCGCACACTGTTTCCAGGTACGTGCGGGGGTAATCCTCCTGAGCGCGAGTGAAGAGCAGTACGGTACTGGTATCGATCTCCCACCCATTCCTCAGCGTGTCTCATGAGCGCGCTGAAGCAGCCGCTGCATCACCGCGAGCCCTGCATGCAGCTGCAGCAACCCTTTAAGCCTTGCTGGTACACCTTCAACACCAGGGGCAGTGGATGGCAACGAGTTTAACACCCTAGCAATCACTGTAAGTTCCGGGGCAAAATTGAATATATGAGCCTGTGTCCCCCTGATCCGGTTTTCCACCGCAGTATCCCCGGCGTCATCAATACCGGCCAGAAGCGGGGCCGCCTGGTGATTTACCACTACGATGAGGAGGTGGGTGCAGCGGACGGCCGGGCGTTGGCCCTACTTGGTTGTAATCCTGGATCCACGCACGAGGGCGCACATGGGGAGCATTGCCATGGAGACCAGTGATTGCAGCAGTGGCTGCGGCACAACCTCTCCTGCCCCTCAAACCCTCGCCTCCCCCGCGCACACAGGCCGCCCGGCAGCTTGGCGAGCGCGGCAAGCCGGCCAAGGTGCCCAAGCACCGGGTACCGCACATGGGAGTTCACGACAACTAATCCACTGTGCCACTCGAAAGAAGCGCTTGGGGCAAGGACCAAGCAGCCTCTCCAGGTTTACCCCATGGCGGCCGGAAGAATGACTTCAAGTCTTGGTACCGGTAACAGAACCCAACCTCTCCAGAACGTTTCGACCCAGACCGTAAGAATGCCAGCAGAATCAGCAATGGCGCCTGTCGGCTGCAACCACCTGGCGACTACACCGCTGTCGGGTGGTTGTGTATAAACGGACGCATCCGCCTCCCTGCTTCCCAGCCCGCTCCCCCCCCAAGGCGTCTTCTTTCTCACATCGTCTCGGTTTCTGGTAAGCATTCCCTGAGTTCCGTGTTTCTCGGATAGTTTCACCATATGCACTCACTGCATGAGTCGGGGTATGGGAATTTGGGACTCTGTTGCTTCACTTTTCATTTATTTTTACCCCACTCCATCCCACTGCCATGCAGCTCCGTTGCCGGCACACGCCCTGCGGACCCGTGAAGCCCGCGCATGAGCGGAGGAGTGAAACACCGGGGGACAGTGGTTGCGAGCGGGAGAAGCATGGCTTGCGGATGGCTGGGGTAGGGGGCGAGGCCTCGCAAGGGGGCATCTCCAGCCGGGAGCGAGCGGGCCTCATTAGCGGTATACGCTAAGCGTCTAGGCTGGCGGGGAGTTTGCACTAGGTTAAGGGCTCCTGTCACAGGGTTTTCCACCATTCTCTTTATTTGACACCTGGTAGGTAGGACGCGGCATGCGTACTGTCATCTCGTCACCTTACGTTGCGTGAAGTAGATTGGTCTTGCTGCGTACGGGACTGAGCGGTTGACCTCCAGTTGTACCGGTATGCTGGGCGCCAGGACGGGTGCGGTGTTGAAGCTGGGGAACAAATATACGAGGGACGAGGTACGGCGCGGGTGTACGGCAGGGCTGGCACCAGCTCCTTGAGCGCACGTGAAGGAACGGCAGGCGGTGCAAGATGGTGGGCCTGGAGCTCCTCTTCGCTGAGCCAGCCTCGTGTGCTCCTGCAGCGTCATGTGAGCTACACGACACATGGACATGCTATGGCCTCTAACGGCGCATGCTAAGAGAGCTAACAGTTCTGCATGGTTATGCGGTACGTGCAATAACGGTTTTAAGTGTCCTGCGTGAGGTTTCTCGTTCCATATAACAGCGAGGATGGACCCATGGGTCACTAACCTAATGCAGTCGATATGCTTAACAGTTTTCATATGTGTAGTTGAGTAGAACAAGAGCAAGCAGTTGGGATAGGTTCGCATGTGAACCGCGAGTACAGGCAAAAACAGAGGGAAAATAGAGGTGAACAAACCTGAAAAGTAACTCAAAAACTGATTAAATTGCTGGTGCTGGATGTAAGAACAGTGGCGGGTTGACGACGCATGTCGGTGATGCTGATGGTGCCGGGGAAAACTAACTACTGCTGAGTACCTAGGCCGCTGACCAACTCGACGCCGGGAGCCCCCGCTCTGGTCACGCAGACGAGACACCACAATGCTGTGCATGCGTGCGTGCAAACGCGCATTGCGTACCTGCGAGCAAAGATGCCGTAGTCAGCACCAGTACCAGCAGCTGCAGTAGTGCGAGTAATGCCATGCGCAGAAACATGAACCAGAGCGAGGAAAGGGGGACAGAGTTACAGACAAAATGAACCTATATCGAAAGTGCAAAATGTACGGCAAAGCAGGATGGCATGCGAGACAGGACGAACGCAAGCACAACACAACATGAGTGCAAATGCAGAAAACAAGGACAACACAACCGGCGCGAGTGGTCGAGCAGGCGCTGAGCTGTGGCTGCAGCGGTCAGCTGAACCGCACTGAGAAGTAGCGTTGTCTAAGAGCAAGACGACGGTAGCGTTGTCTAGGAGCCAGACGACTGTGCAATGGGATGCGTGCAACGAACAGGCAAAGGCCAGCAGAGGGGCACGGCCGTGTGTGATGAGGTGCAGTGCAGTGGTGAGTGAGTTTTCATATGTGTACATCGCCGCAGCTAAATTATAAGCAGGCGCACGCTACGAAAGTGTTTAAGCCTTTGTGCGTATCGAAAGCCAACTACTGCAGCATGCGGCACAGCACGCGATGAGCACTTGCGGTTATTGTGTCCCCTTGCAGACTGGCTCATTCCCAAGGAAGGAAGAGGGTAATGCCGCAAAGCCGCCCGTCCCTGTACATCCGAGTTCGGAAACGCATCCCATAACAACGCATACTGGTCTTAGCACGCACGCACGTAGCACGCGTGCTCCGCACTCCTCCTACCCCGTTTTCATACCCCCTCTTTCCCAATCACTTGAGCAATCCCATCCCATCCTCCATCTCCCCACGCCCTTCCCCCCCTTCCTCTCCTCTCCATACCGGCTTCAGTTCTTATACACCCTCCAGGCAGCTGCGGCTCGCTAGCGTCACACCCTGGCCCCCCACTCCCCACTCGCTTTTCCAAACACCAGGGGCATCACCAGTGGGTTACCTAGGACATCGTTCTCTTGTGCTACGTTATATGACAATTCACATCTCCCTCCCTCCTCACTCGGGCAGCAGCGGCACCTCGAAGCCCACTAGGCCCGGCACCACGATACAGCCCGGGTCGCCCACCGTCAGGGAGCCGTACCTGTACGGGGTGTCGTACAGGGTGTCGTACACAGCGTTTGATGAGGAAAACAGCAGGGTGCTTTCTGCGTGAGGAAGGAATGACTGCTGGATACACGGAAGCTATCAAGAGAACGCATCTTCTGTACAGTCTACCGCGGTGCATGTCCAGCTTTGCGGTGCACGCTGTGACATGGGCGGTACTGCGCTGCTAGGGGGATCCATAGCCAGAAAGACCATGCCTCACAGGAACAACCGCTGGCCACTCACAAAGTGCCTATCGGCCACTTCCCTAAACACAAGCTCCTTTGCACGCAAGTTCAATTAACCATGCCATGACATGGCATCACGCGCAAATGCGCACTCCTGTGCTCCCCAGTACCGTATGCCCCACATACCACGATGTCATTTGGCTCGCCGCCCCCGCGGTCGTTGAGGTATCGCTGCCAGGGCGCCATTGGGGGTACGGCGCCTTACATCTAGTCGGAGTGCGGATGGTAAAGAAGCCACAGCGTGGCCGTCTGCGGCGCAGGCAACAAAGTGATCGCAGGGGTTGTAGAGGGTCCATGTAAATGAAGCGCATGGAGGGAGGCAAGTGCATGGAGGCTACTGGGTGGCAGGGGCCGTGCCCTCTGGGACACATCAGTGCAGTGTCTTTGGGCTGACAAAAGCACGTGGCATTCGCATTGGCAGTGCATAGGGATAGCGCAAAGAGCGTTTGAAGGTATTTAGAAAGTTGTATGAACTGTTTTTCCCATTTCAACCGTTCAAGCACCCCTCACCCTCCATGCAAAGCAAGCAACGCAGCACGCTGACAACATGAGTACATGACTACTCAAGAGCTTCGTGATCACTAATGCGGCGAGGAAGCCCGTTTCTGCATCCTTCTGCATCCGTACAAAACCAGGCATATGCGTGCAGTGTTGGCGGCCCTGACCCAGATGACCTCTGGATCATGTTCGAGCATGTTCAGTTGCAGGATAGGGAATAATCGGTATGAGGGTGGTTAAGAAAACTGGCCGCGAATCACACTGGGTTTACCGCACTGCACGCACGCTGTCCGCCGGCAACTAGCAGCTCACCACTTGTATGGCTGTTTTGTGTGTCGCCTCCACCGCCGCCGTTCAGCCAGTCCACAGCTCCTCAGTTGCTCTTCTTGCCCAAGTGTGGCAGCCCCTGCTGCCCCTTCTTGGGCGCCTTGGGACCCCTGCCACCCGGCAACTGACGTGCGACCTGTAAATGTCGCATGTTGTCGGGAAGAAGTGTACACAATATGATCCATCCAAGCACACCGCACCACATGCACGCATGCATGCAGGGTCATGACCTTACAGGGCGTTAGCAACAAAGGCTTCTTGGACGCAGCCGGACCTGACAACTGAAGCAGCAGACGCTCTCCGCACCCACCTCCTCATCATAACGATACACGGTAAGACGATCCCGCTTCCGACCAGTGTTGTTGATCTCGGGAAAGCTGCATGTTTAAAGGCGTGTTAGCTCAAAACGTTCAACAGCCCCTAGTCAACTACCTGCCAGCCACTAGTGCATCTCTCATCAGTCGACAGCTATGGTCGATAATGTTGAGAGGCTCAGTTTGTTAACACCCTTCAAAAGATTCGGAATCTCCGCCAGCCTACCTCGACAGAGACCTTCTCATGTTACCCTTCCACCGGGGAACATTGACGGCTAATGAATCCGGCCTACAGCGTCAAGTAAGGACGGTAACCAAGGGCGCAGAGTGACGCAAACGTGCGTAGACCAAGAAACGATGAAGCAACAGCAGCACACAAGGCGACCTGAATCCCCATGGCGTGGCATGAAACCCCGACAGCACCTCTTGTCCAGCTTTGGGGAGATGTCGGGGTCCGCAGCTAGGACGGCAGCGACATCATCCAGCGTGCCCTGCGAACACCAAACACAGGCACACACTGGCTCCATTAGGGGCAACGGAGGTAAGCCCCTAACGACTCCAACCCCAATGAGGAGTAACGGGGTAACTGACTTGTAAAACGTCGTATTGCTAAACCCACCTCACGATTTGGCAGCCGCAGCAAAGCGCGACCCTGTGCGGTATTCCTGTATGTATACCGGTACCGGAAGCCCTATAACGTTCCATGGGCTCGGGTCAACTTATTCCAGGTGTAGTCGAGTGCCTTTTCAAACGACGACTGCATTTGTACAGGTTATTGCAATAATAACTATACTGGCAAACCCCGCTTCAGTCGTGCCCTGCCCGCATCTAGTTGTGCATGCTTCGGAGCGGACATGACATGGCCGAATGAAAAACAACCAAAAAAGGATAATGAGAATACTTAGTATCTTATTGTTACGACATGGCGAAACGTGAGATTTCGGCCGCTTGTGCTGTAGTGCTGAGGAACGTTAATTGTTATGCGGAGCTAAGTGTTCGCAGCCAGGCCCAACCAATTAGGTGTATTTCGGAAACAGTGCAGAATAACGAAGTTGGCACATCTGACGATGTCGTCAACCCCGATGTCATCAAGCCGCCTCGTTTTAAGCGGCCTCGCATGGAAGGCAGCCATGATGCAAGACCCGGCAGCAGCAGCCGCAGGGAGGAGGATACGACAGGCGTGGGACCCATGCACTGTACTTCACAGACTTACGGGTCGGCGTGTGGGGAGCACTGGCCGCGCGATTTAGTGCAGGTGTGTTTATTAGACGGGGTAGCGGCTAGCGACCCAACCACGTCAAAACCATGCCCCTCCTCTTTACTCATTGCAGATGCTCGTGGGGTGTGTGACATCCCTACCTCCCGGCGGCCGCGTGCTTCCCCGTGAGGCAATAGCATTGTTAGGTGGGAAGTACATTTCTAAAGCGTCTACGGTAGCAGTGAGTTCTCATTGTTAATGCGGGCCCTTATGCTGCAGGCTGGGCTGAGTTGCCTGACCCAGATGGAAGAATATATCGCAAAGTTAAGGATAGGCTTCAATCTATCCGGAATCAGCTGGCTAAAGGTGTAGACCCGTTAGCAGGTATGGCGTGGTTAACGGGTGCATGGGGGGAGGAGATGGCAGGTGAGGAGAGACAGCTCTTTGATGTTACCCATTCCTCACAGGCCGGGTGAGACCTGGGCGCGTGCCTCTTGGAACATACAAGTGGCGGGTAAGAAACAAGACACCGCTCTGTCCTAAACAATGGAACGAAGCGATTAACGCTCGCTCTCACAGGTTTGGCTTCGAGGGGCTTTCCTGAAGCTGCCCAATCATGAGGTGGGCTACCGCCGAAGCCTAGGACCATTCAAGTTGCACCCATCGGGGGCCTGTCATTGAAGCACTTTGCATGTCTTATTCACAGGCCACGGTGGATGACCTCGCTGCCATCCTGGAATCGGATCCAGACATTTCCCCCAGGCTAGACAAGAGGTGGGTGTGAGTGTCAGTACCTGACTTGTCTACGTTCTGTAGGTTGCTGTCGTTGTCCAGTCACGCGACACACTTGCCTTATGCTCTGCAGGCCGGACTCAGCGCTGGTGACGGTTCCAAGGTGGAGGAGGAACCTGTCGCACATTATCTTAACGTAAGCTGATCGGCCATGTGGTTCTATAAGGGTGCGGGGTGTGAAATATGAAATTGCAGTACGGCATCCCGCATACACGCCGCAGACGCGCTGGTGAAATCCCCAGATGTCGTCTCAAGCCCTGCATGCAACATGCACATGGTAGTAGATGGCAACGTATTCAAGGCTACCGTAGTAACGCGAATGTGTTTACAAAATACAACATTATTTCTGGCGGTAATATTGTGTCAGAAAAAGTTCCGGCCTCCCCTGGCCTCCCCGGAAAAAACATTTACGTTTTCCCAGACATTCAAGGGGTCGCGGTAAAAGTGTTGGGAGGAGAAGAGGTCGGCTGGGGGAATGGTTGGGATGAATGAGGCTGCGGGGGGGTGGACGTGGTTAGGGAATATGGGTTTCGGAAGGAAATGCTGGGGATCATGGCCTGAGACAAGGGGTTCACGGGCCCTCGGACTTCCGAATCCTTCCAAACTGCCATCTTTTGTCCCCCATGCGCTTCCGGCCTCCATGAATGGGGTTGGGTTACAGCCGTCGTGGGGAGGCCGCTCACAAGGTCAACGCTAGCCTCCAAGGGGCCGGGTAAAATGTTTGAGTGCCGGGGAAAACCTCGGGACCTGCCGTAAAATACTTCCAGTTAAAAAAAATATTGGAAATTTATATCGCCTCAGTAAAACCTTCAAAAAGGAAACCATTCGCGTTACTACGGTACACTGGATAGGTCGTGGGCCACTTGTAACTCGTGTGCGTCATGTCCTGTCTCTCTGAATGCAGTATCCCCGGCGTCACCAATACCGGCCAGAAGCGGGGCCGCCTGGTGATTTACCACTACGATGAGGAGGTGGGTGCAGCGGACGGCCGGGCGTTGGCCGTACGTGGTTGTAACCCTGGATCCATGCACGAGGGCGCACATGGGGAGCATTGCCCTGGAGACCAGTGCTTGCAGCAGTGGCTGCGGCTCTTCCTTGCCCCTCCCCCTTACACGTCGCCACCCCCCCCCCCCGCGCACACAGGCCGCCCGGCAGCTTGGCGAGCGCGGCAAGCCGCCCAAGGTGCCCAAGCACCGGGTACCCCAGATGGGGGTGCACAACACGTGACTCTTGTTAGTGCGCTAGAACCGGGTGTAAAGAAGGCCGCAAGCCGCCCAAGCTGGCCAGGCACCGTGTGCCGCGCATGGGGAGTGCACGATAACTAATACACGTTACTGTCCAGCTTGGAAGGAGCGCTTGAAGCAAGCATCCTCTCCAGGTTTACCCCGTGGCGGCCGGAAGCATGGCTTCAAGCCTTGGTAACAGAACCCAACCCCGCCAGCACGTTTCGACCCAAACCGTACGAATGCCAGCAGAAGCAGCGGTGGCGCCTGTCGGCTGCAACCACCTGGCGGTTACACCGCTGTCGGGTGGTTGCGTAGCTCACGGAGCATGTTGTCCCTTGCGTCACGCACCTGCCCGAAACCGGTTCTCAGGTAAGCACCGGGTTGATGTCTTGCAAATGAGGACCCGTGGGTGGTTGGGAGTGCGATGGGTTCGGAAGTCGGTGCGCTGAATGTGCGCGCATGTCGTACCGTTGCGCGCAGGTAAGGCATAAAAAGGGCGCACCTGCCCAGCCCGCCCCACCTCCCTCCATTCCACTGCCATGCAGCTCCGTTGCCGGCACACGCCCTGCGGACCCGTGAAACCCGCGCATGAGCGGAGGAGTGGAACACCGGGGGACAGTGGTTTCGAGCGGGAGAAGCATGGCTTGCGGACGGCTGGGGTAGGGGGCGAGGGCTCGCAAAGGGGCATGTCTGGCCGGGAGCGAGCGGGCCTCATTACCGGTACACGCTAAGCATCTAGGCTGGCGGGGATTTTGCACTAAGTTAAGGACTCCTGTCACAGGGTTTTCCACCATTCTCTTTATTTCACACCTGGTAGGTAGGGCGCGGCATGTGTACTGTCATCTCGTCACCCTACGTTGCGTGAAGTAGATTGGTCTTGCTGCGTACGGGACTGAGTGGTTGACCTCCAGTTGTACCGGTATGTGGGCGCCAGGACGGGTGCGGTGTTGACGCTGGGGAGCAGGTTTGCGAGGGATGGGGTACGGTGCGGGTGTACGTCAGGGCTGGACCAGCTCCTTGGGTGCACATGAAGGAACGGCAGGCGGTGCAGAATGGTGGTCGGGCGCCTGGAGCGCCTCCTTCCTGAGCCAGCCTCCTGTGCTCCTGCAGCGTCATGTGAGCTACACGACATATGGACATGCTATGGCCTCTAGCGGTGCAAGAGAGTAAAATGTGATCAGTGTTGTGAGGTCCATGCATTAACGTTTATGCATGAGACATTTCAGAGCTGTGCGAGGTTTCTCGTTCACATATAACAGCGTACATGCGAGCAGGGACCCATGGGTCATTAACAAAATACTCACTACATTATAGCGTATGATGTACTTGCACCGCCGCCTTAATTTGATATCATAAAGTGTACTCTCACCCAAGAGCTACATCCCTTGCAACTGCGGGACATACTTCAACACGCGCGCATGCGCAAACTCCATAGCACATAGCACGCCAGCTTTCTTAACACACCACTGCATCGCTCTGAGGAGCTCTTAGACCAGGATGCACGCAGGGGAGGACAACCCCGCTCGCATAAAAAGTGAAATAACCATTACAACGCAGCTACTGCGGCACGGCGGGGTCCCTTCCCACCGGGCAAGCAGGGCGACCACACCGCCCAAGTCGCTCCAGCCTCCGCCCCTCCCGCCTTCCATGGGGTTAACGTGTCCCTTGCAGGCTAGCTTGCTTGGAGAGCAACAAAGGTGTGACGCCACCACGCCACCAGCCCATGACATCCGCACACTGGGTCTTCGCACGCACGCACGCTGCAACAGCGCCCCAGATTCATCCTTCCCCCTGTATCCCTCGCCGCCCATTCATGCTGCTTCCCTCCTATCCCCATTGCTTTGCCCTAACCTGTGGTCTTGCTATATCTCTGACCCCTTCTCATCCCATGGTGAAGCCTTATCGTACATCTAGTTTGTCCTTCCTCTTTACCCCCTCTCTCAGCCCCTCCTACTCCTCCACCTTCCCCTCTCACCCTTCCAAGTCTCTTCCGAGCACGCGTCACTCCCCGAACCCCGCCGCTAACCCTCCTTTGCTTTGCGGCACCATGCCGCCTCCTACAATGGACTCCTATGGTTTGGTCTACCTCTGACCCCTTCCCCACCTCTCCGAACTCGGAATTCCAGCGGACTAATCGCACTCTTCTTTTCTCAATTCCATCCTTACCATTATACCAGTATGTTATAGCCCCCTTTCTCTCTTCCCTACTCCTCCCCCCTCCCCCTTCACACGGCTCCGAGATGGAGCCTTGCCACACGGTTGGCTACTTTCTTTCCTTTGCACTGCTCACTCGGGCAGCAGCGGCACCTGGAAGTCCACCAGGCCCGGCACCACGATACCGCCCCGGTCGCCCACCGTCAGGGAGCCGTACCTGTACGGGGTGTGGTACAGGGTGTCGTACACAGCGTTTGATGAGGAAACCAGTCAGCGGGCCGATGACTATGTGGATTTTGTATACTCGGGCGCTTCACGCTGGGTTGGGGTGGGGGTCGCTTGGATGTTGCTGGGCCGACAAGCGGACAGCGGGGAGCGGGTTTTCTGTTTGGGAATCGTGCTTAAGTGCCCAAATGAGGCTCGGTTGTGCTTGCTAGCAAACAGTGTGACAACCCACTCAAGGACATGCGTAGCTGACGGTGGAAGCTTGATGGGCACGACCTGCTAGCAAGGTGCCAACCCTCCACACCCGGCGCACGTATGTACAGTCCCCACCAGTTTCCTCACTGGCATGGGAGCATGGGAACGGAAGACTCCCCAACATCCCCCCACCCTACCCCTCCCACACCACCAATTCATTTTTTTCTCGGCTTCCAATTCCGTCGCTCCTCGTATTCATGTAAACCCTTCACTCACCCTCTACCTCTGACCACCATGCAAATACCCCAAGCACCTATTCCTTGCACACTCCACATCCCCCTCGAACCCCTCCCTGGCCCCTCCCCTCCCACCTGGCAGCAAATGCCGGCGGCAGCTCCCTCGCCCCAGGCACAGCTAACCACAGCCGCAGCAGGTGCCGCCCGCACCTCCCCGGCTCCCGCTGCTGCTCAGCCTGCTCCTCCTCCTCCTCTCCGCCTCCCTCCGTGAACGCCGTCCTGTCGTGCAGCATGTTGTGGTTGTGCACCCACTGCATGTCCCCGGGCGCAAGCCGCATGCGCAGGTGCAGGCGCGGGTCGTCAGCCAGCGCGTCTAGAGCGTTGAGGGCGGCGACGTCCTGGGGGGAGGGAGGGGTGAGGGGGGGGGGAAGGGAGGAGGAATGGGAGAAGAGGGAGGAGGGGGGAATGACACGCGGATTCGGAAAGCAAGGTTTGGCAAAGTAACCACCACTCCCCCATTCCACCATTTTAGGTCATTGCCCCATGCCGCCTCAACGCCCTGTAACGCCACCTGGACCCCAACAAACCCCTTCCTCCATCCCCCACACCCGCCCCCTCACCTCCTCCGTCAGCCTCCTGGCTTCCGGGAAGCGCTGCGCGCTGTCAAAGTACTGCCGCTGGTAGAACACCGTCAGCTGGTCCGCGTGCCTGGGGGGCACAGCAGAGGGAAAGGGAGCACAGGAGGCGGATCTGGGCAAAGGGGATCAGGCGGTCGAGTCGGGCCGGTGCACGCCCACCCACACCCAGGGTTGCAACGGCTGCGAGTCCAGATCACCCGCGCCGCCCCATCCCCCCCCCCCCAACCCGGCCCCCCAGGACATATCCCCCTAGCCCAGTTCCCTTCACCCTTCCCCATTCCCCTTTGGGACTCCGCTGCTGCATTTACCTGTTCCGTTTCCCCCTCCCCCCTTCCCTCTGCTTCAGTACGTACCAGCTGAACACGGGTATTTCGAAGAAGGGCCGCTCCCCTGCCGGCACCTCCCCCCGCCTGTCATGCGGCATGGGCGCCAGCAGCCGGGCCAGCAGCTGCGGGCAGGCGGACCGCAGCTCATTGAACAGCGTGTCAGCGCTCACCTGGGAGGGGAGTAAGGATATATCAAACCATAAGGGATAGAAGGTGGCAGGTGCCGCAAGACAAGGGGTGGTTAGCAACTCTTCCGAAACCGTGTCCTCGATGGCAAGCGGTGAAGCTGTATCCGGCGCGCTGCGAAAAGCTGGTTATGGAGTGTCGTAGTTCGAAGTCGCTAGGTTGAACGTCGGCGCCAAGGCCACATGTGAGCTCGGACATTGCAGAACATCAGGGTGTGAGGCGGCAAACAGGTGTGAGGCGGCAACGTGCAAGTGAACTGACGCAACCGGCAAGAGGTGCGCTAGCAGCTCCGCCCACATGCGACCTGCGCACCCGAGCAGCTGAGTGGCGCCATGACCCGCATCAAACCTCCTCCTTATCACCCCATCCCCCCCCTCACCAGCAGCGAGTCGCCCCCCTGGCGCGCCTCCCGCAGACACAGCAGCCCCACCACATCGCAGCTAGGGGGTTCGGGTGGGGGATGGGAGGAAGAGGTGTTAAGGAAGGGGCAGATGTGCGGGCGAAGCTCAACCCTCATGGGGTGCGGGTAGGGGCCGACGGCAGGGGTTGCTAAGGTACAAGGCACCGAGCTGCAGGTCGCGGGGCCAGGGCCAGCCACAGGACGGTGGCACGAGGGCGTGGTGGCACGAGGGCGTGGTGGCAGGGGTGTGAGGTGGCAGGGGGGTACGGTGGCAGGGGGGTACGGTGGCAGGGGTGAGGTGGCAGGGGGTGTGGTGGCAGGGGTGTGAGGTGACGTGTCCCCACCCATGTGCGTGCCGCTGGCCCCCTCCTCTCCCTACCTGTCCGTGTGGAAGGTCTGTCGCTCGCACGTCTGGTAGATGCGCACGTGCGGGTTTGCTGCGCTGCTGGCGCCCAGGTCCGCCACGTGGCCCAGCAGGTGCCCCCGCGCGTTCTGGGAGCGGGGGGACCCCAGGTGCGCACCCAGACCCAGGAAGGAGGCGGCGCACTGCACGGGGAGGGAGGGGGAGGAGGCGGGGGTTAGTTGGACTTGTACCACGGTGTTGATTGCGCTGGTATCGGCGTTTGCAATGGGGAGGGGAAGCGGAGCTGGGGCTGCAGGTTACGTAACCCACTGGCGTTTAATAGAGGCGTGGTGAGGTGAGGAAGAACCCGAGTAAGCGCTCTTGCGAAGGAGGGAGGCGGGGCGCTGCATTGACTGGGTACAGCGTGGGGGAATTAAAGATGTGGAGTGCCCTTTCCCCCTTCCATCCCTTCCCCCTCCCCCACCTGCAGGGGCGAGTAGCGCTCCACGGGCAGGCGCCGTAGCAGGGCGAACCCAGGGCCGTGAAGCAGGTGGGAGCGAAGAGCCTGGGGTTTTAGGGGACAACAGGGGAGAGGAGGGGGGTTAACATAAACATGAGGTAGGAGGGGGAGGGAGGAGGGCGCAACGTAATGACCGCACTTGCTGGCAGGGGAGGAGATGGGGAGGTGCTGGGCATTGCTCTCCCCTGTCCTCCCTGGGTCCCCACCCCCTCCCGTCCCCCTTAAACCCAGCCCTTCATCACACCTACACGGGACGCGTCCGCCTACCTTCACTGCTCATGCCCGTACATTTCCTTTTTATTTTGACATTACATCCTTGCTAGTTCTTGGCTCCTCCCATTTCCCCAAGTCCTCCCTCCCTCCTCTTCTTCCCTCCTTCTCCTCCCCTCTGCACCACCTCCCTCACCTGCAGTCGAGGTCCAAGGGTGGGCAGCGGGAACTGCTCCGGCCTCAGCGCCACCAGCCGACGCTGCACTGCCGCAACCACCGCGGGAGATACCACCTCCGCCACCTGACCGCACCACCATCGCTGCTCCAGGGGTTGCTGCTGTTGCTCCTCCTGCCTGACCTCCTCCTGCTGCTGGGCCCCGGCGGCAGCTGCCGCCACCTCCTGCTCCGCCTGCTGTATTAGCGCGGCCACTGCCGCCTCCACCTCCGCTATCTCCGCTGGTGATAGGTGCAGTTCCCATTCGCTGCGGCGGGCGACCATATCAGGTCCCCTCCAGGCAGACCGACCGGTCCGTGGGGGCGGCAGGGAGGAGAGTAGGTCCGATGAGGATGCGCGGTCCGATTCCCGAAGAGGGCCGGCGTTGGTTGGTGAAGTAGCTGGCAAAACAGTGGGAACGCGGGGGACAAAAACGTCGTTTGCCGTTATTGTATTGTGTATTTATATATCTTTATTATTGCTGCGAGAAATGCAGCCTCTCCCTCAAAACGCATGGATGTGGGTATACCGTTTGCACAAAGGAGACCATGTAATGTGTCGTTGACGTCGGTGTGTGGTCCTGCGCGTATTGTATTTATCCTCCGGAATAGACGCCCATGGTGGTAGGCTGTCGCGTTCTTGTAAGTTTTGTAATGATTTAATCCGTGCATGACTATCCAGCGTCTATGAAACAGGATATGTAAGCCGCAAAATTAATATATCTAATCTCTTAACAAGCCGCAACATATTCGTACTCAGGTGGTTGGTTGCTTACCGTGTTACCGAAGACAACTGGATGGGCAAGCAAGCGGTGAAAAGATGGCTCAACGCAGCTCTGCTTACATAAAGGCGCAATCGTTGTGGTGGCTGGCGTACACCGTGGCAGGGTAAGCCGATTCACAACAGCAGGGCTCACGTGTGCACGCGCACGCCGTCATGAAGCCGCTTAACCCTGAAGGTAACTGGCCACTTTCAAGCGGCCTGTGCTTCTCCAAGGGGCCCTTACCATTCCCAGGCGGCCCCCAGGCGACGCTATTCATTTCCAAGGATATCCAGGCGACCCGCAGGAGGGTCCGGCCATTCCCAAGCGGCCCTTTTTGTTCCCAGGCTGTCTGTGTCATTCCCAGGCGGGTCGTAGGTGGCCCTGTCCACTCTCAGGCGGCCTCGGTCATTCCCTTGCCAATTCCAGGCGCACCCCAGCAACCCTCTCTGGCCTATTCTGAGCCGCCTTTGCTATTCCCAGGCGACCCCCAGGCGACGCTGGCCTCTCCCGGGCTACTCCAAGGTGGTCCTGCCACCCCCATGCCAACTATGCCAATCCTAAGTTGTCCTTACCTCTCCCAAGCAGCCTTTGCCATTCCGATACAATTCCCAGGCGACGAGCAGCCTTAGCCATTCCGACACAACTCCCAGGCGATAACCATTCCCAGGCGACCTCAAGGTACCGGTAGTCCTGGCCCTTACCAGGGCACCCACGTCATTCCCAGGCGGCTCTTGGCATTCCCAAACGGCTCTCGCCGTTTCCCGGCGGCCCTCAGGCAGCCCTTTTTGTTTCCAAGACATTCCAAGGCAGTTCTGGCTACTCCGAGGTGGTCCCCGCTGTCCCCAGGCGGCCTATGCTGTTTCCAAGCGGACCCCCACGCAATACGGGGGGTTCCCAGGTGGCTCTTAGGTAGTTTTGTCCAGTTCCAGGCCGGCCCCACACGACGCCAGCCATTCCCAGGCGGATCTTTGGTGAGCCTGTCCAATCCGTGGCGGCCCTGGCCATTCCCAAGGGGGCCTCAGGTGGCGCATACCATTCCCAGGCAGCTTGCATACGGTTGGGGCCTTGCCCGGGTTATCCATGCCATTCTCAGGCAGCCCCAAGCGGCCCTAGTAAATACCGGGTGTGCCTCAAATGGTTCTGGCTATTCCCAAGCAAGTCAGCCATTTTCAGAGTGCCCATGCCGTACCCACGCAAATTAAAAGCGTCCCTGACCATTTTTAGGTAGCCCTGGGCATTCCCAAGTGGCCCTTGCCAATCCCGAGCCGACAGCAGGTATTGTTAGCCTTTCCCAAACGCTCCTGGTTAAACCTATCCATTTCCAAGCCACCCTGGGCAGTCTCAGGTGGCCCTCAGCTATCCCGGGATGGCCCAGGCGATGCTAGCCGTCCTCAAGTGGCCGTGACCCTTCCCATGCCGCCCATGCCGTTCTCATGCGACCTCGGGCATTCATAAGCAGCTCTTGCCATTCCTGGTGGGGCCCCTATCAACTCCCAGGCAATCCCAGGGTAGTCCTAGCGCACCCCCTGGTGGTCCTGGCTATTCCCAGGCAGCCTTTTGCGGTTTCCCAATGACCATCGGGCGACACAAGGTATTCCCAGGCAGCCCTTATGTGTCCCTGACCATTTCAATCCATCCACTCCATTCCCAGACAACCCCTGCCTGTTTCCTGCTGACCCGTCGTGGTGTTGTCTTTCCGGTGTGTTGCGCTTTTCTTGCAGTGTAGGGTTGGGTTCATCACCCGTGTTCCCTTTGAGGGAACCACTGTAACGGTCAATCATTCAACCCCTGGCAGCGCAAGCAATTCCCTGGCCGCCCCCTGGCGGCGGTATCCATCTCCAGGGATACCCAGGTAACACGCAGGTGGGTCCGGCCGTTCCCAAGCGACTCCTATATTTCCCAGGCTGCCTATGCCATACCAGGCGGCTCGTAGGTTTCCCCGCCCATTCAAAGGCGGCCCTGGGCATTCCCAAGCGGCCATTGCCACTCCCAAGCGGCCCCTAACAGGCATTCTTAATAATTCCCAGGCACTTCTAAGGAAGTCCGGGCCACACCCAAGTGATCCGGGCTTTCCCAAGCGGCACTTGCCATTCCCAGGCGACCCCCAGGCAACACAAAGCATTACCAGGCGACCCCGAAGTGGCCTTGGTCATCTTCATGCCAATCATGCCACTCCAAGGCGGCCTTGGACATTCCCGTGCATACCCATGCCATTCCCAAGCGATCCTGGGCTTTCTCGAGCAGCCCTTGCCGTTCCCAAGCAATCCTCAGGCGACACGGCATTTCCAGAAGGCTCCAAGGTGACCTTGATATTCCCATAAACCCATGCCATTCCGGGGCGGCCCTGGACATGCTTAAGCCACCCATACCATTCCCAGACGGCCCCTAGACAACGGTAGCCATCCCAGGGGGCTCGTAGGTGCCCCTGTCCATTCCCGGGAAGCCCTGGGCATTCCAAAGCAGTCCCTGGCATTCCCAAGCGAACCCCAGGCAACGCTAGTAATTCCCAAGCGGTTTCCAAGTAGTCCTGTCCGCTCCAAGGCGGCTCCGGGTATACAAGGCTGATTCCCAGGCGACGCTAGCCCTTCCCAGGCGGCCGTTGCCAATCCCAGACGACCCTTAGGCAATGCATGCTAGTCATTCCCAGGCAACCGCATGTTGGCCCTGGCCTTTCCTAATGCCACCTATGCCATTCCCGGGCAATTCTGGGCTTTCCATCCGGCCCTTGCCAACCCCAGACGACCTCCAGGATACGCAAGGCATTTCCGGGCGACCCAAAGGTGGCCCTGGCCATTCCCATGCCACCCATGACATTTCCAGACGGCCCCTAGACAGCCTCTAAACATTCCCAAGCGACCACTATCATTCCCAGGCTGCCTTTTCCGTCCCCAGGTGGTTCAGGGGTGTCCCTGACCATTCACAGGCGGCCCTGGGCATTCCCAAGGGGACACCAGATGATGCTCGGCATTCCCGGGTGGCTCCTAGGTGGGACCTCTTCATTCTGAAGTGGCCGAAGATCTAAAAGCAAGCGGATTCCCATCCCATCCCATCCCAGGCGACCTTGGCAAGGGTCCTATTCCCAGGCAGCCCAAAGCATTACAACATGGTCGTCAGGCTCATGACCATTTCCACAGCCACTCCCAGGCGATTGCAAGGTGGGCTGGCCATCGCCAGCCAGCTACCCAATGGTGGTGGCAATACCTAGGAGTCTACATGCATGATGCTCTCAGTTTCCCATCTCCCCACTCAGCATTATGTGGCATAAAAGGCCACTGAGGCGTCAAGAGTGTGGACCGCAATGGTTGTGGCTCAGCTTCGGTTTGCTACAGTTCCAGGCGGCTGTCCTGCCTATAATGCAGTGTAACTGGTGGGCGTGCCTGTATGGGAGGACGTTAAGCTGCAGCTGATGAAAGCACATACCGCACGCTTGGCCCTGGCGAGGCGGTCATATGTGCGAGGCTGGAAGGCATCCGCGCCCAGTTAGCAGCAACAGGACGGTCAACTGAACGTGTTGTACATTGGCACCGTAGGACTGCCGGTATCCTGCATACTCAAGCGAGCGCTTGAATGGCGTCAATTGGTTACACATGCACTTTGCAAGAGGAAGGGCATGACAACACTATCTTCAAGTATGGCTGCCGTACATTCTCCCAGATTATCCAGCCTTCAGCATTAATCCAAAGCCCGCAAAACCACACTATCTTATTACGGCCCCAAACGTCATGGTTTACACGCATGAAGACTTTGTAGTTAGAACCGGTACGCTGCAAGCATCTAGCACGCATGCATTCCGCAACCCGAAATGCACAGCTAACCATTGCGGAAAATTCGAAGAAGCCTACGCACTACCTTGAGTGAGGGAAAATTAAACTATGAAAAGAGCTTGGCGTACGCCTATGCTAGATTCCTGGTCAGCCGCAACGTACGGCAACACTGTACGGCATCCTTGCCCCAGTGTACCCTATGTACACATGAACGGCTCAGTACGTTTAATACAAACGGAAATGATAGGGCATAATAACTTGTCCAGGCAGTCGAGCGACTGTCGTATAGAGCAGTAGAAACAGACGCATGGCACATTCACCATACTGTAGATGCAGAAAGGGCCTGCTTGCCAGAAAGCGGCCACACAAGCCTCCCTCAAGGCTCAAATCACCTCAGGACTTCCTCGTTATCCACCTTACCTGCACCCCCCTCTTGATTGCAGGCGCTCCTTACCCCCCGTCCCAACATGGTGGTCCGCCGGTTCCTGGGTCTTTGGTCATTGCGGCATTCACCTCAAACCCAACTTTCTCATCCTCAGCTGTCGTTGCTGCTCCTTCTGCTACTTTTGCTGCCGCGCCCCTCCATCGCCGGCCGTCAAACCCTCCCCACTAGCTTCGCCCTCCCGCACCCGCCGGGCAATCTGAGGATGGGTGGGAGCGCGTTGGGAGGGATAAGGTCCTCGGGGTGGGACACAAAAGGAATGGGGGAATGGGTGGAGAGACGAGCAACGGAAAGGCGGGAATGCCATCATCGCACTGGCCAGCAGGCCCTGGGGCATGCTGTTAAGCCATGGCGAACACCAGCAGCACCCGCAGGCAGCTGGCTCACAGGATGAGGGCCCATTGGCATCAGCGGCAGGACTGAGAACAGCAACTACAACCGGCGCGGTGGAAGCTGAACGCGATGGGCAGTTCGGCATGTGTTTTCTGTCGCACCCACCTCCTCGTCCCATCGGTACACGTAGCAGCCATCGCGTTTCTTGCCGGTGTTAATGATCTCAGGTAAGCTGCCACGAGGCACGACACGCGGGAGGGACATATGCCACTTTACGGGGGTTTACGAGCGGTGTGCCACCTGGAATTGCAGTCAGCAAAGCCCCAAGGCCACATATGCCACTCCCCGGATTACCCGCAAGCATCCCTTACACGTGAGGGCCCCATTCCAATGCGAACCTCACGAGGGATGCCGTTCCCAACCACGCGCTCATGAATGTATGCATGCACGGGGTGCCGTAACCCTGTGTGAGTCCCGCCTTTTCCTCCCTTGCAGTGTGCCCGCCTTGCGGCCGCACGCCACCCACCCGCAATCATTCCAACTCGCCAAGTCACCACGCTCCTGCCTGGACTTCATGCATGTCCCATCCCCAGCCGCATGCACATTTTACCACGCCCCATACCCCGCCCAGCCGCATCCATAACGCACACCTTCCCCTTCCCCTGCCCATCCCCAGGCATGCATGCAAGGGAAGTTCTCACCTATAGAACCTGTTTGCCATGTTGCTGCGCCAGCGAGGCATCGAGGTGAAGCGCGGATTGGGATTGCTGCAGCGGTAGCAGCAGCGGCGGCACCACCAGCCGAGGGAATAAGAGTGCCGAATAATTATATCAGCGGCGGTCGGCAGCAGCATGAGCAACAGCGGCCGGGAATGACGTAGGAGGGCGAAACAAAACAAAAGGAAGGGATGCGAAGCCCATGTGGAATGTGCTTTGCTTACCTGTAGTTAAAGAAATTGTCCAACCATGTGGAAGGATGCAAGAAAGAAGGACACATGAACGAAATGAGTTGCCGCCGCAGATTGCCAAGCCAGTTGGAAAGGCACACCTCTTCCATCGGACAAGCTCTTTCCTAACGGGCACATGTCGCAAGTTGAAACCACAATCCCTTACTCGCGCCTTACGCTTTGTCCAGGTGGGGTGCAATCTCGGGGTCTGCCTCTACGAGGGCTGCAACCTCGGGCATGGTGCCCTGCGAGCGATTGGATGCCGGGAGCAGAGCGTTTGGTACTGAAAAGTCGTCATAGCAGCGGAGGAAACAGCCACAAGCTTTAAGCCCCATACCCCCGCTAGCTTTACCTCACAGTTAGGGAGGCGCTGAAATACCAGCGCGAGCCATCTCTGCGTGAGGGGCCAGAAGCAAGCCGCGGCAGGGGTGCATAGCGGTGGTATGAGCGGTATTAATCTTTTGCTGCGCAGCTATCCGCAGCATCAAACGCTTCCACAGCCTGAGACGGGCATGACACGCGCCAACTATCAAGCCCAGCAGCAGCAGGATAGGAGCGAAAGCAACAAAGACAGCCCGCGGCCCCCGTCTCACTCTCCAGTGGTACCTATCTGGCTGCCGCAGCCCGCGGGAATCTGCGTGCATGGAAGCATACGCCTGGGGGTAAGAAGCGCTCATGCACTCCCAACGCCTAAATCCTTCACCTAGCAGGGTCACCGGGCCACTTGAAGCCGGGTGGCCCTGTGAGCCGGGCGAGTTGGGCGATGGAAATGGTTCCGTGGATACATGCAAGAGGAAAGGCGCCTAGACAGCGACCCGAGCTCCAAAAAGGGGCCATCACAGCGCTGCTGCTGCGTTAGGGTATGTGCGCAGTGGCGCACACGCAAGTGCAGGCATAAGGGCGAAACCTGGGATTCATGCGTGCGTGCGTAAACATCCATGCGCGTGCACACCCACCGGCTGCAATCCCCCACCCACCCAGCCATACATGCCATAAAGCAACTGCACCCTTCGGCATGCGTCCAGCCTTCCCTATCCCCCACGCCCGCTAGCCGCCCGAGCCCTACCATCCAGCGGGTCCCTGCCGTGCGACAGCAGGTTCCGCACAATGCCGAGCTTTCGCTTCACACGCCTCCAAAGGATCTTGTCCGGGTCCGGCAGATGCGACCAACCTGAGGGGTTGGGTAGGCAGGTTGATGCGAGGAAAACTGGTAAGGTGACCAAGCGGGGTATGTGGGCAGTAAGGCCAGTAGCGGAACCCAAGAAGCATGGCAAGGGACCACTAATACTGTTGGAGCTTGGGGCAGGCAGGGCAAAGCATCAGGCGACACGTGCAGTGGGTTGGTCGGCTACATAGGGTGGCTAGACGCGTGTGTGGCATTGGATGGTTTTAGGATGCGACATGACCCCATTCCGCTGCCCGCAGGCAATCATGTGCGCATGTTGATGAAATGGGGGTGCCATGTGCCCATCCGGGCTTGAAGTAACGTAGGTTACCCCGAGGACAGGACACATTTACCCGCTTAGCACCGAGTGACGCATTTGCCCACCTAGCAACGATATGGCCACTGCACTGCTTGCGTGAGCACCAGGCGGCACGGAGTGGGTGTACTGCAGCAGTATCTGCGGCCACATGGGGTGAGGGGTATGTGCACAGTGCCAGCAGCGAACACAAAAACATGATACACGTGCCGCCAAGCACGCTTTTGTGGCAGGGCCTGTGGAACAAAAGCTCCCTGTGCCACAAAAGCCCAAACCTGCAAGGAAGCGTTCTCCATACCCCGACGCCATGTCACGCGATGTGGCCAATTTACGGCTTACCCGTTGCGCTTACCCGTACGTGCTCCAGTAGCCAAGGGTCACCAGGGCGCGCTCCAGGAGGCAAGCAGTCCGTCCCAACTGCTGATGTGCGTCCAGCTTTATCCTGCCGGGTACTATATGAGGCCCTTGCAAGCGCATGTAGCTGACTGCGACCAGCCTCAGGCTTTTGCGTTCGGCAGAACCGCTTGGAAGTTTCGCCAAGCTGATGACGAGCGAAGGCTGCAACTGGGCCGATAAAGCGAAAGTGCGCGCGCAACGACACTAGATACGGAAGTGGTGACTGGATATACTTCATGCTGTGTGAATCTTTGTTGGAATAGAAATGTGTCTTTCAGTTGTTAAAGGCGTATGCAAGTCGTTGAATAGCAAAAGTTTGTACATTCAACAAGCGAAACTCCTTGCTGCTGGGTAGATAGCTGCGTTAAGGTTCAGCGAAATGCCACCGCTTGGGACGGCCTCTTTGAGCCATGTTCTGTGTTACTTGCAGACTAGAATACAAGTCTACCGTTGTGTAACTACGTAGCTAGTAAACAGTTCCTAAAGCTTGCTGTTACAGCCGAGAGCCTGAGACCCGAGGGCAACAGGATTTCTGTCTTCGGAGCTGCTGCTGCTACTGTTCCATCGGCACGGACAGCTGGAAAACGATATCGTCTAGGCAACTTGAGCTACATTCAAATAGTCGAATCAAACTATGTTTATCCTTTCACAATGCATGGCATGCTCGTTTTCCCAGCACGAGCTGTGTGGAGGCAGCCGCTACAGTCGATTGAAGCCTTCAGCGCAGCAGGAAACCCCGCCATGTACTCTCTCGATCGGTGATGCCAAGCCGCAGTGCATCTACTTGTCACATGCAAGGCGTGTCGGCATAGGCGTCTGTTTGAGGAAAGCTGCCCCCACCCACATCGATCGGGGCTGTGGCGTGGGAACACACGGACGTGGGCATCGCCCCCCCGAAGCCTGTTCGCGACGGGGGCACCACGACAGGGGCTCCGCCTAAAAAATGCCTTGGTGCATGGCTGCGAAGCGCCCCGGCTGGGCGAGATATACTGCACCCGCTGATACCGTGGGTTGGGGCCGCAAGAACACCAGCACTTGGCAGGGCAGGGATACATGCTTGCATGGGTGCCAAAGTAACTCTGGCACTACGGGGCACTCCGCATACTTGCTTGCCTGCGTGCATGGGGGTACATGGATGTCTACATACCGGTACATGGGCCCAGCTGTCAGGCAAAGCGGTGAAGGCTGCACGCACGGGTGTACATACTGCAGCCCATACAAGGTGGAGATGCATGCAAGCCAGTGGTTGAGAAGAGCAGGGAGCCAGCACGCGTGGACGCTGTGGTATGGGCAGGATACCTGTGCGTTTGGGAGCCGTAGTGGGAGAGCGTCAGGGGTCCGTCTTGCTAGAGCACCTGTTGATATGCGGATTCATGGGATGCCTTCGGCATGCCACATCTGTGCTGCTTACGCGCATACGTCTGCGTTCACTCGATGCTGTCTTTTTGCTTGTTCTTGCTGCACAAAACAATTGTGTTTGCGGCAATTACTGTATAGGCAAACCTTGAACTGTGCGAGCATGCCGGCACACATGGGTGCTTGACACCGGTAGTTGCCTAAACGTATGTCTGGGTTTCGGCCATTAAGGAAGGGTTGGGTTGCCTGCCTGCACACATGCTTGGTACTTGGGCAAAGTGGAGATTGCCCTGCAAGCATGAGCGCTGTGATTTGGGGAGGAGGGACGCTTGCACGCTTGGAAGGTGTGCTCGGGCAAGGCGTAGACGCCACACATGGACACCCGTAGTTATGAAGTATAGAGGTTCCTCCACGAATGAAAGCTAGTCCCTTGTCAGCTTGCGCACGCACGAGGATGCAGGCGCACAGCATTTGGGCAGGGGGGATGTCAGCATGCACCTTCTGGCGCGCATCGGCTCGAGTCTTCAGAAACCACTGTGATGCCTGCAAGCATGAGCGGTTTCACAGTTTGGGCACAGGCGGGGATGACTCAGCAGGGATGCCTGGATGCAGGGTGAATGCGTTGCATGCACGGGCGCCAGTGAACAGGGTGGTGATGTTTGCCCAAACAGGCGCTGCCATAGCACGCACCATCCCGAGATGCACTGCACCCCTTCCCGACCCCGACAGGGTAGGTGCACTGATTGCCTGCGTGCATGGGGGTATCTATGGGCGCCAGCTGCCAGGCTAAGCGGGGAACGCTGCATGCACGGGTGTACGTACTCCAGCAGGGTGGAGATGCATGCACGCCAGTGGTTGGGTAGAGAGGGGGAGGCAGCACGCATAGGCGCTGTGGTGTGGGCAGAATGTCTGCACGTTTGGAAGCCGTACTGGGAGAGAGAGTCAGGGCCCCCAGGCCACCTGCTGACCTGCCCGTTCATGGAGCTGCCTATGGCATGCGGCACCTGTGCTCCTTGCTCGCGTACGTCTGCGAACGTCACCTCAAGCCACCACATGCGGTTGGCTTGTAAAGCAGTGATGGCGGGATGCAGCAGGTCGAAGGGAGGCGATGATGCCTGCACTTGGCAGCTCAAGCACGCACGGGGGCGCACGCGCACAGCATGGATGCCTGCATGCCTGTTATGGGCTTTGGGCAGGGCGGGGATGCTGTGTGTATTGGTTGGGCAGGCTGGCGCATGCCCACATAGGCGTCAGTAATTGGCAGGCCAGGGAAGACATGGATGTTTGCTGGGCAGGGTGGAGACGCTGGGATCGAGCGTGACATGACTTGCACTTAATTTCTAGCGTACACTTAATTTCTAGCTTAATGCATCTAAGCGCTTCACGCGCTTACAGAACGTCTCTCAGAGGGCAACTAGAATTCGTCGCCCCTTTGCGCTTTCGGCGGACGCTTTTCGCTTACAATGCTTATGTACATAACCAGTAACTAAAAGCTAGTACATTGCAGCCTTAGCTTTGGCACTTTCACGTCCGAAGCTCGGCCCAGAAGTCTGAACGTCGCCCGACGCGAAGGAGCCTTTATTTACATAGCTTCTTTCATACGCTTTCATAGCTTTCATAACGTCAGAGCGTACATTGCGGTTGTTCCTGCCTCCTTCACTGCAAAGTGCAAACCTTCCAGAGCGGTTCTGGAGCCCCAGGTTTTGTTGTCGTACACCAGTCCCCTGCGTGCCTTCGAAGTCTGCAGATATCGCATGATTCTTTGCACATCATGCATAGTAAAGGTACATAAGAAGAAAGCACTTAGCTTTATACTCTGCTTACTTACTGATCATGCAGCAGCCCGGCGAGGCTAACACGTTATCGCCTGCGAGCCCTGTTGACTACAAAATGCAACCCTGTGACGGCGACGATGGACTATCTGGTATGGGTGCAGCTTGTCGTCTTGTTCAGGACGTGGAAGCAGGCCGGGTAGCATCCCCAGCGGTAGCCACGGCCAAGCCAGTAGCAAAGAATATCGAAGTAGATGGACAACGCATATCTGCTGATGGCACCTTGGACGGTGCCGGTGCCCCTGCCTCTGCCTCTGGGGACTTCAGGCCATCGTTCGTGGAGCCGTCTATTGGCTCAGCCCTAGCGCCGAAGGAAACTCCTTTAATAATTTCTCCGTTCCAGGATCCCCGCCGCTCAGTCAATTCTCCTAAGGAGCAACAACCGCCATTGCGGTCCGGGACAACAGGAGAAGCACCTGCGTCAGCACGAGTCTTTAAGCAGGCACCGGCGCACGATGAGCACCAAGAGACGGCCGCGTCTGTTATTTTTACTCCAAAGCAAACCTACGACCACATCGTTGCGACCGGTGGGTTGGTCCTAGCTTTGACCAACTGGTCGCAGTAATTGTACGCTTCTCGATGCTATAGCATTTTTTTGGTTATTCTGAAATATCTCATTGGCTGAAGAGAATTTTTTTAACGGACTTGGCAACTTGCATGTGCGGGTTTTGTCCCTCCATGGACGTTTGAACACCCAGACGTTGATTGCTTATGGTTAACTTTAGCCCTTCCAATTAGTCATTTTGACGAAGACCAGCCATTGGTAGGACATGGCTATGGCCTGCGACTAAATGCGCCGTGAATCCGTTCGCTGCTAATTCCACTAAGTGCTACTTGCGCATACAGCTTGTTGCACTGCCGTAATTACTCGCTGATGGTCCCGCTGCTGCAGGCGTGGCCAAGACGAAGTTGACCCTCGGCAAACAGGTGTGGCCGGGAAGCCGTGGCTTGCGGAGCTGGGTGCTGGTGTGGTTTATATGGAGAGGGTTAGGACAGCGGTGGCCAGCGATATGGGATCGACAATTAGCTGCGCCCCTAACCCCCGGCAGTCTGCCCTCCCAAGACTCCACCCTACACCCTCTGTTTCCGCGTCCTCCCGCCTCGTCCGTGCTGCCGTTGCATCCCTTACTTGAGCCCACCCGAGCTTTCCATTCCTTTCCCATCCCGTTCTCCAATTCCTCCCACCCTGCTACTTTCCCCTGCCTTTCCCCAGATTACTCAAGGCGTGTTGGCCGGCTTCTACATCTCCTTTTCATTCATGCTGTGCATGACGGTCGGAGGCCAGGTGCGGTGTGGTGTGGCTGGGGCGGGGGTCGGGGCTCCACTGGCGATGGTAATAGGCATGATAGGTGGGAGTGTTATGCGAATGTGTGTATGTCCTAATGAAAATGGCCGCGAGGAAGAACGTCCTGTAAGGGGAGACAAAGTGTGTTAAGAAAACTGGCTGAGAGTGTGTTAGTGGGTGGCGTGGTTGTACTCAGTGGTTCGGGTGCATTTCGGGTTTATGGTCAGTGGTCTAAGACTGGTTGGAAGCGAATAGGATACGATGTGGCACATCCTTTGCTCTCTTCCCTCCCACACTCTTTGCCGGTGCTTGCTCGCAACCTTCCTACCGGCGCTTGCTGTGCCCCCCTGCCTCCTTTTGCCTCTGCTATGGTCATGGGCATACCTTCCTGTCGTGGCTGAGTTACACTAACCTCTTCCTTCCCCCGCCAGATCCCCACCATCCAACACGAGCATCCCGGCCTCTACAACTTCCTACTGGGGTCTGTGGGCTTCCCGCTGGGACTGACGGTCATTATGGTGGGTGGGAGCGAGGGCGACAAGAAGAAAATGGTTGACATGTGACATGCATCCGTCATGGGTTCCATCAGCAACTTACATGGGGCAAGGGTTGCGGATCTCAACCTGTTGCTGGGATCCGTGCTCACCCGCTGATGTCCAAAACTTGGCCATCTTTCACCGATATCCATGTCTTCCGCGTAACCATCGGCTTCACCAGTGCGTCGACCCGTAAACTGTCTACCCTCCGCGCCATCCTTGCCGCCGCCGTGTCCCCCCCCCCGGGTCAGTTAGTTGTTTCCTGTTCCCCCCCCCCCCCGGGTACAGGTTGTAGGTGCGGACCTGTTCACCAGCAGCTGCATGTACATGATTACCGCCTGGCTGGAGGGACGCGTAGCGACGTACTATGTCATCAAGGTGAGAGTGAACGTCGGGAGTCTTGGTGGATGGCTCGGTGCCGACATTGCTAAAAGGGCTTGACCGTTAATGCGGCTGTGTCCTGGGTTGAGACCATCCTGGCCGGTCCCCTCCTCTCTACCCCCTACGCCAGAATGGATTTGTATTCTTTGACCCCTACCCACCTGCTTAACCCCCCCACAGAACCGCTCCTCTTCTGCTTTCCCTCCCTCTCCCACCTCCCAACCTGTGCGGCATTCATCTCTGTAGTTCCTCTCCCTACCCCTTTCCTACTTTCCACCTCCTCGTCATTCAGCTCGCCAGTTTCTTTTTCTTTATCCCCCTCTCCCTCCTCCCGCCTCCCTCCCTCAGAACTGGGTTGTGGCCTGGTTCTCCAACCTGTGCGGCTGCCTCATTATGGCCCAGCTGGTGGTGTGGGCGGGGCTGTTCGCGCCGCCCAAGAACGAATTCCCCATCTACCTGGCGCACAAGAAGACGTCAGCAACATTTGGAGCCACGGTGTGCAAGGTGAGACGAGGGCGGGGTGAGGTCAACTAGGCCGCGAGGGAAGCGTGACCGGAGTACGGGAGTGCAGTCTGGGTCGGGGTGTCTGGCAGTTCGAGGTTGTACGGCTGTGACCCCTCATCCTCCGCCTCTCAGCCGGGCCGCCCCTCATCAGCAGCCACCGTTTCCCCCAAACAACATCGTACCTCACCATGTCCCTGTGCCCTGCCTCTCCTCGGCTCTCTTAGACCCTCGTTCCTGCGCCCCTGTTGTTGGAGCCCGTGGCGAAGCCTTGTCATATGTTAGGTTACTTCCTTCCTCTTTGCTTACACTACTTCCCCCGTCCTCTCCGACCTCTTAACTCCCCACTCTTAGGGTATTCTTTGCAACTGGCTGGTGAACCTGGCGGTGTGGATGGCCAACAGCGCGAGGGATGTGACTGGTGAGGGAGGGGGAGCAGGGAGGAGGCGATGATACCCTTTTGCAGCGCCGCAGCAGGATGGTTAACCGCTAATGAGTAATGACGAAATTAGTAGGCTACTACCATAATTAAACAACTTCTATTATGCTGCCCTTCTGACTGTTACAATGCACGCTCTACACTAGTACGCTTATCCTCTCCACACGCGACAACCACATGACTAGTTTGACTACTGTATCCCTCAGGCAAGGCGGTGGGCGTGTACCTGCCCGTGTCGGCCTTCGTCACGCTGGGCACGGAGCACGTCGTAGCAAACCAGGTGAGGGTGGGGCGGGGGGGGGGCTGCATGCCTACCGGGAGGTTTGCAGATAACAGGACGAGTTAAGGATGTTCCGCCGCGGGGAACCGCCCTATTTCCTATTGCCGACTTGGTTCTCCGTCATGCTACGTGCCCCCATACCTTCTTGCGTCGTTACCCCTCCCGTGCACTAGTTCGAGCTGTCGCTGGCTAAGATGCTGGGCAGCGGCATGTCGCTGCGCACCATCATCTGCTCCAACTGGATCCCCGCCTGCATCGGCAACGTCATCGGGGGCGCGTTCTTCGTGGGCACTCTGTATGCGGGTGAGAAGGCCGGGAGGAGAAACCGTGGTTGTGCGTATGAAAGAAGGCGACCGTTTTGCCCATTTTAAGCATGCGTTTTGAAGCCTGTTTTCCAGCCCCATTGACCTTCTGTTGGCAACACGGAGGTAATTTCTGCCCCAATTAATTTCTAGCCCCAATCGACACGCGCCAAACGCCTCAAAAGTCGCCGTTATAGCATGGCCTGGTGAGAATAGTGGGCCCCAGCTTTTACGCCCCCATTAGGTGCCTTGCCAGCGAACGATGTTCTAGCCAAGGCCGCAGAACCGCTCAGCCCCAACTGACAAAACGCAAATAAGTTAAATTGTCAAACAAATTATGGGCAATACGGTATTACGGTGATTGTAGTGGTAGGTGAGGGGCCTGGGGGCATGCGCTGAGGTCAGGTGTTCCCCCAAGAAGGTGCGCCTTAAACGACCTAAACCTTAAGGCCGCAACGATCGCCTAGCCACGAGAGCATGTAGCGGCTCCTCACTAACCGTACATGTGCCGGTTCTCTGCGCAATTACACCTTCTGAACTAGGGTTGGGACTTCACGCCCTGTCCAGGTTTCGACGGCCATAGTTACGTAACAGTACTTCCGTAAACGCGACATGAACGCGTACGGCTAAGTTGGCTGCATAGAAACGTTTACGGTAGCCGTTACGGAGCGATAAATGACACAGAAGACCTGATGAGAAGCTTGATGTGCTTCTTATAGTTACTATCGGCAGTGAAATATTGCAGATATGTCAGCCGACACGCCTCCTGCCAAGATGGCGCTTACAAAGATTAAGAAAATTTCCGCAACCTTGAGGAAGGCTACTCTGGGCTATATATAACTAATTGCATTACTGGAGTACAGTCTAAATGGGCTAAGGCTCTGTCGAGTTGACCAACGGCTGCTAAGGCTTGACCGCGTTGACCAACATTTGACCAGCGCTTGACCGCTTCCATTGGCAAATTCCTTTTAGGGTTTAGGGTTTTAGGGTTTTAGGGTTTATAACATTTTCGAGCTATGTGGACGGCTCCTGTGTCGGACTATAATGCCGGGGAAAGATCCAAATGCACGGCTTTCTCTCTTACACGGGGAGCCTCCCAACTCCCCGACGAAAACGCATTAACTTATATACCAAACTTAAATACCTAGAAACGCTTCTAGTTCGGTCCAATAGGCTCCCTAGAGCTGCGCGCGGCAATCCTTATCACAAAACACGCCGAGCGTTAGGCCGGTCGCCTGGTGTTCCTATGTCACATTTTCATATCATCATGCAAATATTACGTTTTTTGTAAATAACTTCACCTGGGCTTAGGCAACTGCAAACCTTAGCCAGTGTCCTTGGCTAAGAAGATGACCCGTCTTAGGACTCTAGGGCGTAGGGCGTAGGCCTGTGGATTCAGCCCTACCTGCCACCCAAACAGCATCTTTGCACCATCACGGCATGGGTACCGTACCTTCGGGTGATCATCGCGCAGCCCCATTAGATGGAACTATTTTTTCAAGCTCGCGCAGGGGTGTCAGGAATTATTTTGCAGCTTCGCGCAGCTCATGTCCACCACTGCATTTTGACTGTAAGAACCCATCCATGTAAGCCCAGATCGCCAAGACAGCTTTACAAATACCGCTATGTGTTCCATGGGGCATACTAGCATGCAGCCCGGGGCTGGGCAGCGGAGCTGACGGGGTGCTGGGGCATGTTGGGGGTGCGGGGAAGGGTCCCGAGGGGTTTCCCCAGTTTCGCGCACCCCTCTCAGCAATTATTTAATTTTGCGCGAAATAACGGGTCCCAAACCCTGCCAGGTGTCACTATATGCATGGCTATGGGCATATGGGCAAGGCTAGGTGCCTGACACCCAAACGGCATACAGGTTTAAACCGCGCATTTTACCGAAGTAGTGAATGTATATGAACGAAACAATGGTACGCCGCAGCGCCCAGCATGAGATGTTGAGGTGGAATACGCTCCTCGAACATGCGCGCGAACATGCAACGTTGACTTGTTGATCCTCGGTCCATGGGGCAACGAACAATTAAGAACTTAGCAAAACAATTGTAGACAAAACACTTGCAGCGTAATTACCGCAGTTTTATGATGCTTTATGTAACAGAGCAGGCGTCGAAACGTTCAGGGAACCCAAGGCGGACCCAGGGGTTATCAGGTTTGCGATACCAAAGGTTTAAACGACGTGCTTAGGGCAGTAACGCAAGCCTTTACTGAAATGTAGTTGAGAAATGACAGGTAGGACGGCGAAAAAACGCGAAATATGGGCAGACATGTTGCCATGTGGCTTACATCCCAGACCTCGCGATTCACGGCCTCTTGCGGCCTTTCAGAACCCTGCAGGGCATCTGGGAAGCCTTTCCTAGGCTGATGTAGCGCTTTCCCTAATCGAAAATTATTGCGTTTCATGCGGGGAGGAATAAACCTCCCCGTGTAAGAGAGAAAGCCGTGCATTTGGATCTCCCCGCGGCATTAACGTTTCTTTTGGCTCTGCCGAATTTAAAGGAGCCGTCCATAATCGTCCATTTTCTACCTCTTCCCTAATTGATTATGCTCCATCTGTAAACGACCCCTTAATGCTCATTTTTCCATATCAATAATCAATGATTGCGTGATGATCGCTGGCATGTACGGTGTGTTACATCATCGTCATCCTCCTCTCTTCCCCTGCCGCACCCTCCATTTTATGCCTGCTTTCTAGCTTTCCTATAATACCCCTGCCTCACTTGCTCCCCCCTACCCCGCCCCTTCCCTCCCCTTGCTGTCAGGCTGCTACGGCACCCTGTACGAGCGCATCTGGCTGCGCTTCACCCAGATCTACATCTTTTGCGTGCCCAAGCGCACCCGCGAGCGCATCGATGCCATGCAGAAGGCGCTGTACGACAAGCTGTTTGGCTGGATCGACTGGGACGCCATCACCGCACCTCCCGCCCCCTTGGACCTCACTGCCGCCACCACTGCGGACGGCAAGCCGGCGGGGGCTACTGCTGCGGCGGAGGGGGCTGCTGCTGCTACCGCTGCGGCTCAGCCGGTGTCCCGGCATGTATCCAACGCGGGTGGAGTGGCGCGGGCGGTGTCATCGCTGCTGGCTGAGACACCCAAAATGGTTGCGGCGGCGTTCCGCAACCCGCCAATGACTCCCTTTGAGCGCAAGAGGACGAGTGCGGGGCTGGGCTCGGACGTGGTGTGAGGTAAAGCTACTGAGCCGTATTCCTGACACTGCTGGTGTGAAGCTGTAGCAATGTAGGGAACGATGCAAGGAGGGGGGGCTTATGGGGAGGAAGGGATATCCGCTGTGTTTGTGCCCTTTGTGCGCGGAGGGGGTATGATCTGGTTGGGTGGTTGCCGACTGGGCCTTTTGCTTTTTACAGTGTGGATGGGTAGCATTGGTTGATGTTGAGGTGTGAGGCATGGCAAAACATTCTCTTCTAGCGGCACGCAGTGTGCCGAGGGCGTTGTGTTACCGCGTTTTCGCTAGTGTGTAATTCTTTTTCTTTTCTTAACGCCGGAGACATTTTTTTTGTTGAAAATGATGTTGTTCCATGTCATTTGCCTTATTGGCGCATGCTTCCTATATAAGGAAGCCGCTGCTGTGGCTGTAGTTGTACCGCAGTCGTCTCGTCACCACCCGACCCGGCGGTAGGCCTGCGCGACCTTGCTGGCTGCCCCTATTGTTGCGCTTTCCTTGGCATGAAGTTGGCTTGCATGGTCTCACCTGTTCTTACCTGTCCCGATAAGCAATAAAACCAAAGCAACGGACTGATACCTTGGTGTTATTCTTTTCCAGTACTTGCATGTGTGTACCTTGGCTAATGTGCCAGACTTGAGCAACGTGCGACTAGGACAGTGTGACGAAGGTCTGATGCTGGTTCAGTGTAGTGTTTCCGGCCGGCTATCAGTATTGCTGGTGGGGAAGCAGGATTGTGGACATCCTACCAGCTGGTGCGGTGACTGTGCATCGGCGACCGTTGGGCCGGGCGTATTTAGATGTTAACTATCTTAGGGCGAAGGAGGGCAGCCACGGTTTCTATTGCCCTGGCGCTCGGTATTATTTACCTATAAATAGGTAGGTGTTCCATGTTTCGCCGCGGCCAGGGCTTGGCATGGTTTCTGCGGGTAAGCTCACTGTCTTATGCGTCCTAAAGTTCGTCCTATGCGTCCTAAAGTTCGTCCTATGCGTCCTAAAGTCCTAGGCGTCCTAAAGTTCGTCCTATGCGTCCTAAAGTCCTAGGCGTCCTAAAATTTGTCTCCTTGTCCATTCTTTGCGGGTACTATGCGCGTAATTGTGTTGTGCCTGTGTAGGATTTCAGGTGACCTGGGGTCCTGGTAAGTTTCGCCAATGTGTTGCGATATACTTATAACGCAATAATGTGGCTGCTGGGTTATGCTTGGCAGGTTTAACCTAAGATGAAAATGACGGGTTGTTTTCGCTGAATGCATGTTGTATGGGCAAAAATGAACTATCTGTAGGTAACAGGGACCACCTGTAGATAACCATCCACTTAGGATGAAGGTTCCACATTAAGGTTCCACATTGGGGGAAGTGCCATGATACTTGTTTTCTCCTTGCGAAGCACTTTACGAAGCATGTAATACGAAGCATGTAGCCAATAGCATGTCCTTACGACACAGCATGTAGCCAATAGCCAATGTCGTTACGACACAGTAAGAAGTTTTATTGCGAGCATGCTCGGAGCCCACATTCCGGGCGAGGACCTTACTGGCCAATCCGACTGCCAATCCACCCCGATTCGCGCACATGTGAACATGACCTTTGCAGCGATCCGGTGCAGAAAATGTTCCAGGTTTAACGTGCAACACGCAATCTGCCAACGAGGTTGATGGCGTGATGTTTCCCACTTAGAAACATAACACCGTTTAACCGCATTGAAGTCGTTAGCCTAACAGATATGTCGTTAGCCTAACAGATATGTCGCCGAAAGTGGTGGCCGAATTGCCCTAGCAGCAGCAGCCGACACCCTAGCTATGGCAACCAAATGCAGCAACCTGTGAACCTATTGAAAAGACTCAACATGACCAAGCCGTTGCCCGCAGCTGGCAGCAGATGCCGTACGTGTCCAGTTGCGCACCGCACATAAAGGGTGTAAGTGAAGGAGAGAGCCGTAGAATCAAATACTAGATGACAAAATCAGTACCCATTATCAGACCAGAGCGATGATACTGTAAGAACTCCACTAGAACTCATCATAGTTCTAATGCAGCTTGTCATCGTCCGACCGAGGACTACAGGACCCTACTACTATATGCAGAAAGCAGGGCTCATATGTATGCTTTCCTGGATCACAAGGCTAGACAAAACTGGACTGTGCATCTTTTGTACCCTTCCTATCCGGCTTGCAACCCTCCGAATCCTCATACCCCCTCGCTCTGCGCCATCGGGCAAAGGCCGCTGCCATTGACAGCACCGTCGCCAAGGCGCCGAAGCCTCCAGTGACGATGCCAATAATGTCGGTGAGGGAGAGCGGCGGCCCGGACGTACGTGGCGATGGCGATGGTTGTGTTGATGGTGGTGATACCGGTGATGGCAGCGGAGTCGAACCTGCGATACCGCCAATAAAAACAACACCCACGTGAGCTGGACCAGCATCACATCCTTCCCGAACCTTTATGGCACCTAAGAAACGAGCCTAACCTCACAGATAATATTAAGCCAGTATATAAAATGTTTTATGAAAAAGTCGCTGGAAACGTCGTATAAGAGCGCCGGTCTTGGGCCGACATTGGGAGGATGAATTAGCTACGGCGCCTCAGCATGTATGGGGGCAAAACAGTGTGTCAGCATTGGAAGGCAAACCGTATATGTCCGAAAGCCGGGAACGGCATTCCGAATGTTCCGAAATTCAACATGGGGTTTGCGGAAACAATGCTTACCTCCCCCCTGAGTCTGCCGCCACTACTTCTTGTCCCTTTGCTATATAGTATGGAAACCTCTGTATACACACTTTGTGCGACACGGAACCAAGGGCCGCCAAGAAATACCACATGGATATACAAATGCCAAGTTACCATGTTGGTAGAAATAGGACAAATAGGCAGGGACAACACCTCCATTCGGCAAAAGGCATGCACGTCCTTTCGTTGAAAGGACACACCTGGCGGCGTCGGGCTGGGTGGCGATGGCGACGGTGATGGCGGCGGTGAGCACGTGGGTGGGTTATCACGGACGTAGAGGCCGTTGCAGGTGCCTGTGTAGTCACCGACAAGCTTATCGCACCCGGTCTTGACCCAAGCACCTGCAGAGATGGTTCACCAAGCGCAATTAATTATAATTGCTTATGTGCAGTATTGTGGGGAGCCCCCTGCCAGGAATTAATTTTCAACCTGGTTGTATGCCCTATCAAGCAATTAGGATAGGGGCTCCGGACATGTATTCTATTCCCTTCCTTCCAGAGATTTACTGTCATAAATGCAATGCAGCAGCACAACACCCACCTGAGTTGAAGCCCTTGCAACGGCAGTCAGCATTGCAGGCGGACAGTGCACTTTCCAGGTTTGGCTGCTGCCCAAGCTCATCAGATCCGTACTGATCCTTGAAGGGCAGGAACTTGTATCCGGGGAATACGGCGCAGGCTGCATAGGGCAAACGACAGACGCCAATATAACCACTCACCACTCCTTGCAATTGTAAGCCACGTGCCAATGCATCAGGGCAGCCGTTCCCATTTCGCCAAATTTCTTCACCAAGCTCGCTCCTTACCGCTGCTCCAGTAGGTGCGGCCGTCTCCAGACACCAGGTTTAGGTTGCCATCGTCGGCAACAATGGCTTTGTAGAGACCAGAACCTACATACGCCAACTGTGTCGCCCAAACGACTCCTGATGATGCCCCTAGGACCGCAAAGTTGCCGTCATCCTGCACGTTAAAATGATAGACAACGTTAGTGTTCACCACACAAACCGCATGGGAACCCTGACGGCAGTACCAGCAATGCCAAACCACTGGTTGCGGTGCTACCTTGAGCGTCATGATATAAGGGCCATCAATCGCTGGAGGGAAAGCGCCATACTTTTGGAGTGACCAGGTGGGGGTACCCGTGCTCGTCTGGTACACGACAAGGTTTCCATTGCCCTGCATGTCAAGCCTGTATGCACCGGATTGAGAGTACAGACTCTGTCCTTGGCTCAGAGCCTGGCCTTGAATCAACACCGACACTGCAATGGGATCATGAAATAAAGGATCGGGTTGTTGTGTTACAATGCAGGGATGGGAACAATTTAGCTAGCAGCTAGCTAGCACTCTTTTTTTGCCTCAACCGGTGCTTCATGATAGGTATTTATGCTGGTCAGCACGCACACATGCGACATTGAAGAGGTCTGCCAGGGGCGGGGTAAGGCAATACACGTTTAGAAAAAGTATCCAGGAGTTTGTCAAGAGGATATTAAATCTGCTTTCAACATTTAAGTTTACGTTGAAAGAAGGAGCGTTACCATAGTTTCCGAAAGGGAAACACGGGTGATGAACCCAACCCTGGACAGTATGAATGGGAGGGCATTGCTTCATGTCTTACGTCATGTCTCGTCTGTCCTGTCGTATCGTGCAACCAGCGCACGTGCACCACGTTGCTGCATACCTGGTGGTGAGTCGCCCCCTGCTGCTGACTGTGCTTTTGCGCTAGTGTTGAGAAGGAGCACAAGCACATGCACGATGAAGACACTCCGCGGCTGCACCGGCCAGGTAAGCCTGCTGGTACCAAAATGCCGCTGCACAGACGACACGGTAGCCATGGAGTCGAGGATTGATTTCTGGTGACCGGTGATGACAGGTGACACGGCCGCCGTTAACACGGCATATGGCACCTGCTGCTGCTTGCTATGCTGCACTCGTTTTGCCGGCCTATGATTAAGAACCCTTCGTGAACTCCGTCTTGTTCTTTGGGCCTCGAGGTCCTATTCAGCATGCTGTTACTGGGCGAAGTGAAATCCCCCTCTACCGCCGCACCTGCGTATTCGTCAAAAACATTAAGCGCCACTTCATGCTGCTAGTAGGCAAACAAGATGGAAACGCACCGAACAGTCCCATAACGTCTAGGCATTATCTTGACCTTCCAACGTCCTATAGCTGCTATAGATTATCAAGGTCAAGGTCACATGCCATTTCCAGATGCAAACTGCCTTGAAAACAGCCCCGCTAACTGGAGCGCAACATAGGAAGTAACCAACCATCGCTCACCTCAAGGTTTTTGGCTGGCTCTCGATGTAAATATCAAGTCTTCCGCGGCGTCAAAATTTCTACAACCATTTAGACGCCAGGTTCAGTGTTTGCATCGTAATTGAGAGCTGCAAAGCGGTTGCATGGTCGGGGTGGACCCCTACTTCGCACGGCATATGTACGAAGCTGCCTAGTTACTAAGGAACTTCTCAAGAAAAGATTGTGACCAAGCTAGGCAGCAGCGAGGCCCTGGGTTTCTTGCTAGGCAAGCCTAGGCACGGCGAAGCGACATCCAAACTGCATTATGGGGACATTAGCAACAAATAACGGCATAGGACGGACACGTGCTTCTTTCATTATAATGTCATGACAGTGTTAAACAGTTAGTTAGTTTGCCGGTAGTTGCTGGCTTCGCATCATGCTAGCGTTGCTACTTCTTTCGGGAATATTAGGTTATGCTTTGCGGCAAGGCTAGGGTCCTCGTCGATGCTCCTTACTCAATCTTTTATCCCCGCCTCCTGTATTTTCTTCCGACCTTCGACCTCTTCATCATCCACTCCTCGACAAGTTTCCGTCAAACGGACGGAAAGCCCGCGACATGCTAGGACTGAAGATCGCTGCGACCCCCAATGTGTGGGCTGACTACATGCATGGTATGGTATGGTATGGTATGGTATGGTATGGTATGGTATGGTATGGTATGGTGGTATTATTTTTCGGGGTACTACAGCTCAATGCTGATGACCCATCAGGGTCATCCCTTGCCCATGGCTTCAACTTAGGATCGCTCCGGGCCTTGCTGGGGCTACTGTTGCTCTGAACAGCACGGTGCGCCTGCTTCCGTGCCAGATTTCTACCGGCAAGGAGTTCCAACGCGACACCTGGTTCATATCAAGGAAGTGTCAAGCCGCCGTGGTTGAAATGTGACAAGACAAGATTGTCGGGTAGATCAATGAGGGACGGTGTTTTCGTGACTTTGGCGGCTGTGCATATGCCAACTGTATAAGGGATGAATTACTCTTTCATCAGGTACCGGTGTTAGTTTGCCGAATTAAAGTGTGCGATGCTTTTCCTTTGGTAGGCCAAATCCTTGATGGGGTTCCCGCCTCGTGACTTGCCTAAATGATGTTAGTTTGAAGATGGAGGGAAACAAATAGATCTATTGCCACGTACAATGGGAGTTTGGCCAGTGGATTCAGAGCTTCTGATTGGAAATGCCCGTGGACACCTTCCTTCAATGCTACTGCCAGGATTTGTTTATTGTATGGACGGAACTTTAGGAAAGTTTGAAAACATTGCTGTAAACCCGTCCGCTTCGCAGACACGAAGGCTCGCCCCCATTTAATAAAGCGAAGCTGAAATATGCGTGTCGTGCGTGGGCTGTGTATGTTGGATTAGAACGAATAGATTAGATTGTGAGTTGTCTGTCTGGAATTGCGCCAGGAGCCCTTATCTGATGTCGTCTTCACAAGCTTGGGGTCAACGGCACGTGCACATGAGCATGCCTCATCATGAACCGTGTATTTTGAACTGCTGGATTGCTGTCCTAAGAACAACAGATGCTCAGACCTGCTGGCCACGAGGGATGAGCGCACTGACGTGGGCTAGCCAGGCGGCGGCAGCTGCGGCGGCGGCGGCTGCGCCGCCGCCAGCCGCCGGCGATGACACGGCGCTGTTGGGTGTGAGTGCGCGTGCTGGGGCTCTGCGGGCACGGCTGGCGGCCTTCATGCAGGAGCATGTGTACCCGGCTGAGGAGGTGCTGGAGGCGCACGCGATGGGGCCGCAGGAGAGCCGCTGGAGCATCCACCCGCTCATGGAGGAGCTCAAGCGCAAGGCGAAGCAGGTGTGAGGGCAGGGCAGGGGAGGCAGGCTTGGGAGTGGGTTTGGAAGCGGGGCTGGGGATTGCTGTGCGGGAGGAAGACAGAGGGGAAGATGTCGTGTACGGCAGCTCTCAGGATTGGGAGGATTACGGCAGTGCTTGTCGTACCTTTGTGTTCCACTTGCGGGACGAGTTGCTGATGGGGGGGGAGCAAGTGTTTGGACTTCTGGCCAGGTGGGCGATGCTAGGGTGGGCGTGTTTGGGTGTGATTGGAGGGGGGAGGGCGTGTTTGCTCCATGCAGTTTGCTCACATGCAGCGAAATTGTAGTTCCGTGCTTCATGCAACCGGCTGCAAGCTGGCACTAAATGTGGTGTAATGGAAGGCTCCGTCACAGTGTCTAGGTGTGCTGCTATTATGGCGGCGGGAAGGGGGGGGAGGATGCACCTCGTGTAGACCCCTGCGGCTCCCTTGCACCTGCATCGAACACACCTTCATCTCCTCCCATCCCTGCCCACCGCTTTAATTCTCGAATCCCTTTCCTTCCTGCACGCACGTATGTAGGCATGAGGCAACCCCCGTCGCGATCCTTACAGGCAGCTCCGTCCCCGCACACGGCCACCCTCTTTCACTACTGCTCCCCGCCCCCACACTCCTCCTGCACATCTATGCCACACCTTCCCCCCACGTCATTAAAACCAGGGCGCCTCCTCCCATCCATACCCAGTGCCCGTGGGGTCCACTACCTGGCCCCAATGCCTCTTGCTCAGCTCGTCAGCTGCATGCGGCCATCACTCCTCTATCCAGTCCAATCTATCGTTCACGCCCTCCGCAAGGACCCCTCCTCTAGCCCCCAGAGGCGGAGGGCCCTTGTGGTGCCTTCCGCTCCCATCCCCTCCTCCCTAGATGGCTCGGATTCTTGGTTGTTTGCTAAAGACTGCTCGCACGACTACTTACCTCTTTCCTCATCACAGCCTAACCTTCCAGCATTACCTGCCTGTCCCATCTTCTCGTAGGCTGGCCTATGGAACCTATGGCTGCCGGCTCCCTTGGCCGCCCGCCTAGAGTGGCTTCGAGAGCACCTGCTGCAAAGCGGTGGCGAATGCCCGGGTGACGACCCACGGGTCGGCAACCCCGCCTCCCTGGACGCCGGCGTGCTGCTGGGCGCGGGGCTATCCAACCTGGAGTATGCACACCTGTGCGAGCTGATGGGGCGCAGCACCTGGGCGCCCGAGGTCTTCAACTGCTTCGCTCCGGATACGGGTACGGACATGGGCACGGGTACTCACTCCGGGACTCGGGAGCTTGGGAGGGCAATATGAGCACGCTTGCTGCACGTATTCTGGCCTGCCTTATGTGTTATGTCTGAACATGGACGGTATCGCGTCTTGCTGCTTATTCCTCTTTCCGCCTGAGCCGACGTGAGTTCACCCCATTCAACGCTAGTCCCATACACTGGTTATAGCGCCACGACGTAACACCTCCATACTCCGCGGGGCCACCTCCGCCTCAGCCGTCTAGCGTCCAGGCGTTCCTTGTACTCCCTTTCCCCAGCCCGTTTGCCCCTACGTTGTCGTAACTACCACCGTCTTCCCCGGCCAGCCTGACCGCAAACCCCTCCACACCGTGCGCTTCCCCGTCACCTGATAACAGATGACGTTTGCCGTACAACTTCATATTAAAATCTGAAAACAGATTCGGAATGCTCTATCTCCATGAGCTCGTTATTTTCGAATCATGGGGTCTGTTCTCGCGTTTATGCACATTTTTGAAAATACGTGTTTGATTTTGCGCGATAATCACTGGGAGGTACGATATGTCGGGCCAGATATTGCTTTCCATGGGGTCCCAAAGGAAGCGCAGGAGCAATAAACTTGCTTTCCGCTTGACGAAAAGGTACGTAGAATAAAGTTCAAAGGTCAAAGAAAATGTCGTACGACCAACTTTCACAGCCTACAATGTTTTCTGTGAAACTCCATTTACGATATTAATAGCCGATTTCGAATGCTCACATTCGAAACTAAACTTGAAGCACGAAACTCGAACCCCCCTGGTGTAGCTTAAATCCTGTTTATAGGGGACCCGTAGGGACCAGTGCATTGGTTGTCGTACAGTGCTTCTGTGTGCTTCTCTGTGCTTGCGTTTGAGTTGCCAACTCCCTTGCTACCTACTATACAATTGTAGTCCTACCTTGCTGTGTAGAGCTTGGGCGCCTGCGTCTGACTTCCTTTTACCCACCCACCCGCCCTTCTTTGTTTTTCTGTTTTGGGGCTATTGCCGGGGGCTGTCCGCAACCGTGCCATTTGTTCACAGATTTAAGCAGCTTAGTCTTATACGAAAGCACGGCGAGCGCTTCAGGGGCCCGAGTGTTTTACTCCCATTTTCCAGTTGACTTCTCCCAGCGTGACCGATTTCGTATGTATGGTATTTGCCGTGTAATGCACGGTCCAGGATTGGCGTTTCAAGAGCCACAAGCATCAAAACAACGATATGCATGTCGCTTTATTCCAACCGTCTAACTCACCGGAACCATTCCTGCAGGTCGTACGAGGCGCAGGGCGGTGGCCCCCCAGCCGGATGAATAGCTGGTGCCGCCCGCATTAATTGACCGCACCTGCCTGCCGGCTGCCCCCACAGTTTGGAGCCACCTGAGCGAGAGGGTGTGGGAGGATGAGGGTAAAATCCGCATCCGGGGTGTCTAATCCTTCTCTTTCTATTACCATCAAGCGGTTTGGGGAAACTGCTCTTCCCGAGACGTGAAGCGACTACAGCTTGGCCAAAGCTTTAGGTTGGAGGGGGGGAATGAGCGCGAAGCCTGGATAGGGAGGGGGACGCGAGGCGCGAAGAGGTCGACGTTAACGCGTTATAGCCGTGTGGGGGTTTGAGGCCTCGAGGTGCGTAGGCCTTTGCCACGCATGACTACGTCTCCCGAGTGACGCAAACAATCAGGGTTCATGTTGCTATGGTCATGTGACAAAGGGAGTCGGACGACACACGAGGCGCGCTTGAGAACAACGCACCAGTGCTATTAAGGAAGGCGATGGGTTGTCCAACGGCGGGTGTCGGACGCGCCGCTTAAATGCCAAGCCAGCTAGAAAACTCCTTGTCTCTAGTTGGGAATTTTAATTAACGTGTGAAATAGCGCTGTCGTCAGGACTAAAACACCTAAAGCTAAAGGTTGCCTGACGCGTCCAATTGGATCCTTGTATTTGCCTGAAGTGGTCTTCAGTATACACGACTGCATGCAGACCTGCGGAAGGTGAACAAAGCCGGTCAGTCGATAGGATTGGTTCGTAGCGACCAAGGCTTAGCAAGCATTTCTATCGGTACTCTAACACCAACCGATGAACCTTGGCCTTGTAAATAAATGTAACAACAATAAACTTTAGCCGTAAGCCAGCTGACCATTGCAAAAGAAGCAGAGGGCAGAAATGACCATCGGCTAAGTCTGGTAGCTAGGGTTCAATGCAAGGGCTTCTAGGAGACGTACCGTGTTCCAAGCTCCGGGGCGTCGCAGTGTTGAGACCGTCGCATGTGGATTGTGACCTTTGCACATCCTTCTGGGTCGCCTAGAGCGTAAGCCTCCGAGCCTATTGAAGATAAGCATGCTAAGGCCATAGTCGTAAATATTGCGATAGAGCATGGCTTCACAAACATTTGTTTAGACTCCCTTGCCGTACCTCCAGTAGCGCCGTGCGCTAAAAACCCGGGAAGCCTAATCCACTAACCGGACCTTCCGCTAAAGGAATGACAATTGACGAGCAAAGACCGCAACTAAGGCCTCCGTATCGACACGCTCATTAAGGTCACATAGTTCACATTTGGAAGCGGCTTCAACAAGGGGTGTCAGCGGACACAGGCACGCATGCCTTGTCAATCCGTTGCTTGTCGTACAGTCCTTGCCTAAGCAGGGGCTACGACCTTAACACGGCTTTTGCAATAGCTTTTGGGGCACCCGTCTCTGCGACGGCCTCTGGCAAGTATGCAAGTCACCCCCTCCAATGTCCCAGAGGACGGGCATCCTGACAATTTTAGCGAATACCCGAAGCTAGTCTAGAATCAGAAGCAGGGCCACTGCTACCTCCCAAAAAGCCACCCCCATCCGCCCACTTTACGACCGCCTCCACCCACGCTGCTGCCACCATCACCACCGCCTCCACCACCACCACTTCCGATAGGAGTATTGCCCGCACCAGCAGACGTCCCCACCTCCACCACCACAGCCCCTTGTGCCGGCATGCTAGCCATTGCCCCCATCCCTGCTGACGGCGGCAGAACCGAACCCGTCCCACTGCCCATACGCGTCACCTGCCTGGGCCGTAATCCCGCTGCTGCTGCTGTTGTTCCCGCTGCCCCTCCCACCCCCGGTACCGCCACAGCAGTCGTCTTAGCCGTGCCAATACCACCCACATCCACATCGCTTCCATCGCCGGCTTCTGGTATAGGGCTATCAGCGAGACCACCAGCAGCTGCGGCCTGCCTGGCCCCACGCCGCCGCCGCCGTGCCTCCTGCGGTTGGCCTTCCGCCATCCCACCACCACCGCTGCTGTCGCCTCCGCTGCGGCGGCCCATTTCCGCGGCCCCGCACACCCCGGCACGCTGCTCGCTTTTCTTCTTATGGGCGTTGCCTCCCCTCTGACGACGGCAGTGCTGCTGCTGCCGCCGCCGCAACGAAGCAGTTGAAGGTGGCGGGTGCAGCAACGGCGACGACGATGACGGCTGCGGCAGCGGCAGCAGCACCGCGTGTCGTGAGTGGTAGTTAGCGGTCGCCATGACGAGCAGCAGCAGGCGCGCGGCGATGATGAGCAGCGAGCCGTACAGCAGGCCGGAGAGGCGCAGCTGCCGCCACACATTGCACATGCGCAGCAAGTCACCGCCGCACCTAGAAGAGGAGGGGGGGTGGGAAAGGAGGAGGTGAACGAAATGCCGCCGCAATCGACCTGGAGCCAGCCCTGCAGTCCTGCGCCCCATGTATACCGGCAGGTAGTCCGTGAACCCCATCACCGTGCGCTCAGAGAACTTCGCAGCTGCGCAGGATGGCTGACTGCATCAATTCAAGGTCTCGAATGCCCTCTGTGCAAGGCCCCAACCTCACCTGGGTCCGGGCACTCCAATCATGGAGAGGTCGAGGCACACGTCCGGGGAGAAGGAAATGACCCGGTATAACCTGAGCAGGGAGGGAGGCAGAGAGTGAGGAGGGGAGGCAAGACGGAGCAATTTAGCAAAAGAACGGTTAGGAGAAAGTGGGACCGCCAACAGGATGCCTTGTTGCGTTGTTGGGCACACGGAGCATCCAGGGGACTTCGGGGTGACACGATAGTAGGGCATCGCATCAGCAGTAGCAGCCTTCACAGCCACACCCTAACTATCCATCTTCCAACCTTGCCACCAGACCACCCACCCCTGCACGGCAGCCGAGCAGCCCTCACTCGCTCCCAGCACCCCAATCCACAGGCCCAGCGCAAAGCACAGCAGGTGTAGCGAGGCGGCCACCTGGAGGGAGTGCGAGGTGAGGGCGGATGAGGCGGGTGGGGACGAGCGGTGGGTGATGGGACTGATGGCTGGTGGCTCAGAGGGCGAGTTCAAAAGGTTTGCAAAGCAAGCGCAGCGGCAAACATACATAAACAGCGTATGGACCGGGCGCGCTGGCCCTCCTTAACCCTCCTCCCCTGCCCTCACCTCCATGTACCCAACCGCCGCCAGCAACGCAAGTGTGCGCCAGGGGACCCGCGCGGCGGCGGCAGCAGCAGCGCTTGCGGCAGCCGTAGCCGCAGCTGTGGCGGCGACCGTCGCCTCCGCTGCCGTCGCTGCGACGGCGGCTGCCGAGGGGAAGTGGATGTCGTACGGCAGCTGTGCGGCGAGGTGCGAGAAGGAGAGATGCGAGCGTACGGACGAGCTACTGGCCAGTCGTGGTACGACAATGTCAATGACGTCCCCTCCACCTCCATTTGCACTGCTGCTAGTGTTAGCTCCGCCGACAGTAGCGGCGTCCGGGGCAGCATCGGCAGATGCAGGTTGACGGGCCTGACCTCCGCCTCCGCCGCCAACCCCGTCAGCGCCTCTTGAACGACGCACCGCCTCCTCCGTCAGCTCCAACGAGACAGCTGGCGGCGGCGGTGACGTCGGCGAGAGGGGTGGCGTGGGCGAGCCGTCAGCATTTGCCCCCGTCGGGCCACTGCCGCGGCGCCGGCTTCTCGTGAGCTCCTGGTCGCGGAGGAGTCATGTGGGGTTTGGGGTTAAAGGGATGCGGTGACAGGGGACGGTGAACTCCGCGACAAGGTTGTGCAGTTGGAACGCGCAAGCGCGGTTTGGAACGCGCGCCCAGCAACGATGCCGGTACTCGCTGCAGCTAGTTAGGGTAGCGGCAATTGCCGCCTGCTGCCCGCAGCCTGACGCGCTCCATATCTCCAGCCCCCGTCCGAACCCCCAACACACCCCGCCCCGCCCCCACCTGCGGCCCCAGCGCCACCGCCGCCACCATGAGGGTCAGCTCCGTCACCCCGCCCGCTGCCAGGAGACCCACGAACAGGCCCTGCGTGTGCATGCAGCGGGGGGCACACGAGGAGTTACAGAGTGTCAACCTGCTCGACCCCGGCCAGCAGCCCCACGAAGGCGCTCTAGGCCAGCAGCCCCTGAATGACAAGCAAAACAGCGACTGGGCGGTTGGGGCCAGGCTGTCACCGCGCACGATACCGTCGTGATGTTGAGGCTTGGCAGCCTTACAGAGAGTGATGTAGGCAAGGCGAAGGAGGCCATCCGCCCCCTCACCCCCACCCCGCCGCCTCCCTCTTACCTCCAGCCCCGCAATCGCCCACAGCCCCCGCAGCAGCAGGTTACGCAGCGCGTGGAGCGTCTCAAGCAGGCCCTGGGGGAGCGGTTTGGGGCGAACATGCAGTGAATAGCCTGGAAATGTCAGGGTTGTGGTAGGAGGTTGGGGCGAAGTGTTTGATTAGAAAGGATGCGCGGCGTGTGTAGAGTTCCTCGTAGCCCGTGAGGATGTGGTGGGGGTCGGGGGTTGGCGCAACGGCACACGGGCAACGGACAGGGGCTGAGCACGAAGCCTAATACCGTAGCAAGGTGCGATAGCACGCATTGTTTTCGTAGCCGCCGCCCTTATTCCAGCTCCCTATTTCCAATATAAAGCCTCTCACCCTCCCAGCACCCTTCCTAGTAGTTTACAAACCACAGTCCCCGGCACCCTCCTTCTAGCACACCCACCCCACATGGGCACGGTTAACCGCGAAGCTGATGATGTTCCGGCTCGCATCTACCACCTCTGCCAACCCACCTGTGCCGACAAGATGAGCCCCAGCGAGTAGGCCATGATACCCAGGGACAGCCACAACAGCCGCCTGGCAAGAGTGGCAGAAGGAGGAGTTGCGGGAGGGGTTGCGGGAAAACAGGTGGGTAAATGTGAATAGCGGGAAGGGAGGGCGCGACGGATGGCGGGGCTCCCAAAAGGACCACAGGGAGATGCGTATTGTCAGGAAGCACGGTACCAGTGATCCAACACCGCTCACCCGCCATCCTTCGTGCACCCTCACCTCTCTGGCTGTGTTGCGCAGCCGATCAGGTAGGGCCCCAGACCCCTCTGCCGCTTGCGCGTCGCTTGGGAGGTGTAGGTGGCGGGGGTGCCACCGCGGCGGAGACTGTACCACGGCAAGCGGAGGGCGGCAGAAGGTAGGGAGCGTGCCAGGCCGGCAGGCGAGTTGGAAAAGGCAGGAAATGCAGCTGGTTCCGAAGCTCACCAGCGAAATTCGGCGCTGCTCAGGACACCTCCCTCTAAACTCTTTTTGGACTATTCCGCAATGCCATCTCCCCTACACACCCAGTCCCGACCCCCGACCCCTCATCCTCCCCCTGACGCCCATATACCGCAAGCCTAAGCCCCCATCCCCGGCTCCTCACCAGCAGCACCATGCCAGCAGCTGTCCGCACGTCCACCTCCCCGCCGCCACCCCGCCCCGCCACACCAGCAGCGGCAGCACCACCACCACCGCCACCACCATCGCCCGAAGCGGCCGCAGCACCGCTGCCCCCGCCGCGCGAACCCCCTCAACCACCCGCTGACGCAGGCCGCTCCGCCTGCTACCACCGCCGCCCCCGCCGCTGCCGCTGCCAAGGCTGAAACTACGGGAGGGCCGACGGAGGAGACTGCGCTTGTCGTACTCTAGGCCATGGTCGCTGCCGTGTTCGCTAGCATGATTGTCGTACTCGTACTCATCCGTCGTACCGCCGCCACCGCCTCGGCCGGAGGTGGAAACCGGCGGCAGTAACGGCTGAGACTCCTCGCCCCCGGCGCCGCCAGCAGCGGCTAAGGCATTGGCGGCGGAGGCGCCGCGGCGGTGGCTGATGACGGCAGCGGGGGCGGCGGCGAGTGAGATGCTGGCAGCTGCTGCGCCGCCGCCGCTACCGCCGCCGGCGCCTCCGTCGGGAGGACGGCCGGTTGCCGTCAGGGTGGCTGCTGCTGCTGTAGAGGGTGGCATTCCGCCTCCGCCATTGCGCCGTTGAATGCTACCGCCGCCGAGTAACGGCCTTGAGGCGTCCTCCCCTTCATAGCTCTCGTCCTCGCTTGTGCCGTACGAGCTAAAACGGTCGTTCCATTGAGATGAGGACGAACAAGAAGAGGTGGATCCATTCTTGGTGCCTCTGGTACCCCGGCGGCCATCAGCACTACCACGCCCTTCTCGGGTCACTGTCTCCACTGCAGGTGCCCCGGCAGGACCCTCCTCCTGCTGCTGCTGTTGTTGTCTCCGCGTCTGCCCGCTCGCAATTCCGTTGTTGCTGAACGCCCTGTCGGCATGTCGTTGCTGAGGTTGCAGCACGTCCGACTCCGTACCCGCTCCCTCATTGTCGTACAGCAGGGCTGCGGCGTACGACGCCGCTAGATCTTGGCAGCTCCTGCCGTACACGAGGCCGTACGTACGCGCACCTTGCGGGGTCGTTGTCGTGGTGCCTGCTGCGTCCTGTGGCGAACGAGAGGGCGGAGGAGGCCGGGGAACGTGTCAGGCAATGCTGGTTTGGAGCAATGCCGGAAAGCGGGGAAGCATTTCCGAAACGGAGCTTGCGTTCTACCGAACAGTGTCACAGTGGGTGAGTGTTCCAAACGCAAATCCAAACCAGCACGATGACGATGGGCGCAGTGGTGTTGCTGGTGATGGCCGCAAAACTGCTGAGCCGCCGGAAGGCAGGGAGGCGGTGGTGGATGATACGGTGCGTGTAAAGTGAGCGCATGAAACATTGTAAGCTAATACCGAACAGGTAACCCTTATATCCTTCAGATGATACTTACGTCCTGGTGATGTAAATGGTGATGGTGGCTCCGGTGGCGGTGGTGATCGTGGTGCGGGGGGTGCTGGTGGTGCGGCGCCAGGATCAGTGGCATGCACTTGACCACCAGCGCACTCAGCGCCGCCGCCGCAACCACCGCAAGCGAGGCGGCTGCAACGAACAATCGCAGCCGCCGAGTGACCCGTGGGTCAACTCCGTCACCGCCGGTCAGGTAGCTGCTGTAGGCCGCGGGTCCCCAGCCGGCGCCCGCTGAGCCGCGGCGGGGCTCCTCTGACAGGGGACAGGCTAGGGATGACGTGTCGCCTGCATGCGGGGATGTGGAGGGGGAGGGGGCGGCTGGTTATATGGGCTGCAGAATTATGGCGTGCAAGTCCGGTGCGTCTTACTTAGATGCGTCTCACTCGTGGACGTACTTTGCCCTTCCTAGCCCTTACTTCTCCATTTCCCTTTTCCCTCCCCTCCTCTCACGTGTCAGTGCCGCCAGACTGAGGCCCCCCAGCCCGGGCAGCGGCTCCCGGTCGTCCCACAGCGGCGCCAGCAGCTCCCGCTCCCAGGCTGCGGAGGCGGCTCGGCGCACCAGCGGGCCGCTGATGGGCTCCGACAGCTCGGGGGCCACACGCTTGGGGGACAGCACGGGGCTGCAGGGGCGGGGAGACATGGGGGGGTTGAGAGGGCAGAGGAGGGCGTGTAGGGGCAGCTTCTCATGCCTATGTCATGTACCTATGGTCCTACACGGCGTACCCGTACTACCACTTGCAACCCACCCCCTCCCCTCCTCCCCCACCCCGCACTCACACCCAGCTCATGTCCTGCGGCGCCACCCCCACCCCGCCCAGCAGGCGGTCCAGGATGAACACGGGCGGGTTGCGCATGTCGCAGGGGCCCGCGGAGGTGAGGTTGGCGGTGAGGCAGGTGAGGGAGAAGTTGGGGGAGGTGAGCGGCACACCCCAGTTGCCTGCATGAAGGGTGGTGGAGGGGGAAGGGACGTGAGGAACCTGCAGGTGCCCTGCCCCTTAAAGGCTCCTGACTTCCCTGCCTCCTGTCAGGGGGCAGCCACCGTCCAGTCCCCCTCCGGACCCACCCAGTCACGCAGGCCACCCCAGCCAACTCCGCCGCCCGCGCCTCATCAAGCCCCCTGCCTCCCCACTGCCCGCCACCACTACCCATACGGGAAGCGCAGCCAACGCGTGTACGTCCTGCGCCATCCACCCACCCACCCAGCATGCACATTCAGGGTCAGGCCTAAACCTACGCCCATGCCTATCGGTATCCACCGCATAATCGTTTCCCACCACTACCTCCTGGTCCCAATGTCCCGCCCCTTCCCCCCCCCGCCCCTTCCCACCCATGTATGCCGTCCACGCCAGCTCCTTGCCCCGCTCCTCCTCCCCAGCCTCAGCCTCATGCGGGAAGGGCAGCCAGCGCGTGTTGGCGGGGGAGGGCACGAAGAGCGGGCCGGAGGGGGAGAAGCGGTCCGCCACGTAGATGCCGTCGAAGTTGAGCAGCTGCTTGAAGTTGATCTGAACAGGGTGGGGCGCGCGTGCCCGGAGGGCAGGACAGGGGGTGACTTGAACTTCCTAACATGGACCCAAGGTAACTATGTCGACATTTTCAGTGTTCCGGACGAGAGCATGGGTTACGAGTGGCTTGGAAAAGTGTTGAGAGAGAGGGCGATGGGATATTCACAACAACATTCGTCAGTTGCGCGACTCAGTTGCTTAACACATGCGCCAACGCCAGCGTCATGTTCAGTGTCAGCCATGCGGCTCAGTTGCTTTGACACATACACGCATGCATTCGTGAAACCCGCATACACGCACATACACGCACAAGTGAACTCTTCTTGTCTCGTGGCGCTTTGGAGATTTCTGTTGATGGCAATCGCAGTATCGTTGCTACTCGCAGCCAGTTCTCTTACCACGCGCACGCACCTTTGCATACACATGCAGGTTGCTGGTGGTGGGGCTGTTGGCGTGGCTGTGCAGGCCGGCATACACGCGGGGGCGCAGCTGGCCGGAGGAGGGGTCGCGGGCAAAGGAACACTCGCCTGGGGGAGGGCGGGAGGCGGGAGGCGGAGGGAGGAGGGCGGAGAGGCGGGGCAGTGGGGGTAATGTCATCCCAATGGAGGCTATCTACACTGGCATGTCAAGTTCAAACACATTACCACGAGGAGGTTACCGGTAGTACTGCGGTGCCCAAGGCGGGAAAGAGAACAAAAAGGTGTCCGCAAGGACGGGGGTTAAGCCGTTCAAGGAGGAGGGAGGGAAGCGGGGGGAGGGGAACCGCAGAACCCTCTGTCGATGCAGTCGAATGGGCCGGGTGTACACGGAGGGAGGAAGGCTTACGTGCAGAGAAACCCTGAGCCTGGGAGCAACAGATAAACCATTACCTGCCTTCCCCCCTACCTGCCGTACACAGCTGTCCCCCGCCTCCCCTACCTGCCGTACAGTCGTACGTTGGCAGCCAGGTATGTTGGCTGTACTGCAGTGCTGCGATGGCGGCGGAGGGGTCGGCAGCTGGGTCGTCTGCGGCCGCCGCCAGTCCGTCCTGGCACACGTACACCTTCACATGCTCCCAGTCGCCTGGAAACGGAGGAGGGAACGGAATATTAATGAAATTGACAGAAAAGCGAAGAACTGTGTCGGGGTCTGTGTGGTGATATTGGCAGGCGGTGGCGGGATACAATAGAAGCCAAGATAGGGTTGTGCAAGTATGTCCCCTTGTGGCAGCTGAGATGGTCAACGAGTAATAGTAAACGCCCTGGGCGCCATTGACGTTTCGCAAACATCGCAATCAAGCCCACTATCTGCTCCAACTCTGCCATATAGCCTACACTTGTTGTCAACGTTCCGACTCTGGTCACCGACATCGGCTACGCAGTCAATTTAGCGTCCAGCTCTCACGTCGCTGTGAGGGAACCACATCTTATCCCCGTTCAAAACCCCAATACCTACTACACATGCATTAATTGCCCCCCCCTTCACGCGGCAACACGTTGTGTAGCCCGCTCACCTGAAATCCAACCCCTCATCCTGAACCCCAATCTCCCCTGACCCTCAGCCAGCGTGCAACCAACGGTGGCGTCGTACCCTATTGACTGTTTTCGTCTACTCCTCCCCCCGCACCCTTACCTTCATGCACCCCCAGCGGACACAGGAAGTACTCCGCCCCCTGCTGTCGGCCGGCGAACCGAGTGGCCATGAGTTGGTTGGAGCAGCCGTTGAAGGGGTAAAAGAACCTGACAGGAGGGGGAAGCGGAGGAGGTTTCAAGGCTGGAGGGGTAGCAAGGGAGCTTGGAAAGAAAGGTGGAGTGTGGCGCGGCGGGGCGGCGGGACTCAAGCACCGCATCCATCTGGGCGGTCCCGCGGGATGATGGAAGCGGTGGCTGCAGGCGGAGGGCAGTGAGGGGGCAGCAGAAGCCGCGGGAGCAGCAGCATGCAGTCCTGATAGCCGCTGCTTGGCATGGCGTGTGCATGCAGCAAGACCCTTGACAGCGGCTTCGAGACCAACCCACCATGTACACCTTGAGTACACGCACCCGCGGCCAAATTTCTTAACACACCCTGCCCACACCACTTTCCTCACCAGAACGTGTACACGAAGGCATGTGAAGGGCCCGCCTCCGCCTCACCACCAGCAGCAGCAGCAGCAGCGGCGGCGGCGGCGGCGGCGGATGCGTCGCTGTAGGGGTTGCTCCCCCCCTTGCCAGGACGGCTGCTGCCACGGCGATTGCTTCGGGTGCCGGCGGCGGCGGAGGAGGGGTCCCGCCAGCGGAGGTGCTCCAGACGCGGCTCGAACACTGTTGTACGGCGGAGCCATGCGGTGTACGGCAGAGGGAAGTGGCACACGGTTTCAAAGGTGGCGTACGACACATACGCGCGATGTACGGCAGATATCCAATTGTACGGCGTGACATGCCTGTGCGTACGGTAGCAAAACGCAGTGCATGCATGCGTTAGACATGGAGCTTCCGCTGAAACGCCTGGGGCAGGGGCGTAAACATCGCCTGATCCTACATCATAGGAACCCATTCGCCGCATCTATCGCCTATCGCACCTTCTTTCCTTCCTTCGAGCCCTTCCACCCACCTGTAAAGTATACCTTGCCCCCCAGCCGCTGCTCTTCTCCTCCACCGTCGGCCGCCCCTTCGGCCCGCTCCTCCTCCTGCCCCTCCCCAGCACCCGCAGCAAGCAGCGGATCTCCCGCGATGGCAGCGAAGAATTCAGAACCCTGGGTGATTGGGTTGACGGATTGGTGCGAGAACGGGAAGATGGCGAGCAGTGAGGTTCATCACAGGATTCCGCGTCCCTCGGGCCCCAATCCTTCGTTACGAGCCATGAGCTTGAATAGGATGTTCGGCCGCACGTTCAACCCCTCAACCCCTCAATTCGTACCCACCCACCTGCAACGCCTCAAAGTGCGGCCAGTGCGGGTCCTGCTCCTCCTCCTCCTCCTCCACGCCGCCTGCGCCTGCCTCTGCCCCCTTCGCGCCGCCACCACCGCCCTGCTGCACCCGGCCAGCAACCCCGAGCCCACCCGGGGCCACCCGCACCGCACCCCCCGCCACCTCCTCCTCGCCTGATGCCGCCACCTCCACTTCCTGCTGCTGCTGCCGGCGCCGGAGCCAGGATAAGCCGCTGCCCCCAGCCCTTCTCCCCCAGTTTGACCTCTGCGCCTGAAGATCAGTTTGCTGTTGATGCTGCTGTTGCGCCAGTAACCGGTCCCCGGCAGACGTCGGAGCGCTGTTGCTGCCGCTGCCGTCGCCACCACCCCCGTTCTGCGGCGCTGGCACAGCCTCCTCCTCCTGCTCCTGCTCCTCCTCCTCCTGTTGCTGTCGGCCTTCCTCACTATCAGCAGCACCAACGTTATCATACCGTCGCCGTACCAGCCTGGTCGCAAAGAAATTATGAGTGTCGTACGATTCATGAACCAGCCAGTACGGATCCGCCGCCGCCGCAGCAGCAGCGGCAGCGGCTGCACGCACTGCGGCTGTGCCCGCTGCTGCCGCAGCAGCAGCAGCGGCGCTGTCCGCGTCCCCATCGCTGGCGGCTGCGGCAGCGGCGGCTGCCTTCGTGGCTGCTTCCGCGGCCGCCCTCTCCGCTGCTAACTTCTCCTGCCGTGCGCGCCGGGCGAGGTGCCTGTGGATATGGGTGAGTAAGAATTAGTGGGGTGGTTCAAGGGCCCAAGAAGGCAACGTCAGTTGAGGAGGTGCTCTCGAGACGTTGGTAGCGGGGCAGTGAGGCAGCGGGGCAGGCTCAAGAAGGCGGAGTCAGGGGTTCGGATGAGCGGGGGATGTGAGGAAGGGCCAGCCCCATCGGGTCCCATCAGGTCCCACGCATGCACCCCTCCTGCCATGCTAAACACCCAATCTGCAGGTGATGACGTCAGTGGAAGTGTTAAACAATTGCGCAGGCGTGCCACCCCAGTCATGTACATCACACGCGGCCAGGTTTCACAAAAACACTTCCGTACTACAACCAGGTACGCGCGTACCCCGGTCCTCACCTGTTCTGCAGGTATGTAGCTAGGTCGGTGGTGGTGTAGGTGAGCGGGTCGATGAGGGTGGCGGAGGACAGCCAGGCGCCCGGGTCGGAGAGGCGGGACCAGTCTAGCGGGTGCTGCCGACTGGGGAAGGAGGGTAAGGAGAGGGGTGATGAGGAAGAAACTAACCACCTGACAAGGCTCCACCATGGGTTGCAACTTGGCTGCCGACGCTTCCAGACCAGCCGGAATCATGCATAGCGGTGAGGCGGAGGTTCGGACGCTTACGGGCGACTAGGGAAATGATGGGCGACGGGTTGACAGACACTTTTCCTGACCTACCTTTCTACAGCGTAGGGTACGCCTTCTACTACTCAGTTGCCACATCCACATTGCACGTTGCCGCTAGTCATAACTTGCTGCCCGTCCTCTCCTCCACCGCACCCCAAACCCAGTGCCTACAAAACGGCCCCTGCCTAGTACTCCCGATGAGTCCTTAACATGAAATCACTGTCTGCACTTACAGCAACGGCGCAAACCTCCATCCGAACGTCCTGGCTTCCGGCAGACCCACGGGTCGCCGCGGAGGCGGGCAGCGCGGCGGCGTGTGGCTGACAGGCGAGGTGCGGTTCTTGGGAAGCGTGCATCCGTTGGGCCCCTATGCGGGGAGGATTGTTAGGGGTAAGGATTTGCGGGTCGTGCTGCGTCATAGGACGGGATAGAAACAGATGCCGACGACTTGACACAGGCGGATCGCGTAACCCGGCATGAGTTCGGTTCCCCCCACCAACCATGCACCCATGTCCGAGCCATTCCTCCTTCCCCCAATTCCGCACCGCCAACCCGCTTTCCATCTGCCCGTACGTAGGTCGGCGGTTTATCGCCCACCCCTCCGCACCAGAGCCCCACACTAAGCAGCGCCCCTCCGCCCCCAGCCCGCCGCTCCCTCCTTTCTGTTCCCGGCTGCCTACCTTGGCCGTCACGTTTGCCGCCCAGTCCAGTGATGCATCGAAGGAGGGCCGCAGCAGCAGACTGCCGACGCCACCACTGGGGCTGCTGGGGCTGGGGCTGCTAGTGAGGGTGCTGCTAGCTGGAGAGACGGGAGTGCTGCCAGCAGGGGTGGTGGGGGTGCTGGCAATGCTTCTGCTATTGCTGCTGCTGCTGATTGTCGGCATGCTTCCAGTGGGTTCAGGAGAGGCGGAGGCAGCAGCGGCGGCGGTTGAGGCGCCGCTGCTAACACTAATGCCTCGAGAAACCCCAGGGCTAGTTGATTTGGGGTTGGGCCTGGGCTGCTTCGGAGTGGTTGTGGAAGAGTGCCGTTGCCCCGCCGCTGCTCTTTCCTTGGTCCTTCTATTGGTTATTGCTGCAGGCCCTGTCGTACCGCTACCACCAGTGTCACCACTGCTACTGCGTGTTGAGGTCGAGCTGCCACTGCCACCGCTGCTGCTGACTCCCGCATTATCCGTGACCGCCGCCGCAGCAAGCAGGATCCCCACACGTCTGCGTCGGATCCCTGCACCGCCATAACCCAGGGGTCCCACCAGCCAACCAACCAAGGAGGAAAACGACCCCTTAGGTATTCTTTGAGGCAGACCACTCAAGGTTCCTGCACTGCTGTTGCTGCCGGTACTGCTGCTTTGGTGACTCTCTCCTTGCTTCCCACCTGGGCCCGGTGGTGAAGCCGGTGCCAGCAGCACCAGTACCAGCAACGCCAATGCCGGCAGGTGGGTGGCACCGCCGACGCGTGTGCTGCTGCTACTGCTGTTGCCGACATGGGCGCGCCGCACAGCGGCAATGCAAGCCATAGACACGTGAAAGGGCGGGGACCGGCCATATGCGTGGTTGTGGTTGCCATGGTGTCTGACGCAGTGATCTGAAGCACCCGGCAGTGTGACCGGTTGATGGTGTCCCGGGGGTGGCTGAGGGGAGGACGCCGCGGTAGGCGCTTCTGTGGTGCTAGGCCGCTGTGGCGTGGACTCGTGACCTCCAACCCTCCGCTGCTTCCCATCTTGCCTCCGCTGCCCTGGCGCCTGGGAGCCTAGGGCGCGCACCTCCAGCCGCTGCTGATGCTGCTGCTGTGGACTGCTAGTGCTCCCATAGCAATGCATCGTGCCGTGGGATGGCGGAGCAGGAAAGCGATGAAAAGGCGCAGAGCCTGGGCAGGGGGCAATCGAGAAAGCGGTGGTGGAATTTTAGAGGAGGCAGCAAGTTTGAAACACGTGTCCACATAAACGTTTTCTCCGCTAGAAGTTAGACCCCAGGGGTGTTATTTGGAACACCGTTGGGTGCGGAAAAGGCGATGCATGCACGGCGAATTTTACCTCATTGAGCTGAAACATACTCCATCGCCTTACAAGGCGCACCAGGTGGTCAGATACGTGCATCGCGTATGTAATAGAAAAACGAGGCAGGGAAATATGCGGGAGCAACTATCGACAACCATCATCTACACGTAACTTGGAAAAGGCAATATTGGTGACAGCACCACTATTTCACATACCTTACAGTGGTGCTGAGTTCACATAATTCATGGATTAGGCTAGCTCCATGACAAACGTTTTATGTATAAATTGTTATTGGCTCTCCCGCCATAGTCAGGGATGGTCTTGCATCAGAATAAAGCACTTTCGACAGCCTATATGTGCAGTGAATGCAACAGCTTATTGAACTGCGGCGACAATGCAACGTCCTACAAACCGTCCGCAAAACTGTCCGTTGGATTTCTGCGCAAGTGGCAAGGTAATTGTCCATAACTACTGGACATTGACACACGAGGCCGCTATCTCGTTGAGCGCAACGGTTCCTGTGTTGCCATGTGACAAACACATCGCCGTACAAATGGCTAGCCAGCACGCAAGCCAGATAGCCAGCATTGACCTGCCCTTGCCTTACACCGGCAACGAGCATTGCGACAACGCCCTCTACCTCGATGGCTTGTCATAACTGAGCGTATGTACACATCGCTAGCGTTTACACGTATGCTGCTCGTAACCATTCACCTGAACTATGGAGCCATGAACTTGCATTTCTGTGGCGGGGCCAAACTAAGTAGAACGCCTTCACTGCCCGTATACATCTCGGCCGGCATCTGTCTGTACGCCTACCATTAAGGTGTAATGCCCGTCGACCCGTCGACCGATTTATTCATACCCTGATCCGACCACATCCTCTAAATGGAAACTCTTGCTCTACTCTCTGTCGTGCCCAAGCGCTGGCACATCGAAGGGCACTGGGTTGCGGACTACGACTGCAAGGCATCAATCTCTTGTCACTGCGCTCGCTGGATGAGTCGGGATATGGGATTGGGACTCAGTTGCCTCACTTTGCCCCTTCGTGAAGTGTAAGTTTGCTATGCAGTGAACGACATGAATTAAGCCATTCGAGAGCTCCCACAAAGTCCCCCTTAGCTAGGTTCACGGCACACATTTACCCATCAGTAAGATTCCCAAGAAATGCGGGCCGAGTAACATTTCCGCCGGTGCTTGTGTGCCCATGCCTTTAGGCACCCCTCCGGTGCGTGGCGGTGTGGTCTTCATGTAGTGGGTAGGGGGAACGGAGGGGAGCTTTTTAGCAATAGCAGGCATCGCCATCTGCCGAAGCGTCATGGGTGACCATCCGAACTTCTTTTGTACCAGGCATCTGCAGGCATACTGGTACGGTAACCAATATCGCTGTTGTAGACGGGCACCTTAGCGTGATTGGGGCTTGTTGGGTGGTATAGCGTATCCTGTTGGGTTGTACGGCTGTTCAGGTCCGTCCCTCTGAGACCTGCCCTTGGTTGAGAGTATCCTCGCTGAGCCATGGTTTCCGGCCGCAAGCCCTCAAAGAGACCGTGTTCCTTGGGGCAGGTCGCCGGGTTTGTTTTCCGGCCAACCCAACTCTCTCCGCCTAGCTCTGCCTTGGTTATATGTTGTCGGCCCATAGGAGTTTTCCCCGTAGGACCGGGGTTTTATCAGCATAGCTGGCATTGCAAGAGAGAATGTTGGTGTGTCGAATGTGAAGGATCACATTTGGGGGACAGCCTTCTTCCGGTTCCGGTCTTGCAGGTTGCAGAGCAGGCAAGCAGCAGGGCCTGCAAGGAGGCGAGGAGGAGCGGGGCATAGTTCCTGCTATCAGGAGGGGTGCAATGCCAAACATCATCATAACGATGAAGCCAATCCCACATTTTTTGGCGAGCGGTGTATTCTTTTGGCGCAAGGAAACACTTCCAAGCATCTGGGATTGGGGGCGGGTTGAGGGGAGTGGAACGGATTGGATAAAGAGCCCAAGGATGCATATTACAAGTTGCATTTCGCCAACGGAGGCAGGTGTGCGCCACACGGATGCAGTAACGCTGGGGTTTCTATTGTACGACAACACACAAAACAGTACGGATTACCTTCGCAACCGCCGATGCAGCGAAAAGAGTCGAACTGCGGCACCTTTTCTTAAATGTGTGGTGGTATTTCGTGTAGGCGTTAGTTCACGGTTAAGTCGTTCTAATATCTTTACAGACTCGAATCCGATCGGTTGGAACGACTCTTAGGGGAGTGACCTTCGCGCTTTCTTGACCTTCTTCAGCTGGCTGTGTGGCCGGTTACAAGTTAATAGCTTACAAGGATGGCGAACTCCGTGGAGAAGAGCTGCACCATGCTGGTGTACAATGATAAGCAGGCGTCCGCAACAGAGATTAAGGAGGCGCTGGAAGGCAACGACCCTCTCGCAAAGCAGGCAGCAATGAAGAAGGCCGTCTCGCTGCTGCTAGCGGGCGAGCAGCTGCCGCAGCTCTTCATTACCATTGTGCGCTATGTCCTGCCCTCCGAGGACCACACCGTGCAAAAGCTATTGTTGCTTTACCTGGTAAGATTTGGTGACAACGTGCTGTGAACGGCTTTGCGGAAAGGAGCTTTTAAGTCTTAAAGCAACTGCTGATCCAGCAAGAAGACCTGTTTTCAGTTATGCCTGCATACAAAAAGGACATGGATGCTAAAACTAAGTCTACTACGCCGTGCTCTGGGCGGCTCTTGGGGCCTAGGAACCTAACGGAGAGTTGCTTCATGTAGCAGAAAGCGGGAGGCTTTGGGTGGGCCACACAGTATAATAGCAGAAGCATGCCAACCTCGCGTACTGCATTCAATGTTACAGGAAGCGATTGAGAAGACGGACTCCACTGGCAAGCTCCTGCCGGAAATGGTAAGCACTGTAGCGTGGGGTAACAAGTGGGACAACACATGCTTAGCTGTTGGGGCGGATTGGCTGCCCTCGCTTTGGTGAAGTTGTGGTGATGCCGCTCGTTGCACGGGTGGAGAAGCACTTTGCTAAACAGTTCCCCGGCACGGCATGACCTCCACTCAACTACACACCCGTCCGTGAGCCCCTGGGTTGCGTGTTCCTAGAGTGGAGTCTGCTAATGCGTTCACTGCTTGGATTGGTACATGGCATTGTGCTTCACTTCTCATTTCTCTCCCCCCATACACACCCTTCAACTGTCCTCAGATCCTCATTTGCCAGAACCTGCGGAACAACCTGCAGCACCCGAACGAGTACATCCGTGGCGTTACGCTCAGGCACGTATTATCTAGGGAATGTAGTGTTGGGTAAAGTGGGCATGACCAGCTCCGGCACTGCATCCCCAGCAGGCCGCTAGGAGCTATCCTGGCTACCGGACCTCCCTTCAGCCCAGCACGCTGTCCCTGCCATGCCGTTCAGCTGTCACGTAAAATCCATTGCACCGAGCGCTCTATTCTGTTTTTGGCACTCCCCGACCTCGCACCCCTCACACTCACGTCTGCCATACAACATCTCCCTCCTTTCGTCCTTCCCTTGCTTATCCTCTCCTTCGCAGGTTCCTGTGCCGCATCAAGGAGGAGGAGATCTTGGAGCCGCTGGTGCCCTCCATCCTAGCCAACCTGGAGCACCGCCATTCGTACGTGCGCCGCAACGCAGTGCTGGCCATCAACTCAATCTACAAGCTTCCAAAGGTAAGGGAAGGCTTCGATGAGGAGTAGGGGAGAGGGCGCAATGGGTGAACCGGCCAGAGCCATAATGAGATATGGGGGAACAGATAGGAGGAGAAGCGGCTGCGCACGAGTTTAATAGGAAATCAACAGGGCTCCACCGTGGGTTGCACCACGGCCGCGGACCGGGTGAACCTGACACAAGCTGAACCCGTTTTGCGCACTGGTGTGATGATGGAGGCAGAATCAGTACCTAAGCGCACAGCGGAGGAGTTGGGTAGAGTTTGAGGAATTCCATTTATGTACCCATGCACCAAACATGGAGGTTTGCAACGTAGGTTGGCGCGGCTGCATAGCTAAGCTGGACAGTTCAGAACGCCCCAGGCGCGAGCAGAAGGGGTAGACTGCTGGGTGTTGGGAACCGTGCCCTCATCAAGCTCCCGACTTTCCTTCCCCCACCACCACTGAGTACCATCCCTCCTCTCCCCACCGCCCAGGGTGAGCTGCTGCTGGCGGATGCGCCGGAGACCATTGAGCGGTTGCTAAGGCAGGAGCAGGTGAGGGCTGCGGCAGGTGGCCCATGGCCGTTCCTGCGGAGAGCCGCAATTGAGGACACTGGCCGATGAATTTGCCCCGATAAAGCGTACTGCCTTCACCCATATCGATGAGGGTCGGCGTATTTGTCAGCAGCGAGCCTTTTCTTTGTGCATGCACGCATGCGGCTCTGGCTGCTTGCCTACCAGTTTGTCCGCACTGGGACGGACTCCAAGTCTTGTATGGCGCCTCCTAGATCCGCCCCTATCTCTCACCGCCCCTTCTAGTATCTAATTTCTCTCTCGCACCCCACCACCACGCTGAACACCCACCCAGGACCTCTCCACGCGGCGCAACTGCCTGGCCATGCTGACCAACCATGCCACCGACCGCGCAATCCGCTACCTGCTGGACTCGGCGGACCAGCTGGGCACCTGGGGGGACCTGCTGCAGCTGTCGGCACTGGACCTCATTCGGAAGGTAGGAAGGGGGGAGGGAAAAATTATAAATAAGTGCAACAACACAATCCCAATCCCGAAGGGGGGAGGGAGGGTGGATGTGGTGGGGTGGGTTGCAGGATGCTCGCAGTAGGTAAACGGGAAAATGCGGGGTCGTGGGCAGTTGATTGTGCCTGTTCTGCCAGGGCGGGCCAAACTCAAGGTTGTACGGTGTGCGGGGTTAGGGAACTGTGCGGGGTATTTAAGCGGCATGGCCGTGTTGGTTGTGGTTTTCTATAGAAGGAATGTTAACAAGCAAGCCTGACGGGAGACGAAGTGGCGTTGCTGCAGGCAATGTCTAGCTGTGCACGCGTTGAATGGCATGTTAGCTTCTTTGGGTATCTACCCCAAGCTCCCATTCCGCCATCACCTCCAGCACCGGCGCTCCTCATTCACACTTCCTGGGACACTCCGGTCGCTCCCCCCTCCCCCCTTCCCCAGGCTTGCCGCTCCTCCCCCGCCGACAAGGGCAAGTTCATCAAGACCATCCTGGTGCTGCTGCAGTCGCCCTCGCCCGCCGTCATGTATGAGTGCGCCGTGACGCTCACCTCGCTCTCCTCCGCGCCCTCCGCCGTGCGCGCCGCCGCCAACTGCTTCTGCTCGCTGCTGGTCAGCCACTCTGACAACAACGTGAAGCTCATCGTGCTGGACCGGCTGCAGGAGCTCAAGGAGAAGCACCGGGAGGTGAGGGGGCAACGTTAGCTTGGGTTAATAGCAGCGGGATGCGGGAGGTTAGGGTAGTAGTGTGGGCTGGAGGGGTACAGGGAAGCGCCCGGGGGTGCCACAGTGGGGACATAGAGGGAGGTAGCGAGGAGGGGTAAGGGGGTTGCACTGGTTGTCGAATGGTATTTTGGGGGCCGAGTGAGATTCGCTAGGGCACGTTTGGGCCAAGCCGCGAAAATTCCTTTGCACAAGGACGTCTCTCACGGGTGCCCGCCCCGCATGGTCCCCGAACAGCGTTTGCATCATGCACAATATATGCTAACCTCTGCATTACAATACGCGGTTGTCGCGGGTTGTCGTACAGGTGATGACGGACATGGTGATGGACACGCTGCGCGCGCTGGCCTCCCCATCGCTGGACATCCGCAAGAAGACGCTGGACATCTCCCTGGAGCTTATCACGGCTCGCAACATTGACGAGGTGAGGGGGGAGCATATCGTGCGACATTGGCGGGTTGAGAGGTTAGATGGGACGACTGAACGCCCGAAGCACGACTTCGGAACCGCAACCCAGCTCGTTTGCTCCCTTTCCCTCTTTTCACTCGAATCGCATCCTGCCCTTTATTTCGAATCACATTTCGCCCTCCTTCTCAAGTCACATTCCGCCCGTCCACTCAAATGTCGTCCCGCCCCAATTCCAACTCCCACCCCCCTGCTCTCGCCTAGGTCATCTCGGTCCTGAAGAAGGAGGTCGTTAAGACACAGAACAAGGAGTACGACAAGGCGGGCGAGTACCGCCAGATGCTGGTTCAGGTGCGGGCATGGAGGTGGGCGTGTGTGAACGGAGTTGTTTAGCTCTGGGGCCTGATTGGTTCTTTTTGGGGCGGTGGAGGAACACAATTGTGGATGAGATATTGGACACGGGTATAGGGGGGAGGTTTCGATTGAGCCAAAACAACTCTGCATCTTGCCATAACTGCCCCTCACTTCTACTCCCTTTCGACTGTTTTGCCCTCCTTCAGGCCATCCACTCGTGCGCCGTCAAGTTCCCCGAAGTGGCTGGCAACGTGGTGCACGTGCTCATGGACTTCCTGGGAGACTCCAACACCGGTAGGGAAGACGTGACAATGTGTTGGGCGGTGCTGCTCACCGGCCAAGCAAGGCCCAGGCCCCCCTTCTTGCCGTTCTTGCCAATACGACCTCATCCATTGCCCTCTGTTTTAGCAGACCACCTCCATGTGTACAGCACCTCCCACCCCACCCCACCCTATTTATCCCCACCCCAGCCTCTGCCCTGGACGTCATCTTCTTTGTGCGGGAGATCATGGAGACCAACGCGCGCCTGCGGCCCAGCGTCCTTGAGCGCCTGCACACCGTATTCTACCAGGTGGGTGACGGGGAGGGGGAATAGGGAACTGGCCAGAATGAAACATGGGTGCCTGCCGTCCAGGAAACTGGTTGTCTCGAGGGATGTCCTCGTCCTAACTTCAGCCAACCCCTTACACCTCCTTCCCCTCCCACCCCCTGCCTCAGATCCGTTCCTCCCGCGTGGTGAGCTGCGCGCTGTGGATTATGGGCGAGTACTGCGCCTCAACGCCCGAGATCCTGGCGGCGCTTGCCACCCTCAAGGAGTCTCTGGGGCCGGTGCCATTCCTGGTCGAGGGAGCGGGTGAGGGACAGGGGTGGTTGGGGCGGAGAGAATGAGGAGGGGTGAGCCATGGGCTGGGCGCCCTCCCTGGTGGAAGGACCTAGGATTGGAGCCAACACAAAGGAGTTCCGCTGCCATCGCCGGTGCTGACATTCATGTTGGTTCCGTGTCATTGCCTTCCGCCCTGCCCCGCAGAGGGTGAGGAGGCTGCTGCCGGCGGCTCCGCGGGTGGCGCCCCCGGGGGCTCGTCCTCCGCTGGCCCCGCAGCGGTGGGCTCCAAGCGGCCCGCGGTGCTGGCGGATGGCACGTACGCTACTCAGGTGGGCAGGGTTAATGGATTGTGAACAGAGGCGCAGGGCAGGTGAGGAAAGAGCCCAAACCCGAGCTACACGTGTGGGAGTGTAGGGTAGCGGCAAGCACTAAATTGTATTCAGTATGACTTCTGCCATCCCCTGGTTGTTCCTGTTTCTGCTTGCTGCTCTCTGGCGCCCACTCAGGATAATCCTGGCATCCTTGTACACCGACACATGCAGGTAGCGGTTGCCGAGCTGCCCTCCGCCGCCTCCGCCCCAGCCACCGGCGCCGGCTCGGGCCCCAACCTGCGCACGCTGCTGCTGGCCGGGGACTTCTTCCTGGGTGGCGTGGTGGCGGGCACGCAGGTGAAGCTGCTGCTGCGGCTGGCAGGCCTGAAGGAGGTGCCAGGTGAGCAGGGCATACCAGGGTATGCTTGGCTTGGAGCTGGAGGGTGGGGGCTGAGGAGAGGTTACGTCGCTCTGATTTCTTAACGGCGACGTGGGCGTTGGTCCGGAAGCTGCATCCTTGCCCTCGGAATTTGGTTGCATTGGCAACTGGCAGCATTGGCAACTGGCAGCATTAGATGAATTTCCCCTGGTAGGCCATGTGCTAGTTCTCAATGAATGACATGCCTTCTGCCTACGCCCCGCTTCCCCCAGTTCCTGAACCCACGCCACATAATGTTGCGTCCTTATATCAGCAAGCCTCCCTTACCTCTTGCTTTTCCTCCCCTCCGCAGCTGCACAACTGAACGCTCGGTTCGCCGAGGCCATGCAGTACGTGGTGGCCGCTCTGCGGCTGGGCGAGAGCGCCGGCGCCACCCCCACCCCCATGGACGCAGACAGCCGCGACCGCATGATGCTGTGCCTGCGCGTGCTGGCAGGGCAGGACAGCTGGTCCAACTCGGTGAGGGGGAGGGTGTTGGAGTGCTCGGCGCACCCGGCTGGCTTGCTTGGTGCGCTCATGGCTCACAAGGTTCCGACTGACTCGCTGCACAATTCCCCAGGTGTGGCTCGAGGACTGCCGCCGCGCCTTCTCCAGCCTCACCAGCGAGAAGCAGCGCGAGATCAGCGCCCGCACAGCCCGGGAGGAGGCGCGCGCAGCGGTGCAGCCGGACGACCTCATTGACTTCCAGGTGTGTGGGTAGCGCAGGGCACTGCAGGTTGGCTGGGAATAGAGCAAAGGGAGCATGGTAAAGGGGCGAAGAGCTGTGGTAAAACGCGAAAGCTGGTCGAGATAGGCGGCCGCATAGGAATCCACATGGGAAAGAGGCTGATGGGTACGGGGTAGAGGCTGTAGAAACGTGAATGAGCAAGTGTTGGGCAAAGGCCTGTGCACGGCGGGGAGGGTAGGAAACAATGCATGTTGGAAAAGGGGCGAGTGCATCTAGGCATGAGCAGGGGCATGTTGGCATATACTGGCTTGGACAAGTGCGGCCATACACGACGGGGCAGAATTGTTTAATGCGCCGTCCCGCTGTTCCATGGCCCCAAGCCCTATTACCCCCCTCCGCCTTCCCCTCCGCCTTCCCCTCCGCCTTCCCCTCCGCCTTCCCCTCCGCACCTTACCCCTCGCCCTGACACGCAGGTTCTTAAGAACCGCAAGGGTCTGTCGCAGCTCGAGGTCGAGGACGAGGTCACCAGCGGTGAGGGGGCCTGGGGACGTGGTATCATGGGGGACATGAGAGCCGCGACGAAATGCCGTACACTTATGGAGGTTTTGGGTATGTTGACATGCTTGGGACTGGGTTGCAGGTGGCCCGCGGTAAGGGCGTGAGGTAGTTGCTGTAGCCTTACACCTGCACACGAGCAGGCTCCTCGCCTAACCGCCGCCTCCCTTTCTCGCATCCCTCGTCCTTGTTCCTTAACTCAAGACCTGGCTCGCGCCACCGGCTACACCGAGGCCGCCGCTGCCGCCTCCTCGCGCCTGAACCGCGTGCTGCAGCTGACCGGTCTGTCGGACCCCGTGTACGCTGAGGCGGTCGTAACTGTACACCAGTACGACATTGTGCTGGACGTGACCGTTACCAACCGGTGAGAGGGATGGTTAAGGAGGTGTTCGAGAGGGGTGTTTCCTAACGCTCTTCGGCGCCACGCGCATCACGTTCCCCCCACCTACCTTCCCCACCACATGCCCCACTCGCCCTCCGTATGGGTTACCTCTCTTCACCTAATCACCATGGTGTTATCCTATCCTTCCCTTCAGGACGTCTGAGACCATGCAGGCGCTATGTCTGGAGCTGGCCACCATGGGCGACCTCAAGCTGGTGGAGCGCCCGCAGAATTACACGCTGGCGCCGGGGGACACCAAGCTCATCCGCGCGAACATCAAGGTAGGGACATGAAGGGGTGTCCTCTCGCTCGTGAACCTGTATCCACACGTTTTCACCGTCTGCTCTTTCCCCCCGGCATCTCTCTCATCCCCAACCCTCCCACCTTTCCCTGCAGGTTTCCTCCACCGAAACGGGGGTCATCTTCGGCAACATCGTGTACGAGGGCACCGGGTACGCGGAGCGGTCCGTGGTGGTGCTCAACGACATCCACATCGACATCATGGACTACATCAGCCCCGCCTTCTGCCCGGATGTGCAGGTAGGAAGGGGGAAGTGCAGGGGGAAAAGAGGTGGTGAGGGAAGGATGGTAAGAGGGGAAGGTGGGTTAGGGAAGATCTGGCTAAAATTACATCATGGGAACAATTAAACGTAATGCCCGTTTGCGGATTAATTGTTACGGAAATCCTTGGTGCGTGCACCCCCCGTGTGTGCTGCCCCCTATCCCCTCCCGCCCACTACAACCATACCCTTGACGACCCACCCTACACAACGCCTCCACCCCCAGTTCCGCAACATGTGGGCCGAGTTTGAGTGGGAGAACAAGGTTGCGGTGGCCACTACCTTCAGCGACGTCGCGCCCTTCCTGCAACACATTGTGGCGACAACCAACATGAAGTGCCTTACACCGCCAAGCGCGCTGGAAGGTGGGTGTGGGTGTGTGCTATGGGTGTTGCTGGGGAAACGCGGCGGCACGAACCCCACTGACGGCAGAGGGGACGGTGATTGCAGCTCGAGGCAGAAGTGCAGTTACGATGGGTTTGGGCAATTTTTGCCTTGTCGCAAATGGGCCTGGACTTGGGCATTTGCCCAGCAAGTCTCCCGCTGTGTGAATCTTGCACAAATGTTTTTGGCTGAAGGTGCCCAATGTACGGCTCCTCGTTAGTGTGTTGCATAATTAAAGCTATAGATATCATTGATTACAGTCATGTCCACTTTCCCCCTATCCATTGTCGGAGGCACCTTGAAGCGGTAGCGCATGTGTCGGTGTGGTAGCGCTTCTTGATAATTAACAACTGCGGTTCAACTGCCATTCCCTATCCATGCAGGCGAGTGCGGCTACCTGGCTGCCAACCTGTACGCCAAGAGTGTGTTCGGGGAGGATGCGTTGGTCAACGTCAGTGTGGAGAAAACTTTGCCCGCAGCGGGTGGCGAGGCCGGGCGGCTGGTGGGCTATATCCGCATCCGCTCCAAGACGCAGGGCATTGCGCTCAGCCTGGGGGATAAGATCACGCTCATGCAGAAGGTGCCCGTACCCACCACTACTGCGGCGGCGTGAGCAGGGGGTTGGCATAGCGTATCTGCATGCACCACTTAAAGCGTGTGTGAGCACTTTGTGGCAAGAGCCGCTGCGCGAGCATGATAGCTGCGACGACACCCACGGCAACCGGGAGAAAAGCGATGTACTCACGTTTGTGGAGCATGGGACTAGTGGCGGGCGATGATGTGAGGGCGGTGGAAGGTTGGTTCGGAATGCCCTTCTGAGGCAGCGATATGTGGACAACAAGGGTCCAGGTAAGGGTCCAGGAAGAGGAAGAAGAGCGGGGCCGTGTTAGTGGGGATAACGGCCCTCGTTTTGGTGGAGAATGTTGGGGTTTTGGCAACGAACATTGCAAGGAAGGAAGACGACGGGGGTAGTCGCATGTGAGGTGCGGTTGAGGGGACAATGACTAAAACGCTAACTTGTTCATATGCGGATTTAGAGGCGAGGAGTTAACACTCTTAGATGCCGGGTGGCACATGCCGGAACATCGCTGATGGTAGGGCGGCAGTCGAATTGGTTTGCTTGCTGGCCGGCAACAATACATACGACAGGTGGAGCCAAGGGAGTACAAATGCAGGGCGTGTGCGTGATTCGAGTAGGGTTTTCACGACCTCCTAGGAAGATAGCTAAACAAGGTGGTTCCATAAAGGCATGAGGAGGAACAGCCGCTCTGATTGGCGGGTAATCGTCACGGAGGCGGCGACGTGCTCCCAGAGGCGCTACGGGTAAGAGTGCGTTAAATGGTGGGCTGGGTACCGGTATAGGGTTGGGGCCAAGGGGCTGCAGTCACGGGTATGAGACCTGCGGACAATACGTAAGGGGAAACAGTTACTGGTATATACATGCGTTTTGGCCCTAGGTGCATTTGAAGGGGAAGTTTGTAAGCTAGTGTGACCGCGGTCGGGGGCTTGGTTTGGTGTATGCCAGTTACCCATTGGTGTGTTTTATGTATCTTTGAACCTACACCCAACTACTGTGATTCAGCCCCCTATACGGCATGTGCATATTGTAAGCGGAAACAAACATCCCTTCCAAGTTAGCTATCAGACGGCCCCCATAGGCCTCACTTCCTGGCGTTATCCGTCCTATCTAAGAAGTGTGCAAGCCAGAGTACCCCGCCATTCTCTTGCTTAATCTGCACAATCGGCAGCCGTAAACTATTATATGCATAGCTGGTACTGTTACACTTCGAAAACACGGTTTGGTTCAATGGTAGCACCCATGCTTCAGTGCCAAAGGACGAAGATGGAAGGTGGGGGGTGGGAGGGACGAAGGGGGGAGGTGGAGTGTGAGCCCCGGCCAAGTCAGTGTGTCCCGATGTGCAGGCATTGCACACTGCTACACACTGTAGCTGTAGTCTTCTCCACAACATACCGTGCTGCTCGAGATACTTGAAGCCGCACTGTACGAAATGGCTTACCGCTTTAACGTGCAGGGCGCAAGCAGGATTCCGGCGGGTCCGGAACATTGATCTGTACGTACCAGTCAGTACAGGTGTTGTTAGGTACAGAACGCACGGCATCCCTTTCAATTATACTAAACGTTTGCGCATACGCGTTGCCTGTTCTGTTAATAGGGTATGAGCTTAGTTTGTGCTTGGTCTTTGCGACCATAAAGTTGCCATCTTGCCAACGGCTTTGCTTCTGTCGAGCTGAGCGTGTAGGTTTCTTCTGACGCCTCAACAAGTCTTAGCTGAAGCAAGGCATTGCGGCATCGCCTGGCTTCGGATAGAACGTTGTTAGGGGGAGTAGGACTGGGCCTTTGGCCCAGCCTTACATCTAGGTTTAAATGGGGCTAACTCTTATTAAGTATCTTGGACTGAGCTTACTGGCAGCCTCAGCCGTGGTATACCATGCCTTCGCCACTCGGCAATGGTGAGCAAATTTGCTACGCCGTGAACACCATATCTTACCCCGTTTTTAGTTTCCTTTCAAGAATTGGCTGCTTTGGACCTTTGACGATCCACTGCTTCATAATCGTGACGCACCTTCCCGATCCTGGGCGTTTGGCTTGCAGTTTCTATCGCAGCACAATTTACTTGTCTTCTTCAAAAATTGCGGTGGCAACCATGGGCAATCTTGCGTTTGCGCTGGCGCTATGTACCCATAAGTTGGTCATTAAGGTGATCGCGACGGGGTTAGGTTACGGGGACTATTGAGAACGCTTAATTTAGGATGAAGGCGGTACTGAATCAGTTACATTACGATATCACAGCGCGTTGTCTGTGGCTGTTGCCAGCAGTTGGCCCCATGCTGAACCCGTGCGTGGCCAACCCATGCGTGCACGCAGTTGGCCAACCCATGCTGAAGCTCCCTGGCCGCTGCCCGATCTCCTCACGTTTTTCCGCAGCTCTTTTTAGGCAGTTTGCGCGACATAGAGCAGGAAATGATTAGGGAGCGGCTCAGCAGCGCTGTCATGGAGTCGCTGCTGGCGCTGACCATATTCCGTGAGGAGTTCTCCACATTCTTCGTCGCGATGTTTGCCAGCCTGGTGTTTATGAAGGTTATGCATTGGCTAGTGCAGGTGAGACCTCTACAAGGCTAACTGGACGTTCGGTGGCAAGGGTAAAAGCGTGGAGCCCTCCTGGCTGCCTTTCGCATGCTTTTCCCCAGCCCCGTAAACGCATATAGCGCGTTGCGGCTCAATAGGGAGCCCCGCAACCCCTCCCTTCGTAATGGTTACGCCTAAGCGAAAGTTCATTGCCCTATTCCCGCCCTTCTTAGTGGCATTCTGCGTCCCTTTACACGTCCCCGCTCCGTGCCTCCGCATTCCAGGACCGAGTCGACTACGTGGAGGTGACCCCGAACATCTCGGTGCTGGGACACCTGCGCATCATAGCGCTTATGGTGCTGCTACTGGTGAGGCGGAGGGGGATCACGAAGGAAGGGAGGGGAGCAGTTGAAGGGGGCTTCGTCGATGTCCAATATATGTTGGCTAAACTAAACTCTTTTCTCCCTCTTTCCCCTCCCTCAGGCAGTTGACGCGGCCTTCCTGCAGTACACCATTGCTGGCAGCATCGAGTCCAGCGGCCGCTCCGTAATGCTGCTGTTTGCCTTCGAGTACGTCATCCAGGTGGGTGCTGCAATGGGGGGGTGCTGGCAGAAGGGAGCGCGCAGGAGCGGAGGGACTGGGACTTGCGTCCGAAGGATTGGTAACAGGGGGGCCGTATGTTCGCTTTCTAACGACGTCGTTGAGGGTAGGGATTGAGTTCGTCGTTGAGGGTAGGGATTGAGGACGTCGTTGAGGGTAGGGATTGAGGAAGGGTAAATTTGAGGGAAGGAGGAGAGATGATGGGTGGCATGGAAGCGGGTCTTTAAGGAAAGGGTGAGGTGCGCCACGTTTACGGCTTAAGGTGCAGGATGCAGCAGGAATTCAGGATGGATAGAAATCCCATGAGTTTCTCGTCTTGGCAAATGCCTCTCCTCCCACACTTGACTTCACTCCGCCCGCATCCTTTCCTACAGGTCTCGACTATCGTGCGTTACGCGCTCAAGTACGGTATGAGCATGGTCGATTTGGCCATGGATGGAAACTGGACGGTAAGAGGAGACGCGGAGAACGGCGGTTTACACCTACCGTCTGGTGGGGGGCATCCTGCTGACATTATCCCCCTCACGTCACCTGCACCCCCACAGGCCAAGGGCACCGCTGTGTTCTACCTGGAGCTGATTGCGGACCTGCTACACCTGTTCGTGTACTCCACCTTTTTCGTCATTGTGTTCAGCCACTACGGCCTGCCGCTGCACCTGGTGAGGGGAAGGAGGAGGGATAAGGGAAGGACGGACGAGAGGGGTTAAAGGTAACATGCAACGTGGGCGGCCGGGTGGCGTGATGTGGACGCCAAATCTGCATGCGTGACCAGCCTTTCGTCTTTCTCGGTCACCCACCTCCTGTTTGTAGCGGAAGCCTACCCATGCTTAAGCACGACGTCGTCCATCCTCCGCTCCTGCAGCGCTCCACATTCAGCCTAAGTGTTTCTACTGTTGAGTCCCGCCCCAACATCTCCACCTCCACCCCTCAACCCCAGGTTCGCGATCTGTACAGCACGTTCCGCAACTTCCGCACCCGCATGCAGGATTTCCTGCGCTTCAGACAGGTGGGCATTCGGGGGGAGGGGCTGGGGATGTGAGGACGTGCCTCTGTAGTGCAGTGGTTTGTGATTAGCGCTGCTGTGCTGGGCGGTGATCGGGTTACGACATCGGTATGTCGGTAGCATCGCGTGAAGCCGTTCCGCTTAGGAACGTCGCTTGTTAGCGCAGGACTCACGCCAGTTCTCGGCATCCGTGTCTCCGTTGGCGCCCCTTTTTTTCCCGACCAGGTCACCGCCCGGCTGGACCGCTTCCCGGACGCCACTTCCGAGGACTTGCGCCGCTGCGACGGAGTGTGCATCATTTGCAGGTATGAAGAGAAGGGGTTCCAAAATTGACCTCTCTGAGGGGAGGGCTGGGTCAGGCAGGGTTTTGGGTGGCGGAAAGGTCGCATATGCTGGTAGGAAGGAAAGGGTGTGTTTGTCAGGTGAATAACAAAGCACAAGAACGAATATGGCACGAGGGAAGAGTGCGCATGAATGGAAATGAGGACCGAGAAGTGGAGGCGGCTGCACGTTCCGAAGCCCTAGCTACCAGCCTTTACCCTGCTCGTACTGCGGGGTTGCCATCCCGTTACCGCCTTTCAGCAAGTGTAGCCCGCCGCACTGTAGGTCGTGCCATGTCGTGCCATTTTAAGCGCATCATTTCCTTCGTACCCACCTCGAGCTCTTTTTATTGCAGGGAGGAGATGGCTGAGGCGGGCGCCAACAAGCGGCTCTACTGCGGCCACGTGTTCCATGTGCACTGCCTCAGGTTGGGGTGATGGGGTTTTGGGGCTGGGTTTCCGGTTCGGTGTGGGCAATGGCTTTGCATTTGAGCAGAGAAGGTAGGAAAGGGGTGATGGTCACCCAAACCCTATGTTGTCTGTTCCCTATGATGTCTGATGGTTAGTAGTATAACTCAAATAACACGCCAGGTTTGTCATGTTAGGACTCAGGAGGCCTCCATCCCTGCTGGCCCTGCTTACAGGTCTTGGTTGGAGCGGCAGCAAAACTGCCCCACCTGCCGTGCATCCGTCTTCCGTACACCCACCGCTGCCACCGCCGCCCCCAACGCCGCTGCGGCGGCAGCTCACCCCGCTGCAGCGGGCCCGCCAGCTCAGGAGCAGGGCGCCGTGGCTGTGGCAAACGCGGCACCTGCAGCAGTCGCGGCGGCAGGTCCAGCAGAGGGAGTGGCTGACGCCGACACCGAGCCCCGCATCCTGCACCCGCCCGCGGCAGCCGGAGCAACGGGGGCGGCAGCGGCAGGTACTTTGCGTCACCGTCATGTAAGCTCTGGCGGCCCTCCTGCCGCCGCCACAACATCAGTGGCAGGGCAATCCGCCGCACCATCCTCCACAAGCGGAAGTACACCATTGGGGCCGTCTTCCACCGCGGCGGCGACGGACCCAAGTGCTGTTTCCGCTCTGGCTCCTGGCACCAGCCGCATTGCAGATTCTGCCGCTGTCCCTGTCCCGTCCGCTGCTGGGGCTGCCCCTGCTGTTGAGGGCCAGGGTGGCGGAGGCGCGCAGCCCCGCATGGAGCAGCTTCTGCTGCAGGGCGCACTGCAGGTGCGGGCTGATGAGAGGCGGTCTAAGTATACCTCAGCCGTTAATCATTATTAACGGCTGAGGTATGGGGGGCTGTTTGTGGTCAGGGGCTGCGAAGACACCCGGAGGGCGTTCATGGATAGCAAGCGAGCCGTCCATGTACTGCTCTTCGCATGCAGCCCTCGCCCGTGTAACCTCCCCGCTTGCATAGCTCACCTCCCTCTAGTAATCCCACCTTGCCTTCCGCGCCCCTTCAACCCGCTACTCCCCCACCTCTATCCCCCGGCCCCCAGGTGCTGCGCGCCCAGGAGCAGCAGCTGCTGCAGCGCCTCGCCGCCCCCTCCCACAGCGCTAGCAGCCGCCGGCAGCACCCCCACCCACGGACTAGGCCAGCAGCCTCTGATAGTGCCTCCACCACCTCCTCCAGTGCCTCCACTGCTGATCATCTTCCGCAGGTGGAGATGGCCTACATCACTGCCACTGCTGCAAAGCAGGAACTGATTTTCCTGCGTGCCCGCATATCGCAGTTGGAGGCGGTGCAAGCAGAGCTGAGGGCTGCGGGGCTGATCACGGCGGCGGCGGCAGTGGAGGGCGGCAACAGCAGCAGTGGTACTGCGGCTGCCCCTGCACTGGTGTTCCCGCAGCAGCAGCAGCATGGGGGCCTGCTGTGGCCGCCAGTAGGCCCAGTAGCAGCGGCCTTCCCAGCAGCAGCGGTCTTCCCGCCCATGCTGTCACCACCGTTTCCGGGCATGATGGTCCCGGTTATGTTGCCTGTGCCCTTGCCGCCAGCAGCTACCGTAACAACACTAGAAACGTCGGCGGTAGCTGCAGCGTCAGCAGCTGCCGCGGCCAAGGGATCAGCAAATTCTCCGCAGCACCACCAGATGGCTGCAGTTGCTGCGGCAGCTGCTGCTGCTGCCATGGCCACCGTGTTTGGAGGAGCCGCCTTCCTGGATAGTAGCGGTCACGGTGGATTCCAAGCTGCATCTGTGAACCATGGGTCGGCACCCTTGCTGGCCCTGCGCCAACCCATGAGTCAAGGGGACGCCAGCGGCGAATCAGCAGCTGCTGCCTTCTCTGCGCTTGCTGCCAAGGCAACCAATAGAGCCGACCCTGAAGGAATGAGCAGCGCTGGGACAGCCGCCACCGCCGAAGCTGTCCGTGCTGCGTCCAGCGGGCTTCCCAAGACTGCGGCCGCCAAAGCATTCTCCACCATCCAGCTGCAGGAACAGACTCCAGGGGAAGGAGACAGCGCAGAGGCAAATGCGCAGTAAGGAGAGGCGCTCTGTGTGTTGAAAAGCTGGCCTCGAGTAGGAATGAACTGTAATTGCCAGATGAAGTCCCAACCGCAAACACCACGAATGTGCGTGTTTGTGTGCGGCAGTGTTTTGGTCATGGTTCATGGCCGCTCCTGTTGCGGGTGGAGAGTGCTGCCTTGAGAAGTGCTGGAGGCTGGAAGGTGGCGTTGTAAGCACGACACTACGGGCTTGTGGCTGGCACCATGTTTGCACAAGGATACCGGTAAGGGTTGAATGTATAGTTTGGTTGTGTGATATCAGTTACCACTAGCTTAGCCGAGCCGCGGTTATGTACACCGTACGAACAGCGCACTATTGTCCTCAAGCTAGCAAGTTGTCATAGCGGTTGACAAGGCGGTTGAGTGGGCGCCTAATGTGGCTCTCAACACAAAAGGCACGTAGTGACAGAGCCGCTGGGGAAAGGTAGGGCAGTGATTGGTTGCAAGCAAATGGAAGCGGTACCCTGCGGTTGCCTGCATGGCATTTTGTTCAGAATGATGCTATATTCACTGTGAAGTGGAGGAGGGCATCTAACAAAGGCTGACCACATTGTGTGTGTCCCGCACATCCATTCCATCTTGCAGTGCTGATCGCTAGATTGAAAGGAACAGCAACTCACCTCATGCACGGGGGTTTAAACCTACCTAATGCAAGGGGCAGGCACCCTTCTTCATGCAAAGGGGCCGCACCCTGCCTTGTGTGCGGGGGCTCTCTTCCCACCTAACACCCTGCATCATGCACATGGGGTTGCACCCTGACTAGTGTGCTCGGGGTAACAACCCGCCTCGTGAAGGAGGGGTCACACCCCACCTCATGCAAGGGGGCCGCACCCTGCCTTTTGCACTGGGGGTTGCACCCACCTTGTGCACGGGGAATAGCACCCCGCCTTATGCTCAGTGAGTTGCACTCTGCTTGTGTACTGGGGTTCGCACCTTCGTTTTGTGCGGGCTGCACCCCACCTCATGCACCCAACAATCTGGAAGGGAGATGTGTTTGCTTTGACGTGTTTTTTTGCATGTATAATCCTTGCAACACCGGCATCAAGAGGGGCGATGGTGATGTGGGGCTGTCCTCACACACTTCATAGCCAACGTAACCAGCCAACGTAACAGGAGGCACACACGGAAGTGCACCTCACTAGAGTGCAATTCAGCCAGGCTTCTGGACGAGAAACATGCTTGCTTCGGTGTCGCGCACGCCCATACACCGGCCTGATCATCTGCGGTGGAAATGGAGGGCGCGCATGGGAAGTCGTAAGGCCGAGAAAGATCGCGGCCTCTTGCTCCGCTCACAGCAGAGCGCTGCTATCAATGTGCTGCGTGCAATCACGAGTTGCGACTCGCGTAACGGACCTGGCTTGGACGATCCAGACGAGTTAAGTCCAAGCCCGGATTGTGGGCTCTGAGCATGCTCGCAATAAAGCCCAGGATTATGGGCTCTGAGCATGCTCGGAAATAAGCCCACCTAAAACAGCATGTTTGACCGGGTTCCATGCTGCATGCCCCGCCCAACTAGCACATTCGGCCCTGCCACGCACGCATATGACTTGACACCGACTCCAGCTCTTAGCCACCTCATGGCCTATGTATGCTGAGTCCGTAGCCGTGACTGTGGCGCGAAATGGATGCAGGGTGGCATGCCTTGAGCATGGAGCCCTGACCATGGGCTCTAAGCATGCTCAGAGCATGCTCAGAGCCAATATACTGGGCTCGTTGTTCCTAGGTAGGACCCGGGCTGTTTAATGCCCCATATGGTTGCTGCATAGCTAAACGACTACGTTAACCTATCCAGTGCGGTGTTTATACGCCTGGAAATGCGTGCCTTGCGCATGGAGCCCTGACCATGGGCTCTGAGCATGCTCCGAGACAGCCCCAACTTGGCAACGACACTCCCCCGCCCTGCACCAACAGCCTACATCCGACGCGGACAGCCTACGCCTGGCGCTGAGAGCCCCGACTCTTGCCCCAGAGCCCCGTGGCCCCGTAGCCCCGTAGCCCCGTAGCCCCGTAGCCCCGTAGCCCCGTTGCCCCGTTGCCCCGTAGCCCCGCAGCCCCGTAGCCCCGCAGCCCCGCAGCCCCGCAGCCCCGCAGCCCCGCAGCCCCGCAGCCCCGCAGCCCCGTAGCCCCGTAGCCCCGTAGCCCCGTACCCCGTAGCCCCGTAGCCTCGTAGCCCGTAGCCATGTAGCCGCGTAGCCCCGTAGCCCTGCAGCCCCGTAACCCCCGCAGCCCAGTAGCCCCGTAGCCCCGTAGCCCCGTAGCCCCGTAGCCCCGTAGCCCCGCAGCCCCACAGCCCCGCAGCCCCGCAGCCCCGCAGCCCCATAGCCCCGTAGCCCCGTAGCCCCGTAGCCCCGTAGCCCCGTAGCCCTGTAGCCCCGTAGCCCCGTAGCCCCGTAGCCCCGTAGCCCCGTAGCCCCGTAGCCCCGTAGCCCCGGAGCCCCGGAGCCCCGTAGCCCCGGAGCCCCGGAGCCCTGGAGCCCCGGAGCCCCGGAGCCCCGGAGCCCCGGAGCCCTGCAGCCCTGCAGCCCCGCAGCCCCGCAGCCCCGGAGCCCCGGAGCCCTGCAGCCCCGGAGCCCCGTAGCCCCGTACCCCCGTAGCCCCGTAGCCCCCTAGCCCCGTAGCCCCGTAGCCCCGTAGCCCCGTAGCCTCGTAGCCCCGGAGCCCCGGAGCCCAGGAGCCCCGGAGCCCCGGAGCCCCGGAGCCCCGTAGCCCCGTAGCCCCGGAGCCCCGGAGCCCCGGAGCCCTGGAGCCCTGGAGCCCCGGAGCCCCGGAGCCCCGGAGCCCCGGAGCCCCGGAGCCCCGGAGCCCCGGAGCCCCGGAGCCCCGGAGCCCCGGAGCCCCGGAGCCCCGGAGCCCCGGAGCCCCGGAGCCCCAGAGCCCTGCAGCCCTGCAGCCCTGCAGCCCCGCAGCCCCGCAGCCCCGCAGCCCTGCAGCCCCGCAGCCCCGCAGCCCCGCAGCCCCGCAGCCCCGCAGCCCCGCAGCCCTGCAGCCCCGCAGCCCCGCAGCCCCGCAGCCCCGCAGCCCCGTTGCACCGTTGCCCCGTGGCCCCGTAGCCCCGTAGCCCCGTGGCCCCGTAGCCCCGTAGCCCCGTAGCCCCGTAGCCCCGTAGCCCCGTAGCCCTGTAGCCCCGTAGCCCCGTAGCCCCGTAGCCCCGTAGCCCCGTAGCCCCGTAGCCCCGTAGCCCCGTAGCCCCGTAGCCCCGTAGCCCCGTAGCCCCGTAGCCCCGGAGCCCCGTAGCCCCGTAGCCCCGTAGCCCCGTAGCCCCGTAGCCTCGTAGCCCCGTAGCCCCGTAGCCCCGTAGCCCCGTAGCCCCGTAGCCCCGTAGCCCCGTAGCCCCGTAGCCCCGTAGCCCCGTAGCCCCGTAGCCCCGTAGCCCCGTAGCCCCGTAGCCCCGTAGCCCCGTAGCCCCTTAGCCCCGTAGCCCCGTAGCCCCGTAGCCTCGTAGCCCCGGAGCCCCGAAGCCCCGGAGCCCCGGAGCCCAGGAGTCCCGCAGCCCCGTTGCCCCGTTGCCCTGCAGCCCCGTAGCCCCGTTGCCCCGTTGCCCCGTAGCCCCGTTGCCCCGTAGCCCCGTTGCCCCGTAGCCCCGTAGCCCCGTAGCCCCGTAGCCCCGTAGCCCCGTAGCCCCGTAGCCCCGTAGCCCCGTAGCCCCGTAGCCCCGTAGCCCCGTAGCCCCGTAGCCCCGTAGCCCCGTAGCCCCGTAGCCCCGTAGCCCCGTAGCCCCGTAGCCTCGTAGCCCCGTAGCCCCGTAGCCCCGTAGCCCCGTAGCCCCGCAGCCCCGCAGCCCCGCAGCCCCGCAGCCCCGCAGCCCCATAGCCCCGTAGCCCCGTAGCCCCGTAGCCCCGTAGCCCCGTAGCCCCGTAGCCCCGTAGCCCCGTAGCCCCGTAGCCCCGTAGCCCCGTAGCCCCGTAGCCCCGTAGCCCCGTAGCCCCGTAGCCCCGTAGCCCCGTAGCCCCGTAGCCCCGGAGCCCCGGAGCCCCGGAGCCCCGGAGCCCTGGAGCCCCGGAGCCCCGGAGCCCCGGAGCCCCGGAGCCCCGGAGCCCTGCAGCCCTGCAGCCCTGCAGCCCCGCAGCCCCGCAGCCCCGGAGCCCCGGAGCCCTGCAGCCCCGTAGCCCCGTAGCCCCGTAGCCCCGTAGCCCCGTAGCCCCCTAGCCCCGTAGCCCCGTAGCCCCGTAGCCCCGTAGCCCCGTAGCCCCGGAGCCCCGGAGCCCAGGAGCCCCGGAGCCCCGGAGCCCTGGAGCCCTGGAGCCCCGGAGCCCCGGAGCCCCGGAGCCCCGGAGCCCCGGAGCCCCGGAGCCCCGGAGCCCCGGAGCCCCGGAGCCCCGGAGCCCCGGAGCCCCGGAGCCCCGGAGCCCCGGAGCCCCGGAGCCCCGGAGCCCCGGAGCCCCGGAGCCCCAGAGCCCTGCAGCCCTGCAGCCCTGCAGCCCCGCAGCCCCGCAGCCCCGCAGCCCCGCAGCCCCGCAGCCCCGCAGCCCCGCAGCCCCGCAGCCCCGCAGCCCCGCAGCCCCGCAGCCCCGCAGCCCCGCAGCCCCGCAGCCCCGCAGCCCCGCAGCCCCGCAGCCCTGCAGCCCCGTTGCACCGTGGCCCCGTGGCCCCGTAGCCCCGTAGCCCCGTGGCCCTGTAGCCCCGTAGCCCCGTAGCCCCGTAGCCCCGTAGCCCCGTAGCCCCGTAGCCCCGTAGCCCCGTAGCCCCGTAGCCCCGTAGCCCCGTAGCCCCGTAGCCCCGTAGCCCCGTAGCCCCGTAGCCCCGTAGCCCCGTAGCCCCGTAGCCCCGTAGCCCTGTAGCCCCGTAGCCCCGAAGCCCCGTAGCCCCGTAGCCCCGTAGCCCCGTAGCCCCGTAGCCTCGTAGCCCCGTAGCCCCGTAGCCCCGTAGCCCCGTAGCCCCGTAGCCCCGTAGCCCCGTAGCCCCGTAGCCCCGTAGCCCCGTAGCCCCGTAGCCCCGTAGCCCCGTAGCCCCGTAGCCCCGTAGCCCCGTAGCCCCGTAGCCCCGTAGCCCCGTAGCCCCGTAGCCCCGTAGCCCCGTAGCCCCGTAGCCCCGTAGCCCCGTAGCCCCGTAGCCCCGTAGCCCCGTAGCCCCGTAGCCCTGTAGCCCCGTAGCCTCGTAGCCCCGGAGCCCCGAAGCCCCGGAGCCCCGGAGCCCAGGAGTCCCGCAGCCCCGTTGCCCCGTTGCCCCGCAGCCCCGTAGCCCCGTTGCCCCGTTGCCCCGTAGCCCCGTTGCCCCGTAGCCCCGTAGCCCCGTAGCCCCGTAGCCCCGTAGCCCCGTAGCCCCGTAGCCCCGTAGCCCCGTAGCCCCGTAGCCCCGTAGCCCCGTAGCCCCGTAGCCCCGTAGCCCCGTAGCCCCGTAGCCCCGTAGCCCCGTAGCCCCGTAGCCCCGTAGCCCCGTAGCCCCGTAGCCCCGTAGCCCCGTAGCCTCGTAGCCCCGGAGCCCCGAAGCCCCGGAGCCCCGGAGCCCAGGAGTCCCGCAGCCCCGTTGCCCCGTTGCCCCGCAGCCCCGTAGCCCCGTAGCCCCGTAGCCCCGTAGCCCCGTAGCCCCGGAGCCCCGGAGCCCCCGAGCCCTGGAGCCCCGGAGCCCCAGAGCCCTGCAGCCCTGAAGCCCCGCAGCCCCGCAGCCCCGTAGCCCCGTAGCCCCGCAGCCCCGCAGCCCCGCAGCCCCGCAGCCCCGCAGCCCCGCAGCCCTGCAGCCCCGTTGCACCGTTGCCCCGTGGCCCCGTAGCCCCGTTGCCCCGTGGCCCCGTAGCCCCGTAGCCCTGTAGCCCCGTAGCCCCGTAGCCCCGTAGCCCCGTAGCCCCGTAGCCCCGTAGCCCCGTAGCCCCGTAGCCCCGTAGCCCCGTAGCCCCGTAGCCCCGTAGCCCCGAAGCCCCGTAGCCCCGTAGCCCCGTAGCCCCGTAGCCCCGTAGCCCCGTAGCCCCGTAGCCCCGTAGCCCCGTAGCCCCGTAGCCCCGTAGCCCCGTAGCCCCGTAGCCCCGTAGCCCCGTAGCCCCGTAGCCCCGGAGCCCCGGAGCCCCGGAGCCCCGGAGCCCCGGAGCCCCGGAGCCCCGGAGCCCCGGAGCCCCGGAG